GTACTTTGTGGATGGACAATTTACAAAATCGATTGGCTGGGTTCAGACTTGGCTTTCCCTGAAGGCAGCTTCACTGCTCATGTTTAAACCAAGAGTTTAACTTAAATTTTAGCTGCTAAATTATAACAAAAATCTCAAGAGGTCTTGTTTTGTTGCAATGCATTCATGACATTTTCCCACTACAGTTCCGTTTCCCTTGAAACTGAAGTTCATGCTGACTGGGTGGGCTCTCAAAGAGCTTGCATCTGCTTCCAGGGATACTGGACTCCTCCTGCAACTGCCTGCACCAAAGGTGCCACACATTGTGATATAAAAATATCTTCCTGTGGCCAGCCCTGCTGCAGTGGGGAGTCTGGGGAGCGGCAGTCAGAGATAAAGCACAGCTGGCTGTGCTGACCTGCTCAGTAAGAGCCCCCTTGTGCTCACACAGTGGATCCATCCTGGGTCTGCCCACAGTGATCCCTGGTCAGCCACAGCACAGGGAACACCCAGGCATTTCTTACAGACCAAGGAAGGCATGATAAACAAATGACCTGCATGTTGCAAAGCAAAGAATTGGCTACATGACAGATGGAATGAGATATAACAGGGGTAAGACTTTATGAACCACAATAAATATACTGCAAGCGCTCTTCTGTGTATGCAAACCAGAAAATTAAATCCAGAGGATGCTGTTGGCTCAAAAAGCCAACCAGATCCTGAGCTCCCCTCCTCGGGAGGCCAAAAATATGAATGAACTAAAGCAATCTGGATCCTATTTGGTTGTTCAGCTCTGATGACTCATCTTCCCTGAGCTCTCATCTGAGCTCTTCTTAGGCTAATGACAAGGAAACAAACACAGGCAGAACAGTACTGAACTTGGTATCATTTTGGCAAAGCTGCTTTTCCAGGATTTTGTCACCAGGTACTGCTTGCACTTCCCCAAGAAACAACCAAAGGTTTAATAAGCAAACTGTCCAGTTTTCTTTCAAGTCACCAATAACTTCTACTCGAGTCCCAGGACAACCTAAAATTTTACCCAAACTTGCTGTTTGATGGAGCTTAAGGCAAGCAGCCAGTCAGGGCAGCTCCCACAGGCTGTCTCCTTACACCCAGTGTCTCTCCTTCAGCTGTGACCCGAAACGTTCCATGCAGAAATAGAGCCATAGAGTGCAGAAGCCAAGGGGGAGACCCTGGGGATGCTCTGTCCTGAGTCAGCTACCCTCACCCAGGAGTGATAATGTGAATTGGTGGCTGTGACCCCTCTAAACCCCGTGGGTGAAGGAGGGAAAGAGTTACATTCCTAAGACAAGGCCAATAGCAGTGCCAAGAGTGAGAGTCACAATGTATCGCTGCCCTCCTCTCTCAGGAACTCCTGCCCTTGTGAGTCTATTTGGGCATTCTATACAGCACTTTACTCCTGAAGGAACAGAGTGACACACAATTATTAAATGAAAAGCAAATGTTGTAAGCACAATTTTATGACTCAAAGCAGTTTAATTGCCCTTGGATGTGATTTTTGGGTGACAGACTGCATCTTACCCTGCTTTGAATATTTGTGAGCCTCTGATCTTGCCTGCTTCTTTCACGTGTACTGACTACACTTTAAAAGGTATCACCTCTCATGACAAGTTTCTGGGTCCCCACCAGCAGAAAGTGGTGCCTTCTCGATTTCATGAAAAGGCTTTCCATCCTTCCTCACACATTCCAAAACCTTCATATCAATGGCAACTTGGCTGAAGGGGGAACGAGCTTGGCAATCCCTCGGCAGAGGGGTCTAGTGCTGCCCACCCCCATCGCGTGACACTGCGACGCTAATTGACCTTTCTGTAATGCCGACTCCAAAGTAAACCCTGTGATACCTCAGGTCCTCCGCTGGAAGGGTCGGGCCCTGCTGGCTCCAGAAGAGGCTGCCGGGGGTCCCACCGGAGAGGGGGATGCGGCCGCGAACCCGCCGCCGCCTGCGCTTCCCTCCGCCGGGCCCGGGCGGCGCTGGCGGCCGGCGCTGACCGCCGTCGAGGCGGCAGCGAGACACCGCCCACGGCGGGGGTGGCCCCGCGTGGGTCCGGGGACGCGCGGGCGGCGCCGCAGCAGACAGGAGCCGGGGACCGCGGCCGCTGCGCGTCGGCAGCGCCCGGAGCTGCGAGGGAGCCGGGGAGGGATGCGGGCACCGCCGCCCGCCGGGGCGACACCTCCCCGCGTCCCGCACTGACGGCCGCCCCGCCGCCGGCGCTCTCCTCGGGGCTCCCGGGGCCGCGCAGCCCATGGCCAGCTCCGCGCAGCCCCCGGCGGCGGCGGGGGGCGCCGGCCCCGACGGCGGGTCCCTGGCGGGGGGCGGCGAGACCTTCGGGGACCGCTCCCTCAGCCAGGGCCTGAGCGTGCTGGTGGGGCTGGGGCTCTGCGTGACCATGCTGGGGCTGGGCTGCGCCGTGGAGCTGGGGCAGCTGGGGCAGCAGCTCCGGCGGCCCGTAGGGCTGCTGCTGGCGCTGCTGGGACAGTTCGTGGCAATGCCGCTGCTGGCCTTCCTCCTCGCCCTCATCTTCGCCCTGGACGAGGTGGCGGCCGTGGCTGTACTGCTGTGCGGCTGCTGCCCCGGGGGCAACCTCTCCAACCTCATGTCGGTGCTCGTCGACGGGGATATGAATCTGAGGTAGGTGCCCCGCTGCCCCTCGCCCCCAGCCAGCCGGGGGCTGCGGCGGCCCCGGGAAGCGGGGAGGGCTCGCTGGGCATCTGCCGCCGGTGGAGCCGGGACGGACGGGCGGGTGGGCACGGCGCGCTGGGAATCGCCAGCGCTGCTCTCCTGCCTCTGCCGTGGAGGATCTTAGAACCCGACACACGCCTCCTGCCTCCTTCCCTAAAAAGCTTGCGTGCCCGCGCCCTGGCCGGAGCAGGGAAAGGGTGGAGGACGGAGAGGGGAGCGAGGGGAGCGAGCGGGCTCTTGCCGTGAGAAGTGCCCGGCCGGCTGCAGAAGCCGCTTCCCGCGGGGGTTGGAGCTTCCCAGGGTTGCCCCCCGGCCGGGCGGACGGTGATGGAGCATTTCTTTGGTTCCCCCGGCGCAGCATTATCATGACGGCCTCCTCCACGCTGCTGGCCCTCTTCCTGATGCCCCTCTGCCTCTGGATCTACAGCCGCCACTGGATCAACACGGCCGTGGTGCAGCTGCTGCCCCTGGGGGCGGTGAGCCTGACGCTGGGCAGCACGCTGCTGCCCATCGGCCTGGGGGTGCTCATCCGCTACCGGCACCCCCGCGCCGCCGACCTCCTGGTCAAGGTAGGCACGGCGCCCGGAGCGGAGCGGGGCGGCCACGCCGCGGGGAAGGAGCGGGGCGGCACCGGGAACCGGGAGCCGATGGCAGCGAGCATTGTGGTCTCTCCAAACCGGTGTGTCACACAAGCACGTTCAGCTACTTAGGTGAAATACAAAGACTTTTAGTCTTGAAATAAACCGGTGGGACAGAGAAAGCGAGAGAAAGGGCGGGTGACCCCCTATCGCAGCACACAGGACACAGGGCAGCGTGGTGTTCTACCCCGGCAGGCATCCTGGACCCTGTAGCAGAGGCATTCCGTGACATCCTACTTTCTCCCCACTCTTGCTGCACCCAGGTCAGGCAAAACCAACCTGCAGGCACAGCCACACTTCCTTAAAATGTGCAACTAAATTAGCTTAATTGAAAAAGGAAGAATGAGGCACAAGTCCCAACTCTTGTTTCTCAGCAAGTCATCCCAAAGCAAAATGATGGAGGATGACCTCAGCCCATTCCTTTCCTGAGATATGATCAAACACTACCAAAATCCCAGGCCAGGAGCAAACCTGGGAAGGGCAGTGCAACCACGTTGTGCTATTTAGATTCTTTAGCAAGCCTCTAATTGCTATGCTTATCCTTTCAAAATAATAGCCCTCATGTTGTTTATCAATGTCTCTGTCTATTGCCAGATTTCCCTTTGGTCCCTCTTGGTGACTCTGGTGGTCCTGTTCATCCTGACTGGGACCATGCTGGGCCCAGACCTGTTGGCACAGATTCCTGCGTCTGTCTACGCCATTGCAGTGCTGATGCCTCTGGCAGGGTACGCCCTGGGATACGGCTTAGCCACGGTCTTTAAAATGCCCCCACACTGCAGGAGAACAGTATCTTTGGAAACAGGGTGCCAAAACGTCCAGCTCTGCACAGCCATCCTAAAGCTCACCTTCTCCCCCGAGCTCATAGGGAGCATGTACATGTTTCCCTTGCTTTATGCGCTGTTCCAGTCAGCAGAAGCGGGACTGTTTGTGCTGGCATACAAGATGTATGGAAAAGACAGCTACAAGCAAGATGCACTCGGTGAAGAGGAAGACACAGATATTTCCTACAAGAAGCTGAAGGAAGAGGAGGTAGCTGATACTTCATATGGCACAGTGACCACAGAGGAGCACAACTCCATTCAGATGGAGCCGACTCAGACGGCGCTTTAGGCAGGACCAAGAGGTAACTCCCAGAGACGTGAATGTGTGTTGTGCTTGCAGCCAGGCTGGGGCTGTGCTCGCTGCTGTGCAAGTGGAGCTGCCCAGCCTCTATCGTTTCTCCAGCTACTCCCATTGTACAAGGTGATATGTGTTTATTGCCATGACAGTTCTACTTCCTCAAAAGTAAATGTGAAGAAAAAAAAAAAAAAGAAAAAAAAAAAGGAAAAAGCATCACTGCGACACAAAATAGTAACTGTAAAACTTCATGCAAGAAAGCTGCTGCCTGGCTGAGTGCAGCAGGAATGGGTAGAAGGAAGAAACAGGGTTCTACAGAGTAAACACCAACTCAGTGTCAGTTCAGATGACAGGAAAAACCACGTGGCATGTGTATCTCTGTGCCTCCCACCTGCTGTAAAAGCATTGTTCTCATTGTTGTCACCACAAATACATGGCGAAGCCAAACCAAACCCGTGTTCTCCCCTGTTTACTCCCTCGGAGGCAATTAATAGCCGCGCTACCTGGTTCAGCTGGGGAGCTGTGAGGGGGGTGGGGGATGGCCCAGGGCCGCGCACCAGGTGGGGATGGTGAGGGGCCAGGGGAGCCGGGCCCCGCCCCGGGGGTATTTAAGGCCACTGCCCGGGGGCTGCCCTGGGTCCGGTGCGATGGCCGAGGAAGCGATGGCGAGCTACCTCTACACCGCCTACCACCCCTACTCCTACCGCTATCCACCGCCCAAGGGCAAAGGTGGGGCGGCGGGCGGCTGGCGCCCGCGGGGCAGCAGCAGCTACTACTCGGGCTACGGGGAGGCGGCCGCCGAGTACTTCGACAACTACCAACGGGCGCAGCTGAAGGCCATCCTGTCCCAGGTCAACCCCAACCTGACGCCGCGGCTCCGCAAGGCCAACACCAAGGAGGTGGGCGTGCAGGTGAACCCGCGGCAGGACGCCTCGGTGCAGTGCTCGCTCGGGCGCCGCACGCTGCTGCGCCGCCCCCCCGGCCCCGCCGCGCCGCGGCCCCGTGAGGCGCAGCGAGAGCAGGAGCTGGGCAGCCCCGCCACCACCAACACCCGCGCCGTGCGCTTCCCCCGCACCATCGCCGTCTACTCGCCCGTGGCGTCCCGCAGACTCACCGCCTTCCTGGAGGAGCCGAGCCCGGAGCCGGAGCGGCGGCCGCAGCAGGACAAAGCGCCGGCCGTCGAGGAGGAGCCGGCCGCGCTGAGGGAGCAGCGAGCGGCGGAGGCGGCTGCCGTGAGGGCGAGCTGGGAGAAGCCCCCCGAGGTTGGCGCCGAGCCGCTGGAGCAGCGCTCGGCCGCCCCCCCGGAGCCGGCGACGGAGGAAAGCCAGGAGCAGCCGGCAGAGCCTTCAGCCCAGGCAGGGGCAGCAGAGCCGTCAGCCCTGGCAGAGCCTTCAGCCCAGGCAGGGGCGGCAGAGCCGGCAGCCCAGCCGGCAGAACCACCGGCCTCACCCCAGAAGCAGCAGCAGGCGTCGGCGGGCAAGACCCGCCTGCGCTTCCAGGTGAGTGTCGACCGCGGGGGAGCGCAGCGGGGCCGGGCAGGTCCGGGAGGGGCCGCACCGTCGAATAACATTGTCCCCGTCAGTTTCTGGAGCAGAAGTACGGGTACTACCACTGCAAGGCCTGCAACATCCGCTGGGAGAGCGCCTACGTCTGGTGCGTCCAGGGCACCAACAAGGTAGGGCCGGCTCGGATTGCCCCGGCGAGCGCTCCTCGCCGCCGCCCTCCTGCTGACCCCGTCCTTCCTCACAGGTCTATTTCCGTCAGTTCTGCCGGACCTGCCAGAAGTCCTACAACCCGTACCGCGTGGAGGACATCACCTGCCAGGTAAGGGACCCCGCCCTGCCCTGAGCCCGGCCTCTCCGGGGCCCGGCTGCCCGCGCCGACCGCCGCCTTCTCCCCTCCCTCAGAGCTGCAAGCAGACGCGGTGCACCTGCCCCGTGAAGATGCGCCACGTGGATCCCAAGAGGCCCCACCGCCAGGACCTCTGTGGGAGATGCAAAGGGAAACGCCTCTCCTGTGATAGCACTTTCAGTTTCAAATACATCATCTGAGTGGGATGGGGTTCCTTGTTTTTGTTTAGGGCTCTTCAAGAAAACTGCAAGTAGAGCAGATTTTTTTGTTGTTGTTGTTTTTGATGGTATTGTTGAAGGTAATTGGTGAGATGTAGCTAGGAAAGCATGAAAATAAAAGCATTGCAAAGCATACTCAAATGATCAGGTGGGTTTGTGCCCAGCTCAGAGGATGCATATTGTAAATTCTGTAACTTGCATGGGCAACAAGCCTAGAGGTGTATTGTAAATCAGTGATGGTCTTGGAAGCAACTGACTTAGGATTTTGTAGACTCTCAGGTGGAAAGGGTTTCTGTTTCTGCTCCTGCTCTTGAACTAATCAAATGCCTGAAGTTAACATAAAATTGACATCTGTAGTAGGTAGTAGACCATCCTTCATGATGAACAAAACACCAGTAGTATTCACTTGTTTTGCACACCTCTATTCAATATATAAAGTATCCTGCACCTGTTTTTCATCACTAGAAAATGATTGAGAAATGCTGCATAAGTACTGAATCACTTCTACTGCTACTGGCCTGCATTTAGCTAAGTTGGTGTTTTTTGTCTGTAAGAGTGGAAGAAAGCTTTTCAGGGATGGTTCTCACAAAGTGCTGAGGAATGGAGTCACCGATGTTATGGTGAGGTCTCTTGGTAAATGTATCATTCATCTCACACAAGGTTACAGAGAGACGTGACACTGCAGAGGAGCAAGATGCAATAATACTGCATCTGCTTGGCTTCCTCTTCAACCTGCAGGTGAAGTGCAAGAGCGATGCGCTAGGTGGATTGTACTTGAGGAGTTTGATCTAATTACAGTTTAGATGCCTGCCCTCAGAAGGATTGACACTGCCACACTCCTCTGGGTTTGCAGCTAGGGATTGTACTGTCGTGTTTGGTAGTAATGGCAGAACCAGCACTGGTTCCTTGCAGATGATGCTCCTGTGGGGTGGTGGTGCTGTCTATAGGAACACCATGCTTCAGCCAAGTGTTACAAGCTGGCTCTGTGACCAATGTACAGCATCACCATCTCAGCAGGTTCACAAGCTAGCAAAACCTACACCACTGCCCCAGTCTACCTTTTAGCTGTGAAGCTGGAACAACTCAGATGAAGACCTGCTTTTCTGAGAATGCTACCAGCACTGTTAATTTTTAAATTGGGCATAGAGTCACCAAGCCTTTTGCAGAACTCTCAAAATAACTTCTCTTTCAAAAGAGTAATTTTTTTTTTTTTTGTATTTGCTACAGCAAACTTTTCTACATCTACACCCAGCTTACTTGAGAGACCATTCTGTTAAATGCTAAAGAGAGAATGCTAAAGAATCAGTCTGAGCCCATGCTGTAGAACAGCTTCAGTGCCAGTTTCTGTAAGTGGCAGCGAGTGTTATTTCTATATGCTTCACTCATCTTGCTGTAAATTCCTGCCTTATTTCAATATGCCCCTTGAACCTGCTGCAGTAGGCTTAATGCCTCAGTGTCAATTTATTGCAAAGTAATTTTATTTATTCTTGCTGCATTCATTATTATAGCAGTGTGAGGCATTCTGGGAAGAAGTAGACCTACTCCTTCCAGAGCAGAGCATGGTTCTATTTCAGGCTTCTACCTGAACTGTTTTTCCATGCATCACAGTAAAAGGAAACATGTTTTTTTTTCTTTACCAGCTCACTCAGACGTTCACAGCAAACTCCATCCTTGGCCAATTCAATTTGAAAAGCTGCCCTGCAGCTGGGCAGGGTTCTGTTGTAGATGCACATGCCTTGTACTCACCTGTAGTTACTGTGATGAGCAGTGGCAAGCCTCCAGCTTGAGGAATGCACCTGGGGCCCTCTGCAGCCACCTGGCCCCACTGCCTCAGTTTGCAGTGGCAGCTGTGATCTGGGATGACTTTATTTCTGAGCATATTCCCCTCCAGGGATGTTCTTCAATGTTTTCCTCTTTGCCTTCCCCATTCTTGTGGCTGTAGTGTGTTCCCCATGCATGCATTGAGAAACTGACTGTGATGAGTCTGTGCACCTTGGTAGTGAGTGAGAGAACTGAAACTCTGTGCCATGTCAGTGTGAAGCCATGGCAATGGCAGCAGCTGAATGCTTTCTATTTATATAGGCATCCTTACAAAACGTGGCTTTGAGGATTACTTGCTGTGAATATGGTGACTCTTACATGATTATCAGTACTAGCCCAAAGTGAAATCTAGCAATGCTTAAGGGCTGTCATCCCCACTAACTACAGTCAAAGCAGCATTGGTTCTGCATGATAAGATGTAGAACAGGCTTAGCTGATGTGAACTGAGTAGCAGCAAGGAGGCCACCCCTGCTTCCATCAGCTACTGCAAGGCTCTGTGGCTTGGAGGAGTCCAGTGCAGAGGGCAGCCATATTAAACAAGCTTTCCTTAATCCTGTAGCATTCCTCAGTTGTAGAGTAGCTCTACATGTCATCCCTCTTACATAAATATGTCCCATGCTTTCACTGCTTGATGCCCAAGTACAATTCTGTACTCTAGCTGTTTCTCAGCTTTACTGCCATGCCATGTCCATGACAGCACACACTGATGGTGGGCACTGGTTCCTGGACTCAGCAGGAAGGAAAGCTCCTCCTGACCTATGTAATTATGCAAAGTGGAAGGGTGACAGTTATTCAAAGCTCTGTACGGCCTTTTCACAGAAATTCTTTTGCAAGTGTTAGCTCAGTCAGTGCTGTATTTGCTGCATCTTACAGGGGCTGTCTCATGTTCTGCTTGTTTCTACACAGCTTTACCACAGCTTTGGATTCAGCACAGGCCTGGCACCATGTAATGCAGGGTGACAGCTCATGCAGTAGATGAGTCATGTTTGAAAAGCTTAATGAAATTAAAGCAATATCAAAAGACAGTCATCTAACATGATTCTGCTCAATAGTGCAGGTTCCACTAGCCATTATAAATGGAGGAAGATGTGTAACATAAGGAATTACATATATGAATTCAGGTTTGAGTTTCATGAGAAATCCAGTAACAGCTTCAGATGATGCCTAGAAAAATGCTGCTGCAATGACAGGACATAAAAGGGAAAAAATGTTTTCAGGGCACCCAGGCCTCTGTTGTCAGTGTTTAATCTCTTTAGCTAAAGTATTTAAACTCTAGCTTGTAAAAATACACAAAATGAGAGATACAATGTCTTTTATTTTTACAAAAAAAGCTGGTAAAAGATGATGTAAATAAAAGTGTAATGCACCCCTAAATAAAACTACATCTCCCCTGTAAATACTTGTTAAATAATTAAGAACACCATCTACAGTACCACAAAACCATCAAAATAATTAAATTTTATCAGGGACAGGGGAAAAAAAATACAGTGAATATGAATGTGCCTTGACCAGTTACAGAACTTGTTAGGATAACATAACTACTGTCAGCAGTCCAACAGCGTGCACAGTGCCTTCAATTAATGCATTTCAGCATAATTACATTTCTAGTGGGGCCTAGTTCCCCCAAAAAGGCAGAGCTAAGAATTTCAATTCTACATTCTAAACTCTGGAATTTGAGCCCATTAAAAAAATCACAGTGGGTAAGAGATGTATATAAAAATACTGGGTGTTCCTTTCAAATCACAGGAGTTGTGGGACTACATTCTTTTTTTGGGGGGGTTTTTTCTGTTTTTTTTCTTTTTTTTTTTTTCTATAAAATGCTATTGGTTTCAACAGAATCCAGTTTGTTTTATGCTACAGACTTTGACACTGAACTATGAGTATATTGCCTGTTTGCATGTTTTGGTAGTTGGGTTTTTTTATCTTTTTTTTTCCTGTAGTCCCAATTCCTTAGGCTTCAGTTGAGTCATGAAGAAGCATCTACATGCCTTCAAACCCTGCAGGCTACTCAGACTGCAAGTACTGCATGTGATTACCAAGAGGGAATGCCCCCTTCTCCTCATAGCTTTATACACCTACTGTTTTAACAGTGCATTGCACAAATTTACATGAAAAATACTGGTTTTGCACTATACAGTTTCTAGAATATATACAGAATAAAATAAGTTAACTTCTAATGAGAATTGCTGATGGGCAGCATATATCTTTAATATACATTTTAAAGTCTCTGCAGGCAGCTACTTTTTGGTTAGTTGTTATCAGTATTTTAACATAAGCACTGGTCAGAGAACTGAGCAGCATTCCAATAAAGTTAACAGATATATTATTTCTTTTAGAAACACTGGGAAATCCCAGTTTAAAATATTATTAAATGTCCTAACATTTACACACTATGAGGATTAGATCTAATAAAATAAAATTTCTTCAAAAATAATCTTGCAGCTCTTTTAAGCATGCTCTGAGACCTTATTTAACAATCATCCATACCTTCAAAAAAACAACTGTCACATAGCCATACATTCTAACTCGCACACGTTATTTCCTTATAACAGACAACAAAAGCAAATAAAACACTGAGAAGTCAATGGTTTTTGCAGTCTATATCGTTCTACTCATGTTTGACTGCACATTCTTCATGACATTGCAAAGTGTCTCATTAGGTGTTAAGCTGATGCTTTTACTGCTGGAAAGCCAGGAAGCCTTGCAGGTCTTCAGCCAAAATAAACCAGCCTTGATTTTAGCCTCATCCCACCTGCGATACTGATCCAACCTCTAGAGGCTGTTTTTGCAAACATCCTTTATGGTTCTGTTGCAACAGAAAATAATGCGTATCTATGCATTGTGTTTAAGCCCTTTTCCTTTCATGTAGTTTTTATACATAAATTTAATAAAAAAATACTACTGCCACACAGGCTGCTGTGTAGAAAGAGCAGACAAGAAGGATGTTCACTTCAATTTTCAGGGTTTTACTTGTGATGAAACAGTTTCTTGCTGTGATAAAAGTGTGTTGCTTGTCAGGATTGCTGGAGGTTTGTTTTTGTTTTTTTGTGAAAGGTGCTCAATGATAGTCTGAAGTATCTTCATGATCAGTTCTTTTCTAAATGACAGCTGTTCAGAATCCAGTGGTCACAAGATTTATTCCTGTTTTGATCTTCCCTAGAAGCTGACAGGATTGCACCATGCGGAGAGACTCTCGGATTTCTAGATTAAGTTCCATCAGCTTTGAGCTGGCCTCAGACATGTCCTGGTTGGAGCCCACTACTGCAAAGCTGCCAGTCTGGCCAAGTGTCTGGTGACGGAAATAGATGTGCAGCAACGTTTGAACTGGGTCATCTTCAGAACTGCCAAAGATGTCATGGGGCCAAATAGATCTGTAAACACACAGTTTGGATTTAAATGTTACCAAAAAAAAGTTTAAATGTTCTTTTAAAAGATATTTGAACAGAAGACAGGAAAATGCAAGGGAAAATAACATGCAATTTGGATTTAAAAATCAAAAGTTTAAATACTTTTAAGCAGATATTTGAACAAAAGACAGAAAAATGCTAGAGGAAAGTTTCTTCCACAGAGTCCTGGTAAATAACAGTATAATTTCTCAGATATAAATTCTAAGTAAGTACTACTAAAATTGCTTTTTACTTTTCTTAAATTACTGAAAAGAAAACCCCAAAACTTGTAATGAAGCAACAGCGCTTGTCCTTTTCAACAAGGACATCTGACAAGAACTGAAATGAAAAAAAAAGGAATAGTACTTATCCCTGTTTTTAATTTAAAAATGTCTGTTAAGAAACTCAAGATCTGAAAGCAATCCTTAAAAACTTACCTGAAAGCCTTGACCTGTGCCACAGCTGACACAAACTCCTTGTTTCTCAGGGTTTCAATGAGGGAGTGAATAGCTGTTTCTGTGCTAGCTTGGGCAGCCTCTGCAATTTCAATTTCTTCAATACCACTGTCAGACACTGCCTCGGCCTCTTTCAGGCAGCTCTCCAAATGAGCAAGTTCTTCAGACATGTTTATTACCTAAAACAAGTATAATTTATCTTTTTTAGTTTAAATGTATTTCAAACCAAAATAATTTTCAGAAGATCAGGTTTTTATTTTTCATCCTCTGTGCAATAAAGAGAGATAGAAAAAGAACACCCAAATATTTTCTGCAGATGCTTAAAGTACAGTTAACGGCCCAAGCCTGCAAGTCAATTATTTGGGCTTTCCCTGATGAAATTTCCCTCTTAGTTATTTTAAAATTTATTAAAAAAATTAATTTCTTTTCTTCTTATATTACTTAACAAGAAACTGAGAAGAATAAAACATTTCAGAAAGGTATTAATTACCTCTCAGAAAGGTATGAGAGCAATGGTGCCATTACAAGGACATCTTAAATACGAAGGAAAAAATCTGGAAGATGGTAACCCAGCACAGTAACAGTAGTGCAGCCAGTGTATATAATAATGTCTTTGGCTTTAGCTGCAACGCATGAGTAAAACACAAGGCCATTTCTCAGAACATGGTTCTGCATCTGACTAACTTAGGCGAGACGTGGGACTGATGTGATGCCAACCTTCCACAGTGTTCTTCAAACCCAAACTTATTTGCAGCCTCTACAAAAATCTGGAAATACCAGTGAGGAACATGCAGTTTTTTATGAAGCTACTCATAAACAAAACACTTTCAGTCAGGATTTTCATGTTCCTCCCTAGTATATCAAGCAAGACCAAGCCTACTTCTTTTTTCTGCTACCCTTGTTTATTGCATTCCCAGGGGAGAACTTACAGAAGGCATTATTAATAGCATAATGCACACAACTCGATTAACATCACATATGGACCACATGTGCACAGTTGAAAAACACTTCTTACTTCTGAAGTTACTACAACTAAAAATCAGGCATAAGAGGTGCTTGTGTACTACTAACTGTGCTTAGGATGGGGACTAAGGTTGCAGAGTAATTGAATGGTGGCTGAAGTGACAGAGTTAAATGAATCAGTTGGTAGAAAGTGGTGGTGTTTGCTGTAGGAAACACCAGGGCTATGGAAAGGCTCAACTCTTCTGAGTGGACTTGATGTGCCTTGATTGTAGCTTGATTAGAATACACCAGGAGTGCCACTGAAATACTTAAAATCCTCATCATTGGACTCCCTACGTTCCTGTCTTTTTTTAAAGAGCTTTCAAGCTGTACAAAAATCAACACAGAAAATTGAACATCTCAGAAAATTATTGTAAGCTCTACTTAAATATTTTATTAATTGGCTATAAAACAGCTGGAACCCTCTTCCAGTTTCTAAAAGGATGTCCCACTGATGAAAATGTTATCAAAATGTGTTTTAAATTGTCTGCTTTTAAAATGTCAACAATTACTAGCTGAATGGCATGGTTTTCATTACCTCTGCTTCTTTTTTGATTGTTTTTACTTGACTGATGAGTTTGCAATAGGCTTGGAACAGAAGCAGCAACTGGAAATGCAACTTGTATAGCCTCCGACACAACTCCAGCTCCTACAAACGTAAACAACACTGTTACATTCAGGAAGTGCAAACCTCCTACTATTCAGTGCAAGAGACAATAAATCACAACTTCTTCAGTAGAGTGTGCAAAATTAGAAGTAGTTAATTTGGCTACTAAAGAAAATGCCAAAAATATTTAGAAGCTAACATACAGTAAGCTAATGAAAAGCAGGTGAAAGCTTCATTCAGTTCTAGATTAACAAGTAGCCTCTCACAGAGATTTGAAGTTCACCTTATAATAAGTTACATTTCCAAGAAAGGGGGTAGAATGGGATGTGAAGTGATTCAAAAGGCATTTTGAAATGTCTGGAACATTTCAAGATTTCATGTCTTAAAACCAAGAGTTTCATAGATCACTTACTTTTATTGTTGATATTTTACTGTTTTAAATTCAAGATCTAATATCCAAAAGAAGCAGTTGTGGTCCATAAGTATAGGATCTTTCATAACCATTAATACTTATATTGTAAGCACAGTATATAACCTGGCCCTTAGCTTACACTGCCTGACAGAGTAGGAAGAGAATAATTCCATTCCTGGAGGCAAGAATAATGTTTCCTTTAAAAAAGGTAGCTCTTATTCTGCTTTAGAAAATAACATATGATATATTCTTAAGGAAATGAAATAGCAGTATTAATTTATGCACTGTCTTGCTTCCATTTTTATGCCTCTAAAACACTAGTCAGAAATGCAGACAGTGTTAATACTGCTTCACATACAGACATAAAAGCTAGTGCTAATGGAATAATCTTTATAACATTCTACTAACTACAGGATCCTATTATCTACAAAGGACCAACAGTCTAATGGGTTAGATGATGCAAAACTGAAGCACACAGCATTTCTGTAATAGTCTAGGACAAGACATCATTATTTCACAAATGGACAAGACAGATGGAGACCAGTTTGGTGACTGGCATGGTTAAGTATTTGATAAATCAAGAACTGTCACTTACTGCTAGAATTTCCATTTGCTAAGCAAGAAGATGAGCAGGTCACAAAAATACAAAGAAAGAAAAAAGAGCAAGAATTAGTGTAGGAAATAATTTTAATTCGGGTAAAAGATGTCCCAGGTAAAATAGAGGAAGAAATACAAGTAACATGCTCCAAACATATCCTGAATGTAAAAAATTACCAGGCTGAATTTGGCGTAAAATTAGTTGCTGCTGCTATAGCTAAAAATAAAAAGTACTGGCTTTGTTACCCCACAGCATGAATAACACTCTTACAACCCTGTCTGGTCTTTATACATTGTGTAGTCTGAAAGGTGCACAAATTTAAGGTAATCAAAATCAAGGACACTTAGATCTGAACATCTGTACAAAGCTTCTTGTTCTGTATCACAATAGTTTAAGCAAAACCAATGCATTTTAAAATTGGAGATGCAAGGTTAATTTGGATTCTGAATCAGTTTAGAAATTCTTGGGTTTGCTAAACTCAATTCTAAACCCTCTCAGAGATTTCTGTACTGTAATTGCACTTGGTTTTTACAAGCCATTTCTGAAAAAAAATCTGGGGAGGAGGGATAGGGAGAGAAGAGGTCAGAAAATGTATGTGTCAGACTAGGGATGTGAACTTGCCCACTCCTGTGCTTTGTAAAGCACTGAGTGTACTGATGGCACTTAGGCACGTACAGTGGTCATGGCAAACCAGCTCAACAGAGTCACAGAATATCCTGAGCTGGAAGAGACCCACAAGGATCACTGAAGTCCAGCTCCTGACCCTGCACAGGACAACCCCATTGGAATCATGGGGTTGTCATCGTCGTCATCATCATCATCATCATCATCATCATCATCATCATCATCATCATCATCAATCCTACACACCACATGCCTGAGAGCCAAAAAAAGGAATGTCAGTGGATGTCTGGCTCCCAAGAGACAGGAGCAGTTGAGCTTTACTAAGCACACAGCTGTACACAGTGTTATGGTAAGTTATAAACTATGTGCTTCCCAGGTTATAAACATTGCATGGTTTTGTTACACTCCATGTTTTTGTTCTGCACTCTGTGCTAACATATACTCAGCACAATTACCATATTTCTGATTGAAGAACAGAACATTGAAGACATAAAATCTCGAACTGCAGAAGTTAACATGACTTTGATTGATCACTTTAATGAGGCACAGAGAATCAGATTTTGAGAAATGGCAGGATTGACTATTTAATAATTTTAATCATTAAGTTCCAGTATTCTTAAAGCCAAGTCTCGTTAATACTGTAACCCATAATTAATCCCTTTTCCCCAAAACACACCTTGATAGCTACCTTTTAAAAATTCAGGAGAGGTTTTCCTTTAAAAATGGCTTTGTACTGCTTCAGTGTCTTTCACATACATGCTTACTTGAGAAATAATCTGATTTTTCTACCTGCCTGTCCTGTAGAAACAGTCAAGCCAGAGTCCAGATGCATTCTTTCAGGCTTAGATGTACTAATAGCAAGAACTGAATAATTAGATTTACTTGCAAGTCTGCTGGCAATGCACAAGCTGGAACAGAATTAATCTCGCTGTTCCTTAGCTGTATGGACCACAGTGCCAAAAATTAGTAAGAAAATCTTATTGTGTTAGTGAATGAAAAATATCTGTTTTTCTGAGCGAGACAACACTTACACATTTTTAGCATTAACTGGCTGACTGCTCAGACTTAGCAGCCCCACACTCCATTTACAAGGACTTTTGAAGAATTACCAGCATGCACCCTTGCAGGGTGGATTAAAAACCAAAATCAAAAGATGTCCCCACAAATAATAATCACTGTGATTCAGAGGCCATCTTCAAACCCTACAGAAACGGGGAAGAATAGGCCAAACTGCCTTGCCAAGGAATCAAGGATTTTCTCTGTACAAGCTATCTGAAAGCCTGCATGTTATTTGTCTCCCATTTCTTGGTTTCTCCAGTAGGAACAGTAACATTTACCTTCATGGTCAGAATGGTTCTGTTCTAACAACTAAATGTTAGAACAATTTCTTGGTGTACATAAAGAAAATTACTTACAAGTATGGACTGAAATACATAAATGCTGCTTTTTAATTAACATATATACAGCATTTACTGTATTGTAATAGTAAATGTTATCTATTTCTAAAAATATACCAGTCAGTATGCAAAGACGTATACTTAGTGTAAAATACACTAAAGCATGTGTTCGTAGGCAAGATAAAAAGTCCTTGCAAATAGTAGCAAATTATTTGCCAGTTTTGTATTACCTAAGCTTATTCACTTGATTTTTTTTTAATATGCAACTTCAATGCAGTACAAAAACTAATATATAGTATCACATTTTACTGCTGTAAAAATGCAGGTACATTTTGTGATTGCATTAAAAAGCCCCAAACACATATGTGTATATATATGAAGAACAACGAAAGAAAACACTATAAAAGAAGACATAGTCCAAAGATACAGTAAACATTTCTGTTGGTGAAGACTACATCTTCAGCAGCAGAAACCTGACCAAGTGCATCAATGAATGGTTCAACTGAATAAAAGAAATAAAATTCCTCCTTTTTCAGCTTGGATTTGAGATTTTTGTCAAACTGTGATTGTGAAAAGGTTAAGTTCATCTGCTACCTGCAGTTTTTTCTTGCATCTTTCACTGTTCTTACCACAGTACTTCAGATGGCAGACCTCTTGTACCTACTGGTGTTGGGTTTCGGATTTGCTTTTTTAACTGTATCAATATTATACAGCTATTCTATTTTAAAAAAAACCTCAATCCTAGTCCATTTTGGGAAAAGCCATCACTTACTATAGCAATTAGTAATATTAAACATGGATGAGTGCCATGCAAATACATACAAAATATTCAACTAATATTAATGGTTACTTAACCTATTGTTAGATGATATTTTGACAGAAGTGTTTAATGAGCTTTTTGCTATACTGCTACTTTACTCCCTGTTACTTCTCACTCAAATACTGGCTCCAGAAAGGTCTTACATAGTTCTAAGTTTTTGAGTAGACAATATATCTGAGCATATAACCAGGATTTTAATCTTTTTTCTTTCTAGAAACAGCAGCAGAAAAGCAGACTTGCTGGTACACAGATGGTATCTAGTCTGCTTATCTACTCATTGTTATTAAATCTAGAACACGAGACGGATTGCCAGCTTTTATTAAGAAGACCCATTTTTATTGCCACTTCATGAGACTCTGAGTTTCCAAAAGATAGGATGATAACTGAAATGAAAAGCTCTTCATACATTTTTAATATCTCTACAAATATTGGAATTTTTGTGCAGTAAAGATGATTTTTAGTCTCATATCCTGAGACTCACAAATGACATACACTTACCTGGGCATCTGTGTTAGTGCCATGAATACCATCATCAGTACCAAATGTCCTTTTGCAGTCTTCTAGCCACTGCAAAATAAATACAAACAAGATTAATCATCTTCTGACACAGCAAACTGAAGACTGTGCTAAAACTGCTTAAGACACTTTGTCTTGTACATTCTTGGATAATGTAAGAAATTGTGCTATGAAATTATTGTTTACCAATATTGTTTGCAGTGATGATATCCACTGTGATAGATCACTTTGTAACTTTTATTTCCTGTGGCCTTCCTTACCCAAGATGGAGATAGTACACTCCAGCATAAATACTAACCCATGATTGAACTGATACTGTTACAGGAAAATGTATGAGAGGGTGGAAGCAGAAATATTTCTGCCTTTACTTTCTGCACAACTTTTACACTAATGTGATTTATCAGCCTTTAAAATATAGAACTAATTCATATTAATTCTCATTCCCCTTAAGAGAATAAGTCTGTTACATTTCTTGGGACTACTTGAGAAACAGAAGGAAATAGAGCTCTCCTGTGTAAGTGCAGGTTTACAAGATGGAATGAAAAAACCCAAATTCTCCAGTGGGAGTTTAGCATCACCTCCAGTTCATACAAGCCAAGGAGATAAAGTGTTCTTGCATTACACAATGCAAACCTGCAGGTTCCACTCAGGGCTGCACTTCACTTCCTATATCAGACAAAAAGTTTATTAATTTCAGTGGGCAGTCTCTTTTTCTACCTTTAACCAACCATGCAAATTTCTCAAAAAATAACCTCCATGTGTACTGGCATTCCCATGAATTTCTGTGTTACTATAAAGCATTTATAGAATAAAATATGTTCTCTTTGGACAATACAACCTGATCACCCCATTGATTAATTTTTCTGTACAGTGCCAACAACTGCAAGCATGGTTATTACTGAAATGGGAATGCATCTTGTTGAGATAAGGTGTATAATATCATCTGAAATGAAGAATAGCCTCTGTACATCCAAGGAAGAATAATTTAGCATACTGCTTGTGTTCGGTATCTTGAATCTCAGAGGGAATCTTGGTGACCTTTTTCTAACCTTTGTCTGATGCAAGAAAAAGAAAAATGTGATTTCCCATCTGCTCAATTTAATAAAGGTTACTTAGTGAATTAACTAGGCCAGTGTGCTCATCAAGAGGAGAAATGGAATTCTCTGAACATCACAGTGTCAGTTTCAATTAGTGACATGGATACCAACATCCGCAGCAAATCTCATTTTTCTTTTTATCAGCCAGCCTCCATCAGGAACAATGGAATAGGTTTGCACTGCAACAAAGAGCAGCAGCAATTGGGAAGCTAGTATTTATTTTCACACCCCACCTTTTTAAGATCTTTTTTTAAATCTTAGAACCAGTCTGAATAAAGGGTGTGCCTAGAATGCTGTGTGTATAAACCTGCATTTTCCATTACATTTATCTGATTCAGTATCTTTGTCCTTAATACCCATACGAAGTCTAAGCAGTCATCTTGCAAGAAAATAGAACAATAGCTCCAAAAAGGTGACAAAATTAATTTGTTAAGAATTTTTACAGAATATTTGTTCAGCATGGTAGAAAGATTTTTTTTTTCTTTAGGAATAGTGTGAAGAATAACCTTCTTTATGTGTTTGCTTTGTGTCAATTCATGTTTTCTCCATGTATCTCCTACAAAGTGTTGATGAAAGCTTAAGGCAGGGAAGTCTGGGGTTAGTCTAGGTCATAGGCACAGGTTGTTCTGGCAGATTACACCCTAAACAGACATGCTGAGCAGCCTATACTATGGGTACCTTTCTGTCTTATGTTGGTCTATAGGGAAGTGTTTCAAGCAACTGCAGCCCAAGCCTTTTACTTTTTCAATTTGATTCATGTGAATGCCAGCACTGAGAGTGACAAACGTCTTTTAGGATAAAGTTTAAACAACAGTTTTTCATTAAAGAAATTCACATACAGATTCTCCCAGTGGTTGATTCCAGACGATACCAGATTAACCTGCAAAAATCTGTTAATTTTTATTTACTTTATTATACAGTAACCCAACTACTTACTGGTCATTTTTCTGTGTGTTTCTATGAAAAAACCAAGGGTCTGCATAAAGTTGATTAAGGATTTTGCCTTAACACTTTCAAATTTAATAGGATACATAGCACAGCTGTGTGTAACAACAGAAATTCAGATTTTACTTGAGGAAATCTTGTTCAATCTTTCCCTTTACTCTGTTTAAGAGGACAGAGTAAGAAGACAATAAAACATATATCTAAGATATAGCTTAGAAGATTCTTAGTTTACATTTAATATAAAATACACCTTAGGAAAAAAGGGCCAACAGCTAAAGGAATACTTCTAAAATGTTTTAGAAAAGTAAAGTATTTGAGTAGTCACTACTTCCAAATTAACATGCTCAACAACCACTTAAATAATGCCCTAAATTGTCTAAATGATGTACTATCAAGAGTCAGAGATGACTGGTCAAAGCTGAAAGTTTCCTCCTTCTCAGTACTCCTTTTCATTTATAAATGATTAAATAAAAATAAAACCCTGACAAAATGCTCTCAGTTGTTTCAGAACAATTTCTTTAACCCTGTGAACCTTCTTCCTGCTCCAGTCACTCACAGATCTGTGGCATAAGACAGGCTGACCATAGAAACATGTTACTGGACTCCGTTTTTGACAGAAAAAACAATTCCTTCACTATGATATGACAGAGGCCATCAAATTGATGTATTTTATTTGTTTACCTAGTAAAATAAAATACAAAGAAGTTCCTAATATCCAGTATGGGTTTATATCAATATGAAATGTGGTAGTGCAAAATTAGATAACAATACCTTTAGTGAATTAGTTGCCATCTGAAAGGGATGTAATTTTAATTTGTTATACTTTGACAAATCAACAAAACAATACCATTGGTTATTGCTGTGATACAGTAGGCTAAATGGAGAGTTGATGCAAAATTCCTTCATGTTTGGACAGTCATCATTCCAATCACACCACACACGAGTCCCTTTTTACCCTGTCACAAATCTTTCTGTCTGACCATGGGGCAAATCAGTTACATCCTCTGTGCCTCAGGGCTGCTCTCTAAAAGGAGGAATGAAATACATTATGCTCTCACAGCAGTGCTGATAGCATTCTGCACTGAAGATTGCCAGACATGAAATATTACATTGAGTAAAATTATCTTAGTCATTAGATGAGCACTTGTTTCTGATTAAGCCTACAAGGCAAAATGTAGCTCATTATATTTGATCAAATAAATTGTTATTACCACAGAGCAGGGCAAATAAATGCAGCAACTCCTTAACAGAAATGCTGGCCTGGATCCTGCCAAGAGTTTATCTTCATTAACAGTGCTGTGTGGCATACTTTAGCATTGGTTTCAAGGAAACCACATTTCTTGTGAGATCCTTTCCACAAAAAAGTGCATGTCTGGTCTGTTCAACAGATGAGCTGTCAGCAGTTTTTGCAAGGCAAAGGCCATAATTTCCTAATAAATTCAGCATGATCAAGAGACATGGAGCCACTTGTGCTGCAAAACATCTGCCAAAGCTCTGCCAAAGCATCATGGCTTGAATTCTGGTTGTTTTGTATTACTCGAACTTGCCTGTACAGCCATTGTCACAGCCTCAGAGGCTGCTGAGATCAGTAAAATTCAGCATGTTCAATCTTCCTAGGAATCATCATCTCTACAACAAAAACCCCATACATTCCCCCTTTCCCTCTATTTGCAAAACTCATTGTAGATCCATGTTTTATTTCGGCCCTTGAAATACAAATCTTACCTGTGTCAGTTTTCTGAAGTTAGTATCTTACTTTCTGGAATTCACACATAGGTTCACAAAACCAAACATACAGACCCTTGCTACAGAAATTTTCTAAATTTCTTCTAAACTGCATTTCTTTGGAAAAAGGATGTAACCACTAACATACACCTTGAAAACTAAACTGCATTATTCTAAGCAACACAGAAACATCATCCTCAATGAGATCCAGCTGTAAGATGAGCCCTAAATTTGTCTCTGTGTGACACAGCTGTAAAACCCTCATTATTTGTCAGTGGAGATTCAGTCACCAAAAAGAAGTATAAAGAATTATTCAGCTAAACAAGTCGGTATCTCTATTATAATAAATGCATTGCTTTCTTGATTCCTTTTAATGTATTGACCTGATCCTTGAATATTGTGGGTGTTAATGCACTTGGCATTCCAGAAAGATAGTTATCTGTAAATGTCTTAATCTGGAGGTGAATCCCTAGTCTAATAAAATAAGTAGAACATAAATTTAAAAAACCTATTATTTATTGATATTCATGTTAGAAAATGAATTACACTTACTAAAAAACCCCTCAGGTTCCAATTATAGTAATAAGAAAAGGAAACAGGATTTTATTTCAGAAGTCTTTTCCCACAGTTTACCTTTAGATGCCTTTGATGAGAGATAAGGACCTGCAACATTTTTTGATAAGTAGGTTCTAATACTGTTGTCTTGAGATATAAGAGACTCACCTGTTCTGCTGCCTCTCTTTTGACATTATAGGTATCCAAGTGTTCTTGGAGCTCTAGAACACTGAATTTCAATGTTTCTAGCAGGCCACAAGACAACAGCTGGAAGATAAAAGCAATCAAACTAGTCATGTAACATCTGACTATAACCCACACAGTCTAATATCTAAATTACATTATACAGAATCTCACGTTCACATTTGGAAAAACAAATTAGAATTAGCTGGCCATGTCATTTGTGACAAGCAAGTGAATTAACACATGCAGCTCTGCCATTTAAATCAGTGAACAACAGTTTTAATTCCAAAATAAGAAGAGTAGTACCTAGTTAACATGTGAAAGAGAGATTTCAAAGCAATTTTAAGGTCTTTCATAATGAAGATATTTGATACACACATACAACTAGTGTAAATAAAACAGCTTGTAGAAGGAAGGAAAGGTACTGCTGCTGGATTGCTCCTGTAGCAACCTAAGGAGTATCCACTGAGGGTTACTTGCTCTTCTCAATATACAAAATATACTACCAGAAAAGCTTCTGCATTCTGACAGGACTTGGTCAAAGCAGGAACCACTGGATATTTGATTATTACTACTATCTACTATTAATAACTGCCTCTTTTAATATGGTATCAGTCTTTTTCCCTCAAGGACTGCTACCTCAGCTTTCTTCCACACAATTTCTCCCTGTAGTTTTATTTTCACTCAGGTTTTCTTATTAGTCCTTCTTCTGACGCTTCCTGTAATAAACATCTCTAACATGACGTTTCCTCCCTCACACTGGTCAGTCCTTGCACACAATAACAGCTCTGTACTTTATCAGTGAGAATTGATCTGACAAACAGGTTCATTTAATTTTCATTATTTGGAGAGGAAAGATTTATTTATACAGTATTTGTCAATGTAACAACACTAATGTGTGCATGTCCATGTACACATGTACGTATTTGTGTGCTATATTAATTTATATCCTTTTTATATTTGTGTTTATATAGATTTGGTTTTTTATTTTATAATACACATGGTGTTTTAGTTAGGCACTAATGTAGCTTTTCTTAAGGCTTCTTATCTTAAAGAAATATCTTTTTTTTGTAAATTTCTACTGCTTTTAAAGTGACATAATAAAAACCAAAAAACATTACAGGTGGTTCCCTTGAAATGCACTATCTGTATCATGCTTTTTTCATTCTCATATTCTTAAGTGAGAGCTTAAGAAAGAGTTGCCCCTTAGTAGCAAGGGAAAAAAAGCAGGACAGTAGAAATGTCTCACACAGGGCATTAAGGCCAAAGATCCATGTACCTCAGCCCTGCAGCTGACAATGTCTAATAGCAGTTGTTTAAAGAAGGGCAAACGTGGTGATCCACCTGCCCCAGAGTGCTTTCAAAGCCTCTGTCAATGTATTGTTCTGCATATTTAAAGGATCTGTCCAGGGCTACTTCTTCCATGAATTTCTTTAGTGGCTTTTTGAAAACATGAACAGATACCATAAAAAGTGACAGCATTTCACAGTTTATGTATCACATGAAGGACCTTGGTTCTGTATGTTTTTTAGGTTACTGCTAGCTTAATTTGATCACCCTTAACATCAATTAAGACAAAAGAAAATATTTTCTATCACTTATCCATGATAAGACATTGATTGACAGATTTATCTTCTAAAGGGCTAAAAATCCTAGCCTACATACTCATATCTTACATGTACTTATTTCATCATCCTTGTGTTGTGATCTTTCTTTAATTTTTTCCAGCACTACTACATTTGCTATGAGAGCAAGGGACCAAAACTGCCCCCAAAATTCAGGATGTAGGTATACTGGGAATATGTACATTAACTCAGTGATATTTCCTGTTTTGCTGTCTTCTTTCTTGATAATTCTAGCACAGGGGTTTTTCTGCCTGCTGCTAAACACTGAGCTGACTTCTTGGATTAGTATCTATTATAATGAGGATTTCAACTTGCATGACAACAAATAATTCCAAGTCTTCTCATTGTAGATTTGTAGTGAGAATGTTCTTCCCATGCATCACTGAATATATACATAAAACAATATAACAGAAAAATGCAAAGTTGCTGCTAGATAAACAATCTTCCTTCTTCTTACTTGTGCAGAGAACATAGAATAAATATGAACAATCAGGGAAGGTAAAGAGTAGTAAGGGATTTAAAGTGATATCTACTAAGTTTCCATACTGTTCACTGTTACAGCTGGAACCTATTTTTTAAGAAAATGCATTTCTCACTGGTGGTTTCCAGTGTTTATGATACACAGTGGCCACTTAAGATTTTAATTCCCTTCTGATTTCAAAGAGTTTCTTTTTTCCATATATTAAAACATTATTTTGTATGTTACATGAAAGGTTTAAGCAGACAAATATTCCAACATGCAGGTTTGAGATTCTTACCGTTTCTGCATCCACAAAGACTGTTGGACATTCTGAACATAACATCATCACTTCCAGAGAACTTTTAAACTTTGTTCCAATGCGCTGTAGACTTTCACCAAGAAAGCTGACTGAATCATTTGTAATAGATACAAACTTTCTTTGAATGGTCTAAAAGTCAAATCAGAAAAACATTTATCTTACATTGTGTTTTACTACTCTTCCGGCTTTTTAGGTAAGAATTTCAAAGCAAATTTCTATCCTGACAAGTCTCTATCAAATTATGTTTTTTCATTAAATGAAAAACTAATATGCAATTTTCTCTGAAGAGTTATGTAAAATCAACTCTGGAAAATGCAATAAATCAATAAAACCAGCCAGTATCTGTAGAAACAAGTACTCCTTTCCTACCTAGGCCTCTAGCCTTAGTATAGGTAGATGGCTATTTGCCTTTACACAGTACAGACAGTTCAATTTATTTTCAAGTGTTTGTGTTGCAGAAAATTACAGAGTTTGATGAGTCAGTATGCAATCTGTGTAGCACAATCTGTGTCCAAAACTGCCACCTGCAGGATTTCTACCTTCTTCAAAAATCAGTCCTGAGTTTATCATAATCCTGAGATTATGCAGAGTGTCATGTCAGCCTAATGGAATACTGCAATCTGCTATGCACTATTTCATTAATCCGGGAAGCTACATGTAGAAAAAAAACTATATAAAGATTATACAGACAGCTGCAAAGTTAAACAAAGGAAGAAGGAGCCAAAAGGTAAAATGGAAAGGTTCAGTCAAACAAGGACTTCCAAGTATCACTTGATCATGTTAACCCTCCTCTGTACCCAGTAACAACTCCTCAGCAACATTTTTTGCCCATGCTTGAACATTGGTTTGCTATTGTGCAGAGCAGCTGACTTTCCAGCTGTTAAGTTTCATCCTTCTTCCTCAGCTCCCTTGTTAATGAGCACAAGAGAATATGAGCTCTCATTTTACCACTTTCAGGAAATGAATGAATGTGTGAAAACCAACTGCAGCTAAGCTTTGGTATAATACAGGCAAACCAAATCCCTGATGTCTAGACAAAGCAAGAGACAAAAATCTACAACCTGTAACAGAAATTTCATGGCACTGTGGCCATGAAAATAGTTTACCATAAAATGGAAAATGGGTATAGATGTGAAAACAAATTACTCCATGGGAAAGGCAGAGCATGAATTCTTCCCATCTAAGTTACTGCCCATACATGGGATAAAATGTGCTAGTGTGCATCTTTCACTGAGGAATTTATTATGATATGCCAAACAGCAAGCAAAATTAATATCAGAGATACAAGAAAGGGCTGGAGCCATAAAATCTTGTTCTGAATATTACCGTAGCTCATTTGGCACATTGACTGTATGTAAAATGAATTAATTATACTTATTCTACCCCATAGGAATTTGGAAAGAAGCATTACTTTTAAAATGTAAAATCTCATCCCCTACATATAGGGAGAAGGGAGCCAGAAAAATTAAGCCATGGGTATTTTGTGTTGGATAGCAGATCTATGAGGTAAATAGAGTTAAAAAGAGGCATTTGAAATATCCAGCTCCAGTAGATCTCCTGGTGTTTCAATTACTTCTCTGCAGAAAGAAACCTTTTTCTCTCAAGACAGATGCAAGATAAATTCATTAATGTTTGTCATGCTGTGATCCCATAATAATGACTCCCACAAAAAAAACCAAAAACAAAACAAAACAAAACAAAAAAACCAAACAAAAAAACCCAGAAAAACCCCCAAAAAACAGGAGAAAGACATTAATTCTGTAATCATCACAGAACCCAGGTAATGGTCAGAAAATAAAAGAAGGGACCCAGCCTGGACTAAGAGCTTACAAGAAACACTGAACTGATTTTTTTGAGCTTTTCTCAATTTTTGCTTATTTTCTGAGCAGGTTCACTCCTAGGCAATGAATACAGCAGATATCCTATGGAAAAATAGGGTATGACAGTGTAACATTACTTCAGCAGTGTTTTTCTGGTCTGCTTTTAATTTGCTATCTAAAGCTTCTTGCTACCATAATCCTGTGGCTTTTGCAGTTTCAAGGGGAAGACCAGTTTTAGAACTAGGGGGAAAGGATTTCAGATGAGCAATCACATACAGAGAATTCACTGACCTGAAACAATCTTGAGAAGACATGAAATGTATAGACAGCACAGGATCCATCTGTGTCTGACAGCATCTGATTGACGTGGCAGCGCCAGGCCTGCTCTTCGTCATCGTAGGCCACGGGCTGGAAAGCTGCCAATATGGCAGAAAGAAAGGGGGAAGGAGGAGGGGAGGCCTGCACTTCTGGGAAACCATCCTGTTCTTCTTCATCTTGGCTACAAACAATAAATAACAGAAATTACCTCCTCAGCAAACTTTTTAGGAAGAAAACACCTTCATTTTGGCAAGAAAAAAAAAAAGAATTTTGGATTCAGAATAGCATTTTGTAAAATAAATAACAGATCAACTAAGGTAACTACGAGACAAGAAAAGAGTAAACAATCAAAAACTTTTGCTACTGCAATGTATTAAAAATTGCTTATACTCTCCAAAATTTACTACCACATGTCAGTTCTACACAGAACTAGAGACAAAGAGCTATCTGGAGGTTATATATAGGTATATAAAGCACTATATATATGGACACCACTTAGAAACAGGCATCTTCTTCTTGCCCCCAATAACTGAAGTAACATCCCATTCTTCAAATTTTTATTGATCTGAACAGATGGTCCACCAATATCTGCAGCAAGTTTTAGCCTTCCTTAAGGGAAGCACAAGAGCTCATTTAGCAATGTAATAGTGTTTTATAACTGTCTTAAGTAACAGAAGCAAATGGAGATAGATCAAAACACTCATTTTTATGGGCAATCAGTTTAACAGGCCTTTGTTCACAGAACAGTCTGCTGTCACACTTTCCATTAGGCACCAAACATCCAATAAAAATATCAAACTATAAATTAATCAATGCTACTACTTCCAATCATTAAAATAATGATTAAGCTAAAACATTCTGTATTACAAGGGATGATACATTTTGACATTTCTTCTTGTATAACTGTATGTAGACAGCACAAATATGTGTAGGACGATTGCAAATATACAGACAGTTTATTAAAATAATCTTTTAAATTACCTACAGTTTTTCTCTATGACAACTGCCTCATCCACAACAGCACTAAGTACATCTTAAACAAGACTTAAACATGTCTTAAACAAGAAGTATGGGTGCTGATTTTAACTAACTAGTGTACCAATGCTATCACCTCTGTCACTCTTTAGACTAGAGCTATGCGGTTTTTCATTTGCTTGCTTAGTGTAAATAAAATAAAACCTTAAGAGATTGTTCAGTTGCAAATGAGGAACTAAACTGCTCTTAACTGGTACTAGCCTTGAATTCTCACAAGGCATATGCAGTAGGTCAAGTATGGGATCACAAGAAACAAGTTTCTGTCTCTCCTGGTAAAACCTTCTCAACCAACTTCTTTTGTGTCTCCTGTTGTCCTCTTTTCCGAAAAAGCCTCCTTAAGAGATCTCTCTGGAAGAAGATATCAAGTCTGTGTACCTATATATACCAAGTTTCTCTATTATTCAATCTAAACTTCTGAACAATTTTAAATATGAACAAGCCTATGATCAATGTGGATTTTGTTTGTTTTGGTTTGTGGGTTTTATTTGTTTGTTTGGGGTTTCTTATTCCTTTTCCTTCCTTCTTAGACCATTACTTCCAGGGGACTTAAGAGTTTCACTTTAACTGTGATTCAACCAGCTAGGACTAACTTTAACTTTTCCTCTCAATAGTTATTTTTGCTCTCCTTAATTAATCAAAAAAGATGTTATTTTACTTTAAAATATCTTAGAAATATACAGGAAATTTATCAACCTTAATAATGAAAATAACCCTCGAGCAAATTCAAAGACAAACTGATCTGACTGCTACAGAAGCTTTGATTTTAAAAAACCCAACTTTTTCTCCTGGTTTTTTTCATGTCTTTGGGTACTGCTGTAAGTCAGAGCAGTTCAAGAGCCTTTCTCTGTTATACTGTCTGCAGCTAATTTTTCACATTTCTGTCCTACTGATGGTGAAGAAAAGTGCTAATTTCTTTTATTCGAGAATTCTCATATTTTCCTGCGCAACTGTTTTCCTTGTACCAGAAACAATTGCTGGAAAAAAAACTGAGTTTAGGTGCTATAACAGGCAAGACTGATCAACCATTATTTCAGATATGCAAACCATCATTTTATATTTTTGTATTTTGGGATTAATGAAAATCTCCATACCATAGAAAAGCCTGTTTGATAATGCACTGATAACATGTAATTTGTGTTACTTATAACCAGTATTAATCTTACCTAGACAAACCAGAGAAGTCAGCTTCTTCTTCTTCACATCTCTCATCTAGCTCTTTCAAAGCAAGAGTGACATCCTCTTCACAGACAGATTCAGAATAGCTTTCAGGAGCTGCTGCCTCTACCAGTTCTGGGGTCTCTTCCAGCTCCAGAGACTCGTGACAGACCAGACATTCTTGCTGCTCATGTAGTAGGTACGAGCCAGTGTCTTCACTAGCAGTGCTAATCTGTTCATCCCTCACTGCTGAACTGCCTTCCTGTGAATCACACATCCTTTCATTAGTGTTACTGTCAGGGCCTGTGTATTCTTAGCAGTTTTTATTATGGTAAACTAACAGTTATAAAAGATTATTTACAAATATTTACTTTAACTATTCAGGTCTTTGGCTTGTGTACACAGTTTTAGTGGGGCAAAGACAGGCAGCCTATTTGTAATGTTTATAACTTCTGATAAACATTAATATCCTAGAATGTGACTTATGTAGAGCAAATACAATTTCTCAAATACATTTAATTAAGTCTGCTAGAGAATACTGATAGAAAAATATGCAAACAGCCTCAAACTTAGTGAGATCAAACAAACCCAAGACTTTCATGTTTTACTTTTCTAGGTAAGCATCAAAATGACTGCCTCACGCTTGCCTTTGGAGTCTAGAGCAAGTACCAGAACACTTTTTCTCCTTTCCACTCTCCATTTTAATAAATTTCTAAAGTATAACTACTTAGCAACAGTGTAATAGATAAACAGGAGAAAAGGGACATTCCACTGTTTTTATCATTTTGCCATTACTACTAATATGGGCATCTTTTAAGGGTTTTACCCTGAATCTCTAAATGCAGACTTTCATTAACAGGCAATTACAGAGAGAGGATAATTAAACTCATGTAGGTAATATTGAAACAACCCTTTCTCCCTTCCTCCATTAGCATTAGCATCACTATATTGAACAGACGAATTAAGATTCAGGTAATTTATGATGAATTAATTTGAAACCTTTATATTGGATTTCTCTGTGGAATAAAAATAACACTTGCTATTTCCTAAAGACACAAATTACCACATATTTTCATTCTTAGTATGCTGGTCTTTCTCTACTGGCATATCCAAAACTGGTCAAGGAACCTTTGGACAGCCTCTGAGCATACACATAATTTCATGGTTTTCAGCAGTTGAAACAGATCCTCTGAGACATGAAATAACTGTATACATATTAGAAAGGAAAATTCAGCTTTAAACATAATTTTCTTTCACAGTGATCCTAACCAAATCTCACTTTGACTATGGTACTCCTCAATGTGACACTGCTGACATTTGACACAGCTAGTGACTTCACTTATGCCTCTTTTGTTAAAGTAAAATCAGGAAATTTTTTTCACAGAAGAGTCATTTTGTCCTACCGAGCAGCTGAGGCACATGGGAATGCAGGACACTTTTACAAAACCTCAACAAAATACTTTGGGTTGAACCAATGGTCCATTTCTGTTACAGGTGCTTACACAGGATACAGAATTGCACTGATCATGACTGGTAAATATACACATGAGAGATGCACTTTTTGAAAATACACTTATTAATAATAAATTTACTGCCAAGTTTAAATCTTCATAGTGCCATGACTCCTGATTTCATTCTCAGTGTGTCATTGGACATTACTCCCAGCATGAATATTCTTTAAGTATCTTAAAAAGCTGATTTATATAGTTATATGGTTACCAATGCCACAGAACCTTGGGAAAATTACTTCTACTAAACTACTCCCTCACAAATCTACAGTGCAAGTGAGTAAAACAGAGAATCATCTTAGTCAGACACTTTCATATGCATTAGCCTGTAACACATATTTTTGAACAAAATTATTCTTCTCAGAGGCACAGTAAATTCTTTACTGGAAGGTGAAACGTCTTTTTTGCATTTTCTGGGAATCAGCCAAATGCATTTAAGTGAACAATTAATTTAAATACAGCATCCCTATGAGACAAACAAGGAACTCAATTCATCTAACCAGCACACTCTTGTTTATGAATAATGGCTTCAATTTTTCCCATATTGTCTTAGATAACTTAGATACTTATTTATATTAAAAACATTTTGATAACTGACAGTTGGCATACAATGAAATGCTTGTGCTGAGAGAGCTTTATAATAAAGTATAGGAGCACAGGAAAAAACAACTGCCCTATGCTACAAGTTGTACAGTATAAGTATTCAGAATAAAATCCATTTTACTGGCTTCATAAATATTTCAAGATGAGTCAATCATGTGCATATTTTCAAGCTCATTCTGGTAAGAGGCGTAAGGCCAGCTCACTTTTTGGGCAACAAAATCCAACCAGATATCTAAGTCTTGTAGAGCAATAACTGTGAGTGTTTGAATTTTGCTTGAAGAAACCTGTATAGTTGTCCAAATCTCATATTCTAACAAGCCCAAAATAAACCTGCAACACATCATAGCTAGTGAATGCATTTGTATGCACCTGCAGTAATTTTTTTTATTTATATACAGCAATTCATTCTGAATGCTGCCTGGTCATAGAATTATTTTACAGCCCAATTTAAATGTTTTCCATATTTTAAAATTACAGTGGTGCTTTTTTGTGTGAATATTTTCACCTGAATTACAGCAGTATAGTGATTTTATAAAGGGAGCTGCAGAAGAACAATGAATTCTAAGGGCAGTCTTAGAAATAACTATGAAAATGTAAAAATTAGTTACAGCTGAGGATGTACCACACGCCAGCAAGGGAGAAGACAAAAGTTTTTTATGGTGAATTTAATTCTATAAAATTCCAGCTTATATATTGCTTCTTGCTTCTGAAATCTTAACATAAAGTATCTATTCTGTGTGCAAAAAGTTCACCCAGATGAGGTGTTCTTCCTCAAACAAAATTCTTTTGTATGAGAAATGGATGTTGTAGAGGAGCACAAGAAGTGACAACAATTTGTTTGACAATCTAAGCACAGGTGCTCTGCAACACCTGAGACAATTTATCAACAGCAGTGTAATGAAACACTTTTTTTAAAAAGCACATAGATAATCATAATGGGAAAATAGGAAAAGATGTGGGGGAAAGCATTTTATGAGCATCACAATATTACACCTGTAAAAGGTGAGGATTTTATTACAGGAAATCAGCCATGCTCCCTTTATTGGACTCTTTTGTTACAGTTTTCTTCATTAAATATTAGCTATATCTGTGGTCTGCCTCTTAGTAAGAGCAATTTTTCTAGTAGCAAACAGATAAACTGGAGCCTTTAGAAACTTGAACTAGTCAGTAAATTGTTTGAACCAGGTTGGCTGAAGACTCATTCTTAAGTGTCAACAGTGCACTCACTGGTTAGTCAAATAAACATAGGAATGGCTTAATTTTCTGGAATACTCAATAAAACTTCATGCATAGTTAAAGATAGGATTGGCTAACACTATGCAAATAAAAATAAGATTTCTAGTAGCATAAATAATTTTAAATGAAGAGATAAGAAGTCCACCTAAACCAAGCCACTTAGAGAAAAATTGTAGCAGATGAGAGTTTGTTTTAAATTAGGGATGTCTTTTTAAATTTTTAATTATTCAAACATTTGAAAACACAATAAACTGAAGTACTCACAGATTTGCAGGCGGCCATTAGCTTGAAATCTGTCTCGGTCCACATGGGCCTTTCCAAAAAAGTATACCACTAGCATCTGTAGTCCTTACTAAAGGATTATTTAATGGAACCAACTGCTAACACAGCTGGCCTGAGGTTTTATTCCCATATAGCACCAATCACAACCCAAAGAAAGCAAAACAAAAAAGGTGGGGGACAGGGGAAGAAAAATAAAAAAGTATTGGAAAGAAAATGTCGCTCAAGAAGAATTTCAACCATATCAAGTAAAAGCATTTTGAATATTAGCCTGTTTCATTCTGCACCATGAAATGATCATGATCAGCCCTTCGAGAATATTTTTAACCTGTGGCGAGTTCCCTCAGTCCATCCAAGAAATCTCCATGCTGAGGGAACATTTTGTAAGAACATGCCAACAGGTCAGAAATATTAAAAGCAAATCAACTAATCAGTGTAACAGACGAAAATTCAGTTGAAAAGAAAGCCAAAGTTGCTACTAAAACTAGAAGGAGCTCAAATCAGCCATGCACCAGCCCCCATTTCTCCCCACCTCAGGCAGCTGGTTGCTAGAGTTATCTAGAGAAGAAGCCTCCAAACTTGGGGTCTCAGTTCTGATTTGAAGCACCTCTTCTGTTCCCACACTGCTAGTGGAATCTTGAGACTGAAGTGATAAACCAGCATGATCTGACACTGTTTCATCCATGGCAGAATCACTGATTAACTAAGACAGAAAAGAAAGAAACAAAATTCTTCGAAGGAAACACAGATTTCAGGTAAAGAATACATTAGTTCTGAAATAGGTTGTTTCAGTATTATTAGCTATCTGAATTTATTCACATATGATGGATTTCACAGCTTTACACTAGAACTATTACAAAGCATCACCTGCATTTCTGCAACATTTCACTTTGAAAAGAAGTTTTTCCTTTAAGGAAAATTATTTTCTTTCTTATTTTAGAAGTTCTTTTTGCTAGACTGAAACTCTTGAAAAGCAGAGCATTTTGTTGGGAGCAACATTAATACAGACTTTGCCTAAAGTCTAAAAAGCAACATGCACATCAAGCTGCTCCCCATCAAGTCAACCTTTTCTTAATTTCATTTATGTAATGCAGAGAGACTTTTGAGTGGCCAGCATTCTTGATTTTCCTAAGTTATATGTACACAGGTTTCAAAATCCATAATTAATTTAGCAATTTCTGTGCTTAGACCTCCATAGGACCACTTAATGCTCTTAATCTTATTTAGCATTTGGAGTGGTTTTTTGATCTAGAAATCCACAAAGATACACACTTTATATATAATAGATGCAATTTTGTGCTTATATTTAAAAACACGTAAGTGTAAAGACACTACACAATTAAGAGCGTTCTAAAATTATAAATTATGTACCATCAATGTCATAAAGTAACTTTTTTCCTTCATTGATGCTGTAAAAAAGAAGCTTAGTCACATTAACTTAGTTCCTTACTATGTCACTTAGGCTGAAAGTGTGAGCCACACTTATCTAATAAATGTGTTAGGGAAAGCTTAAGTTCTCAGATTTCTTCCACAGAAAAATAACCTACCATCTGTGAACGAGACAGTATCTGACTTGCAGTCAGTGCTGCTTCTTCTTCTGAAGACTCATCAGTATCCTCCTGGTTGGTCAAGTTCAAGCTGGGTGTGCTGCCGGAGTACTGGCACTCCTGAAGGGACGGTGTGTCTCCTTTGTCAATGCTGTCAAGAGAGCGCCTGCGAACGCCCCAGTTGAAGTTGTCCATGCTTTCACCCTGGAACAGAAAAGTGTGCACACATCTGGTATGTACGAGTTTCAACATAACTAAGTTAATACACAAATGAGACAGAGAAAATATGAGTACTGAATGCATCATGAACAGAGTTTCAATCAGCCCTTTAGTTTTATTAAAATTTTAAGTACCTTGATAAATGCTTGTAAATAAAATATATGGCAAAGGAAGTAGAAATATTTTGAATATCTTCTTGGAAAGTAACTCAGTATGTAATCTAAAACTACATCAGTATTGATTTTATAATCTGACTAGAAAGTACAAACACATCACAGACAACAACAGATGAACAAGCCAGGGCACCAGGCTGCAACTTACCTGCAGCTCCTGGTTAGCAAAAAGGAAAACACATATAATTAGAAAGAACGAGGACAAACACTTAAAGATACTCTAGAGCCAGGGAAAAATGTTTTATTACATAGGATTTGCCAACAGTAAAAGACTGATTCAAGCTCTGGAAAAAAGCTTAATCAAAAAGCTAGTATTTAAAATAATGTCTCTTTCTAATGAGGTTAAAAAAAAAAACAACAAACTGACGACAAAACACTAAAATCAGCATGCTTATGATACATTTCCTCTAGCATAACATGTAAAGCAACTGTTCCAACAAACATTGATGAAGTTCTTTAACTAACACACATGAATCTATACTGACCACATCCAAGTGACAAAACACTATCAACAATAATTATATACAGGGTGTAGAAAAGATGATGTTGTCCCTAACTGTTTTACCAGCTACTTAGTGTCAGTTTTATGAAGTGCACCCTGAATACCAATACCCTGGATCCATGCTTGTGCATTTTCAAGCTGAGATATTTGAGTTTCAAATATCCATCATACTAAGTGGCATCCACATCTTAAAAACACTGTTATTTTAATTCACAAGTACAATAATGGTCTTTGATTTTCTCAAGCACTTCATCAGCCTTTAAGAATTCAGCTAAGCGATATGGAAAACCTGGTGAAGTTCACTTCACCCGTCTACAGTTACTGTAACACCACACCTAGCCCCAAAAAGGGCTCCAAAACTGCCTTAACAGTACCTTGTGTGGTGACTTAAGAAATCACCATGACTCATTAAACATGCAAACTAAACATTTTGCAATCCCTTTCTCTCTTGGTGATTTCTTTTCCTCAAAAGAGGATGAAAAGTTATTGCAAAGCAAAATAATTTCAAGTACAACAAAGTACTACTACTGTGGGCTGAAGCATTTAAGTTTAATCTGGATATTACTCAGATGTTAATGTAAAAGCCCCATTTCATACTGCTGGCATTTAATTATTAGCAATAAAGAACATGCTATATTTTTGGTGAAAAAATAAGACACAGCTCTTATACCAAGCGCACGATTTATATATAACACCCTAAATCTGTGCTATCATATTAGTGGTCTTTTTTTTTTAATTTAGTAGAGCACTACATGCTGCATTCAGGCAAGTAATGAAGAAGAAACTGTCTTTTCTTAATTATGACCTGCCATTAAAATAGCACAGAAAGTGAAGTTAAAGGTTAACTTCATTTGGTAAAGTATTCAACTTCTGCTATCCTATCTGTCAAGTCCTGTCTAGTGTTAAACCAGTGTTTAAATACTACTGAGACTCAATTCTGAACTTGTATTCAATACAGGAAATGGCGTCTGAATAGTGTGTGGTTACATCTATGCAATAGACCATAACGAGCCTGTACTTTTCCTAGAAGGTGCAAATTCTGGCTGAAGTTAAGCAATACACAGGAAACAAGAGGAAAGCAAGATAAAACTAAATAATTAGGGGGAAACCCTGTAAAGAGGTCTAGATAATTCAAGAGAAAAACAATCAGTGTTTAGATAGGTAGATATTCTTAGTAACTTGTGGACTCATGACCAGCAAGGATATCCATTACTATTTCAATAGTTTGCATAGTCTGTAACAAAACCACTGCAAGAAACTACAGAACATTCTACTTTTTCCTTCCCAGTCCTTTTATAGTCATACTTTTAAGCTTCAGCAAATTCTGGTCTGAAGCATTTTATTGATCTGAAACAAGTAACAGTTGTTAACAGAATCTTCACTATTTCTCAATACTTAATTTTGTTTTACCTTCCCTCTCTCTTTTTGACAGGAGAAGTAGAAGAAATACAAGAACTGCAATATACCAGATATAATGTAAAAGTCAAAGCAAGCAATTATAGAGAGCAAGTCAATCATATATAATGAGATAGTGTATCATACAGTTTGTTACTTTGAAAGCTTTTCATCAAGTTCTCAAAATCCAGAAACATATCAGAAACAATAATTATGCCATTTTCTTAACACACTGTTCCATAATTAAGTTTTTTCCTGCATGGTACCCAGGTGCTTATGCTGACATTGGCTTATACTGTCATACGACTTCACTTTCAGGTAAAGTCACTTAAATCCCTCCAATAAAACCTCAACTCTTTCCTCCAAAACCAGCCAACAATTTGCAACAACTTAACCCTGCAAAGTTTTTGGCCCAGGTTTCTCTATCTAAATTCCACCATGTCATAAATTTTTCTGAATTGGATTAGCTAGTAGGGCTGCCAATTCCTTGGAGTTGCACCAACACAACCTTATTTTTAAAATGCTCTCAAATGGAAATACACAGAAGAAACCCCAAGGTCTCACCTCCGCATCTTCCAATTCAACATCTAAAAAGTCAAAGTCTTTAAAAACTCCAAATTGCTGTTCACTGGTATTGTCTTCTACAGCCACTTCCTCCTCTTGAATCACTTCTTCTGTTGCTGAAATTAGACTAGTTTGTTGATCTCCAACTTCCAAGTCTTCATTAGAAGAAAACACAACCTGCAGATATAGGTAAAAACAGAAGTAAGAACTTCCAATTTCTGTAACTCCAAAAGTCAGCTATCCTGCTTCCTGCCATTTAGTGGAATTAGTGGCAGGCAGCGTGTCTACCCCAGTACTGGTAACACTTGGCTTCAAGACTAGTTGGATTTAAAACTACATCTTGAAATTAGTGGTATCGTTCTGTCCTTAATGTAACTAAGAGTTACAAAGATATAAATAGAGAGAAAAACATATCACCCAAACTTCATTTTCATAACCACAATATCAGTCAAATTTAAGAACAAAAGAATCCATCATAATAATCAGCCACATGACACAGACCATACCTACAAACTTCTGTGGAAGGATTGTACACCTTTAAAATGGATCCAATACTGAGCTACTGTGGCCTTCACAAATGACAATATTCTGTTTATTTCCATACACTGTTTTTTAATATGTCCACTTCCAGCTTTCAGGCATCTATTTTTATTTATTTTAGCTTCTTCTACTAGATTCAAGATCCTTCTCCCACCAATATTTTCCTCAGGTAAGAACTGTTATGCCACAATAAAAAACTATGTTCCAGATGATAACCAAGGTAGGCTATCCACTTTGTTTTAAAAGCTGTCAGTGTCATCACCACCATCAAGCATATTATGCCAGTGGGGTTCTTTATAAATAAGTAAAACCATCAACCTATTTTTAATCAACAGTTAAGACTACTGTTCCTATAAATAACCATGTTTCAAGGTATATGACCCATTGGTTATTTTCAATGGATTCGATGATATTTGCAATACAGCATCAACACCCTTGCAGTCCTCAGCTACTGCTACCCCTTTGCTCAAGAGCATCTGTAATGGACTAGGTAGAGAGGTAGTCAGAACAGGAGAGATCTAGTTCAATTCTCTTTTCTAGCCAAGACAACCATGCCCACTGGAGTCCTTGAGGACCAATAGTAATCCATTACTTCTGATTCTTCTTTTTAATCTTTCTATTGGATTTGTGAACTATTGAACCAAAACTAGCTTGTCCAAATCCACTGTTATAACTTCACCAACAACTACAAATGCAATAGCATTCTGCCAGTTGAGTTCAAAAACCAAAACAAACCACCACCACCACTTACCGAAGGATTCTTGGGAAGACCAGAATCTGGACCACACAGAGAAAGCACATTCATTAACTTCTCCCTAGTCCTTCTCTGAAAAATATGCCAAAGAAAACCACATAGCACAGCAGCTTCTCGAGGTTCAGGTAAAAACAGAAAACATTTGCATATTCAACTAGTCATATTGCATATTGACACCCTCTAAAAACAATCTTAAATTTTTTTACTTTTCACCAGTATCAGCTTTTAGTTTATGCTGTATTCATTTACTGTTTTGCTATGACACAATACAGACTTCAAATAACACTTCAATGCATTTTTTTAATACATTCACAAACACTGTCTCTAATATATGCATGAAGTGTTTGAGGCACAATTTACCTGAGATGGCTGTGGTCTCTTCCAGCTGACAGGAACCAGTGCATTTGAATTGGAGCCTGATGAAGTTGAAGAAGTGCTCCGGGTCACAGCAATGACTTTTGGCTTCCCATTTCTACCAGCTGCACTGTGTTGATCACCATATTTATTCCCAATAATTGGAGTCTAGCAAAGACAACAAACAACTTATTAAAATTGAAATCTATATTAATAAAGAGGACATATTTGACTTAAGAATTTAGCATTATATGAATCGTAGGAGGGTTGGTCTGTTTGTAAGCATTCTGTAAAACCCATGTCAAATCCACTGAGCCTCAGTTCACTGAGAAATACAAAGCTGAATACGTGTACCCTATGCAGCAAGGGCCATTCTGCCCACTTGTGTGGCTTTGAATTATGCACATTCTATGCAACAATCCAATTATATTTTTAAACACACATCAAAACCAAATGTGTTTTAGGTTTAAAAGATGCAAAGCTTCTCTGTAGAATCATTCCCTGACATGAACAAATTGTTTTCACAGACCAGCAACTTCACAAATACACACACACTTCTAAAAAAAATCAATTATCAAATTCAACTCTTTTGACAGCAAATGCTAACCCAATGAACTCTGTGGGAATTTATCTTATCTCTCAATTATCCACATGCCCTGAAACTTGAGTAGTGAATGTACTTGCCAATTTATGCAATGTTCCTATGACATCTATATCTCCTATCATATTATCTAGGGTTAGCTTCAACCGAGGGCTCTTACTCCTGATCACTTCTAAAGTTTCTACAATTTTCATGTCTCTACATTACACAGCAGTCACTTGGCCATGCTCCCCTTTTCAGATGTAAATGAGTATCACTGGTGGTAGGGGTGATATTTTTAGCCACAGGAGGTTTTTCTCCAACTGTATCCCTCTTACACTGAATTTCCTACATTTCGTATCCTACCCCCTCTCTAAATTTCCTCCCCCTTCCCTAAATTCATGCCAAAACTGCAGTACAGGGATTTAATCCTCCCAGCCCTTGAATGAACAGCCCTTCATTTGTTGAAAGCCTGGTGTGTTCAGCTGCAAGCAGCAGCCAGCTGCATTGTCTGCTCTCTGACACAGATGAGATACCCTTGAGAATAACCTTACTGACTTTCAGTAATTCACTCTGCAAATATTCAAAAGGGGGAAAAGGCAAACAAACATCATAAATGAATTTGAAATTTATCTTCTAGTATCACTCTCATTTAAAGTACATAAAACTTCAATCTCTGCCATTCTTAAAAACTGTACTTATTCAAAAACATATAAATGTAGAAGGCTAACAAAAAATAATACCTGAGTTTGTAACAGCAAGTCATAAATGCATTGTCATCTAAATATAATAATTACCTCTGATATATCAAAATGAAAATCTAAGGTCTTCCCAGGTAGCTCCTTGGAGACATTATTAAAAATTTTCGTGAAAGAGATTTCTGGAGAGCCTATGTCACCTCCATAAGACTTTGGAATATCATTAGGCACAACAAGGCTTGCTGATCGAGACACCACCAGTTTCAAAATATTAAGGGCTTCCTTCCAATATGGACTCTGAAGAGAACATACACAAATCACACAACAATCCCTTCAACCAAGACAGCAATTTTTATGTACAGTAGCATTTTGTAAGAATCCCCAACCCAAAAGCCTCTGATCAGGTGGGAAACTTCAGACCCTGAAGTGCCAGGAAAGCAGTGGCCATCCCATGGAGCATGGTTAGGTCCAGCCAAGCAGGCTTAGCTCCAGCTCACTGGGCCAGCAACAACCAGACCTCAGTCCATGTCCCTCCATCCCTGTAGTTACACCATGTTTTTTACCATTGTCTGAAACTGCCCTTTGTGACCCAGGAGACAGAAACTGAGAGTATTGAACTATCACTTAACTACAGTAACTGACAGTACTCAAATTAACAATTCCACCTCTGGCCATCTTCAATTATTTTACAGTTATGGAGAGAGTAAATGCAATTTGAAACAAGCAAAACTATTCCTTGAAATACATGAGGAAATACAAAAGATTTTATCTAAGAAGTGAAAACATTTACAAAGTTATTAGTATCAAACCAATGGAGTGCTTAAAAATGCTATAGAAAAAGTGTGAGAATATAAGAGGCAGAACCAGAGTTAAGTGGTGTAAAAGATTATTTACATTATCTTAATCATTAAAAAAATGATTAAGATAATGTAAATAATTCAGTGGTTTGAATTACACACACTGTGAAAAGAATAATAAGAAGAGACAAAATAAAAGCAGCTTTGTGCAAAGATTAAGATTTACACTCCCAGAAATGCAAGGATTCTGCCTGAAACTTAAATCTTCCAATTTTTGAAATCAGCATGATGTCTTTTTTTTTTTAATTAGGAGGCCATATTTGTCAAAATATTATTTTATTGCATTAAAATAAGTAAACACCCCTTTCAATTCTCTAAGTAGTATATGCTTTATGCTTCTTTGCAGATAACGAGAGTCTTCACTAATCTCCTCCATTTCTATGTATCATAAGCATAAAAAAAAGGAGTCTCAAACTGGAACTGTCCTGTAGCAACTTAGATTTATTTATAGCCATTGTCATTGCAGAGGACTGAAAAGACTCAAAGCTTAGTAGAAAATTTAAACAAGACATGATAATTTATGATCTTTTCTTTTGTCATTTATAGCAACACATTTCATTTTATCAAAAATAAGTTAAGACTTCTCTGGAATGTTTTTTCGCTAGCACCATCTTTTGATAGCTTACATCTAAGACTACATTCCATGGTACTGTGGGCTTGCTTCAGAGCAAGCTTGCTCAGAGAGGGGTTAGAGGTGAAGCAAGAAGCCACCAGGCCATAGAAACTATAGCTAATGCTAATCATTTCATTTTGCCTAATGCACTCTGACAGGAGCACAATATCTAAAGTACATATCCATCAATAACAAAATGTCCAGGGAACACGACTTTCCTGGTAATTATGATTAAACCATTTGACTGAAATACACTCACCAATAATGGAATTCAGAGAAAAAAGAAGAGAATGTTGTGCACTGAAATGGTTTTATGCTCCAGGCATTTTTATAAAATCTTTCAGTAAGATGCTACACTTTCTTCTGTGTAGAAGATTTTCAGTAAATTTGTGTTTCGAGTACAAAGGCTTAAATTACCTTGGGCAAAACACTGTGGTTCATCTTTTGGGGACTTTCTTTAATAAAAAAATGTACTCAATTTTGTTAAGGTGCACCTTAAAGTTCCTCACAGATACATTACTGAGAGTGATTTAAATATTCATTTAACTGTGAAATTTTATTTTTAAAACATATACACATAAATAAAACATTTGTCCAGCTTAGCAGTAAACATTTCCTTGTGTTTAAATAGCTGAAGGATCATCATCTCTAACTACACATGACAAGTTGCTTACATCTGTACATAGATGCACATTCACCCAGATAATGTGTGCCACCAGATCCAAACCACATTGGACAAATACAAAAGCATTTGGTGGATTAAGTACATAGGAAAAAAACCCCTATGGAATCTGACCACAAGCATCTTACTTATATCTGAAATAAATGACCCCCAAAATTCAAGTGTAATTTTGATACCATTTTGATAAAGAGCAGACAGGCTTTTACAGTTCTTCAGAGTACCTACCTGAACATATTTACCAATAACTTTTATGATTTCCAAATTAAACTGCTTCACTGGAGCTGTGGATAGGTCAATATGACTCAGAAGACTGTAAATGATCTGCAGCAAGGACTGTTGCATACTGGATAAGCCTTTCTCTAACAGCTAAAAGAAGGTTTTTAAAATACAAAATTTAGTTAGGGTAGCAAAAAGTGAAAGCAAACAGTAAGATACAGCTAACTTCTACACACATTTATTTTTCCCTTCAAGAAACTTAAATCTACCACTTCCTGTTTTTCAAACTTTTTGCTTTAGCACTAAAAAACAGTAATACAACAGCACAATGGTTTTTGTCCTAATTAATTTTTTCCCTGAATTTTGACATATTTTTAGCACAGATTGAAAGTACCTAATAGTAAAACACTTTTCACTAAATAAAAGTTCATAGGAATTCAAAGTCTTAAAACTGTATGAAAAACAATTACAGCAACACCTTAAGGAAGGTTGGCAAATGCAGTTTTGCAAACAAAAAAATATATATATAAAGTTATTTGTAAGAATGAACAAATTTTTTAAAATGCCTCCATCAGTTTGAAGCGATACACTTCAAGGACAAGCTCTACAAGCTTTTCATACAAAGTACTTAACAGTTTTCCTGTATGAATGGCCAGCAAAATAATATACCGATTTCTATAATTTAAATTATCTTTTTCTACATTATGCACTACTTACAAATGAACCTTGCAATTAATTTTTAAATTTGTGATAAAGACGTGTACCTGACTAAAGAAGGTCTCTTAAAATTTTAAATTAAGCTTATTTTGGTAAAGCCAGGACAGTGTATATTCATGTAGTACAGAATATAAACATCTAATACCAAACACCATTCTCATAAAAAGAGATCTGTCATTAGAGGGATTCTAATTTCAAGGTATTTATAAATTACTGCACTCCAAAATGGCACCTTTTCTACATCCTAGAACATTTTAGCAATATTTTCCTGTTAGAGAAGATATGCTGTATTCCCCCTGATATTCAGAATCATGAGAAAATAGTAATTGGCAATGAATTGTCAACATGAGATACTTCCAGTAAAACCTTACCTCTGCAAGATAAGTTATGAGGTTAAATGTGGCATCTGAGAAAGAGTCATGCAAGTATCTACACACTACATTAATCCAGTTAGAACAGTCTCTGGAATAACTGTGTGTACTGTATAAACTCATCATATGAGCCAGATTGGCAAGAGTTGGTGACTTCTCTTCTGCACAAACCTGAAAAGCGAAACCATATTTAATTATATCAGAAATATTTTATTTAAATCCAAGCATTCCTGAGTCATTATGCACTTCTCCCAAATTTCACTCTAAGATTTAATTTCTATGATTTCACTTCAGTTATTTTCTAGTAAGCGAAATCAAACCAATCACACAAGCCTGACCTACAGTTTCTGTTGAATTTTGATACTGTGGCATCCGTGTTCCAAGTTTATTTATTTATACACTTGGTATGATCAACCAATATCCCTCACTCAGGTAATACAAGTATTTAAGGGCAGCAGTGATTTCTGCACTTGCATCAGGCACATACTCTGAGTCAGCCTGTGCACAGCCTCAGTGGTTTAGTGGCTCATGTGTCACAGCCTGAGCAGCCAGAGGTGTCTGCCTGCAGCTCCTGTGCCACACAGCTCTTTCCTATTCCCCTTTCCACATTCTTCCTTAAAGGACAGACTCTGTCAGGCCAGTGAAACACCATCCTGGCTAACAGCTGCTGTGCACCACGTACCTCTTTAATAGCCACTACAGTTCAGAAATATTTCAAGGTGTATTTTACTGTGTACAAGTAAAAGAAAGAACATACAACCTTTTCTTCTCTATCAGTAAGAAGCACTTTCTTCTTGTAAGAAAATTAGGAAGCATGCTTAATATGTGATTAGGTTGACATTCAAAATTACAAGTAGAAAAATCAGACAAGTAAGAAAAAGTAATTGATATCATTGGTAAGAAAATTTGTTCTTGAAATCTAAATTTTCACACAATAACCTAAAGAAACAAACAAACTCAGGGGTTGATACAAGGTCCAGGTATATAAATTTGACTGGGTCACGTCTTTAAAATATGGCCTCTTATAGTTATGTGTATATTACTACTAGAATAACATAGAAGTATTACAAAAGGGACCCCAAAAAATAAAGAAACAGTGCTGGTATATATATCCTCCTGGATACTTCTCCAAGCATCATGTTACATACCTTTGCTATCCTGTCAGCTGTTTCTTTACAAAACTGAGTTGGGTTATCAAAATGTTGTATCAGATGAGGAAGTAGGCACAAGATGTTTAGGGGAAATCCTAAACACACACATAAACAGAGTTATAGGAGTCCTTAAGGTTTTTACTGACTTAATTTAATGTGAAGCTAGCCAGTATTTAAAATTCCGACAGTATGACATATACTTTCACACAGATATATAAATTATATACACACATATATTTATGAACAATGTATATAGATATGTCTGTGTTAGGTATAAAAATGCATTATGAAAATAAAATCATCACTGGACCAATTAATCAAAACCACCATGAAACTGGATAGTTTTAGGCACTATGTCACATTGTTTCTAAAAATGTGTAAACAGGGCTATTTGAGCTAGTTAGCATAAGATAATGAAAAAAAAATACACAGCTCTTAAAACTCACTTGCAAACAACATTCAATACATAAAGTTTACATGCAATCTTGCTCATGAGATAACCAGTCTGTAATGTATTCCTACTATTTAGCAGTGTAATACAGACAGCTGCAGAAAGTTGTCTGTATTTTTTACAGGAGTGTTTCTTTAAGGCAAAAGCACAATTACTACTGATTTTGACTCTACTTAATTCAATGAAAAGATAGATTTTTATCACATATTTACGAAAGGTACCTGCTAACTGAGAAGGATCCACCAAAGCATGCCGGGAAATTGTGATGAGTTTACTGAGGAGATGAACTGTCATTTCTTGTGTAGAGGCTGAAGTAAAGCCTTTCAGGAAAAGCTGCTGAAGGCCTGGAAAGTTATTCCATTTCAGTTTATTCTGCACCTCTTCTATCTTTTCCCGACTCTCTGATTTATCCAGAGGCATGTGAATAAGAAGCTTGTTGAGTAGCTTGAGAGCCAGCAGGTATTCATACTCATAATCTGACTCCAGCAACGAAGCTGCAATCCAAAATATGGTGGCCATCAAGTTGACAGGGTCAGTAGTGGGCTGCACATCATACATGCCTCCCTCTCTCAGGGAGGAAAGGCTTCTAGTCCTTGCCAAACTTCCACCATGATTTATCCTTCCATCCATTATATCCAGTGTGTTGCTCCGTCGCCGGTCGCCTCTCCGCTCGCTGATTAAATTCAGTCTCAAGGAATTACTCCTTGTATTGCTGTAGTATCCCAAACAACTGCCACTATTCATGGGACTTGTGCTTAGATTTATCTGTCCAGTGCTTTTCCTATTAGCTGCATACTTGTTTCCCATTACAGAATCATGGTATGAGGTTCTAAAATAAAATCAGTATTGCATATTGTTACATGCCAAATATTTTAGTAACAAAGAATTTTAATAACAATGAAAAAGGGAAGGAGGGAAGGAGGAAAGAGAGAGAGGGAGAGAGAGGGAGAGGAAAGAGAGAAAGAGAGAAAGAGAGAAAGAGAGAAAGAGAGAAAGAGAGAGAGAAAGAAAGAAAGAAAGAAAGAAAGAGAAAGAGAGAAAGAGAGAAGAGTTACACAAATCACATACACATGCAGTATACTCTGTTTCATCATCCTAAGAGTATTATAATGCACGTAAATACAGGATTTCTGTATCTATTATTAAAATATCCTTACAGCATTAAGACAACACTGCAGTTATCCTGTTATCTTTTCTACCAAATCTTTTTGTTACCATCCCAGAATACAATAAAATTATAGTAAAATTGGAAAAATTAGCCCATAGCATGCAAAAGATTATGTGTAAATGATGACCTAGCATCCAAACTTATTTAAAGATGTGATAAAAGTAGGGAAATGAATGAATTAATACAATTATTACCATGTATTTGTCTGAGGTATCTAACCTAGGAAACCCAACACCTTCCTATTCTGATACAGAGAAATTGAATGTATTCCTAGAAATCTCAGCATTTTCAAAATCTTTGCAAGGGAATCAAACAAATACAGAGATGTCTGTACATTTAGGCATTTTTTTCAGTTTGATAAAAAGTCATCAAGGTAACCATTCAAACTGTAATGAGACACACAAATGACTCAGACTGTTCAGTTACACTTTTTATATATGGACAACAAACTTGAGGCCTAAGACAGACCAACATTTGCAGAGCATTTAAATTCAAGAAGGTTAAGAAGAACTGACAATATTTCAGAACTGAGCCATAAGAAACTCCTTGAACTCCATTTCTACAATATTAAATTGAACCCAAGAGGGTAAATCAGAAAGGCAATAAGATATCCTTTACAGGAAATCTAGATTCTCACAAGTTTTGCTTGAGGCAGAATGATAAAAACATACCAGAGCAAGCAATTTTGCTATATGGATACAATTATTCTGCAAAGATGACAAGGAATTATTTAATTACATTTATAATACAGATTTTTAATAATTCAAATGTACAAAAATGCATAATAAAGATTGACTAATAAAAGAACTTACTGAGAAAGGGCAGAAAGCAGATCATAATGCTTCATGGTTTCAGCCAATGTATCAATAGCAGATTCTAAAGTCAAAAGCAGCTCTATGACGAAACCCTGGGGAAAGCCACAGGCCATTATAAATTATGCAATATGCACAAGGAAGATCACAGAAAATCTACTAAGTAGTAATATAAAAATATAAAATCAGTAGCAGTAAACAAAATTATTTCATGCTTCAATTAGAACACAATCCTCACGAGACAGCTCAATTTAGCAGTATAGCTTCCAGACAAGGAAAAACTTCCATTTATTTATAAGCATTTACTGAATTAATTCTAGTTTGCATTTTTTAAGGATGGATTGAAGGATGAAGTCATTCAGACTTATTTTGCAGTATTAAAAGCTTAGATACACTCTTAAGATGTACAATGACATGAAGCTGAATGATTGTTAACACTTTATCAGATAAAGTTCTTAACAAAAGAAAACAAAAATAAGTAATTTCTTATATGGCTGATCTCAGTATTCTCTAACAATGAAAGAGGTGGTGTCTACAGTAAACAGATGTATCTCTGAAAGAGCCTCTTGCTGTAGAAGAGAATGTGAACAACTTCTCCTTAGTTAATTAGGTGAAATTCAGGAAGTGTCATGATTAAAACTGTTTCATATTTGAAACACTTAAAAATAAAAAAAAAAACCTGAATAAAACAATGCTTTTAAATTTTGCTAATAATGCATGCACATCATTTAGACAGACTTAGTGTTCTAATAAAGTAGGAGCAAAATTTCAAATACCTGAGCTTCTTCTCCTGCATCTCCAACAGTTTCCACTAGTCTGGAGAGAACATCAGAAAGTGTAGATGGAGTGAGAGGCTGCTTCAGAGCCCTGAAAATCTGAAAGGACCTCCCAGCATAATGGCGAGAGGAGCACGACAGGGCAGTTTGCAGAGCAACTTCACTGAGACGATGTTCCAATTGATATCCTCCTATGAAGGGAAATAAATAGCCAAGCAGTGCTTTGTAAAAACCAAATCCACTTGAGTTTACTGAAGAGTAAATTGCCAAAGTCATTCCCAAATTTAAAGTATTCTCACATCCTCTACGTTTTTCTCAAGAAGTATTAGTCTCCAAAATCTTTACAGGAATATAAACATGTATTCCAAATACTTAATGCTAGAGAGACTCGTAGATAATAAAACATTTATGATTAGAATATTAACTGTTCACAATAAATTAATAAGATGTTTTATCCCATTCCTAAAAGATTATATTTAAATCTGTCATAACAGAAACATGAACTGAAGTGAGAATACACAAGAAAACTATTATTTAGAAGCAGCAATTTCCTAGAGTGATTTTATAGATAACCTATGCATTTACATGCATTAAAAAGTATTTATTTAGTTCAGTCTTGCATATTTGATCATGTATGGTCTGTTTGCTAACATACCTGAGCTAGACTGTTTAAATATAGATACCACATGCTTTAAAAACACAGTTAACTGTTCAGCACTCTTTATATTAGGGTTCTTGGCTGAAACATCTTCATGATTCCAAAGTGGGCCTCGTTTTCTAAAAAATACAAAAATAGAGTAAACAGAATATAAAATGCAGCCTTTGTCCTTAATATTATTTAAATGAAATTTAAACCTTAAGGTTAATTGCAAAAGAATCTACTATGTACCACATTAAAAAAACCATCTAGAAGCGCAGGCATGAATTGGAAGGAATTTTGACAACTGACCAATATTATACAATATACAAGAAGTTAAGACAAAGTGAAAAGCAGTGTATCAGTTCCAACTGAAATAACTGAGTAAGAAGATGGAAGAGATGCTATAGTACATAACAGATGTAATAGATGGAAGGTATAGTTATAGTACAATAAATAGTACTCTAAGAAAGAGCCAGTACAACTACCACCATTATGCATTTCCTAACTTCCTTTCTTCCCAATTCCTTTCCATTGATATGCCACACAATTATAAATTTAAGCTGAGGTAAAGAAAAAGTATCAAAGCATGGAGGAACAGGCAGGATTTCAGATTAACATTATCTTCAAAGCTTAATATAAACTATCATGCAAACTGCACGACTGTGGATGATTTTACCAATGTCCTGTGCAACAAATTCATCATTTTTGAATAGCCAGCTCTCTACTACTAGCTAATCCCTAAACTGCACAGAAATCTTCAGGTCTCTAATAATCTCAATGTATTCCTGCCCTAATTCAGAATAAAACATGGCAAAATACTTTTAAACAGAGAGGACTTGAAAGGATGGTCAAAATTCTCTGGAAGTGTTGGAAAGTTAGAGCTTTTCATGTGTGTATCACATAAAAACATTTACTCGTGATAAAACAGAGACAGAATTAGAAAACATGATGCTAAATAGTGAGAGGTTTGCCATTTTTCCACAAAATATGTCTCAACAAAAATAAAAACTGAAATCTTACCTTGAGGTAATAAATTCTATAAGAGTTTTCACTTTTTCATCCTGCTCTACTGAAATGTCAACCTCATTGAGGATTGTGGTGTGCAGTTGAGAAATGGCAGCACTTGTATTTCCTAAACTGATGCTAGAAGAGGTAGAACTTGAACTAAGCCCTGAGTCTGTCATTGGGGAGGGCTGGTAATCAGGTATAAAATCATGAACACCTGCTGAAATTGAAACAAGAGGATTATGCACTTTTAAGCTGACAGTTAATATTAAATATAGAAAAGGAAAAAATAGCCCTCTAAAAAGATCAATAACTTAGTAAATGTAATGAGAACACTTAGAAGAGAATAAATTAATGGATGCAATAATTTCAATGAAATCAACAAGTCTCATACATGCAAATTCTTCACATGACTTATATGAACTTTAATTGGGAACTGCTAGATCCCTTTTTAAAACCCCTCTATTATCCTTGATTTTGTACCAATAGTATCAGAGCTCATCAGCTTCTGAGGCATCTCAACTTAATTAACAAAATTATACAGACTATTTCTTACTAATGAGCAGGTTTTTTTGGTAAAACCCAGTCCCACTGAATCTGACAGTACTTGAAATCAGTGAACATTGAGTATTATCTAGTGAATGGACTCTGAGCAGAGCCCCTGTGGCTGCACAAAGTTTCTCTGAAGTTAGCTTAATCTTGTGGCCAGAAGATTTTTCTCCTCCATATAAAGAATCACGTGACAAAAAAATACCTCAGCAGTGACTCCTCACATTGCCCTTCCATCCATCCATGAAGGGCTGAGGGAAAGTAAACTACCAAGGAAAACTGGCAGGGCCTTTGACTGGAGCACTTGTACTTAAATAAGCTTAAGACTCACTAATCCACCACAGATTTTCACTATAGAACCACAGAGTTTTGACTGGGGTATTTGAGCTTAGTCAGCTCAAATAAAATTTAAAATTAGCTTGTCCAACCTTGTGCTAGGCGTTCATACCTGTAAACACCTTATCCTAGTCCCCAGCTGGAAATGTTTGATGCTGACCTTATTCTAGTTTCTATCAAACATCTTTGTTTTATTGTGTCCAGTTTAGACAGTTTATCCAAGCCCTTAAAGATGAGGAAGGGAATGGTTTGTACATGCCACTGTGTAGATGCACCATTAAAGTTCTGCTGAACAGATTGCTATAAAATAATCCTTCCACTATACACAGTGGAATTTAATTCCTCATTGCTACTAAAAACCAAATTCACAAATCAGACAACTACTTTTGCTAAGTAATAAAACCATTGCTGATGTGAGCAAAAGAGAACAAACAACTGTATGGCAATATGCTGCCACCTACTGAAATAATATGAAATACTAAATTTTAAAAAACCACAAAGAACTATTTTAATAGAAACTACAATACAGTCTCACCATCAAAATATTCCCTTCATAAAGAGGTACATAGAAATATAAAGTATACTGTATAATTACAATATTGTAAAGTTAAAGGGAATATTCAAGAGTCATATCTCAAAAAATATTCTGATAGACAATAAAGAATGCAATCACAGCTGACAAAACTTGGAAATTTTAACTTGCTATAAACAAGTAAGAGATATATCTTCTTGGTTTTTATTTTCAAAGGCATCATGAAAACAGCTGTATTAAAGTTCCAAAGCACAGGTCTCCCTCTTTGATTTCCACTACTATTCCTCATACAACTGTGCTCCCAACTCTGACGACTGAGCACAAAGTGCCAATGAGAACTCCATTCATTTTGACTTCATTAAAATCCAAAGAAATTTTAATGCCAAGGCCTCAGGAAAATATTTGCAAGAAATGTGCAAGAAAAACAACAGAAATCTGATTAATGCCTGTAAGAAACAGGTAACTTCCCATGTCATTTCAACAAGCAACATGTAATAAATGAAAAGCATACCTGTGAAAGTGTAATCTAAATGGGTAGTCTGTTTGACAGTAAGCACCCTGGACTCGTTGAACTCTCTGTTTCTGAGTAGGACAGAAGCAACAGACTGGACATTACTGCCAGAGCCCATCACTATCAGTAGATGCAAAAGTAGTCGTTTACAATGCTCATAGACTTCAGAGTGACCGTGGTCAAAACCTAACACAAAAGGAAAACAGAGAGGCTTTATGATACTCAAAGGGCACATTGAATTACATTATTTAAATACAGCAGTATTCAAATTGGTCTGCTATACTTTACCAAATAACAGATATAGAATTCTCTAAACAATATTTTTTCAGTGTTTCAATAGAGAAAAAACCAGCATATAGTTTAACAAACTGTATGTTGATCAGATTAAAATATATCTGATAATCCCATGCAAGGTTAAAGTACAAAGTCATTTTAAGTAAGAACTTCATTTGTGCTCTGTATGAAAATTACCACTTAAAAACAGAAAGCAAAATATTGAATTTTACTGTGTCTTCTACAAGAGGTAAAAGCTTCTAAACAAAGTGCCCTAAAACAACACTAAAAAATCTACATTGTAGTAATTAAGCTGAAAGACATTTAATTGAATTTTTAAAAATACTGTAAATATTATCAAATTAATGGGATTTCAGTACAATGGTAAAAAATTCCTCAAGTTACTGTAAGTATTTCTGTAAGAAGTTAGTTACCTATAAAAATTGCGTGAAGCAAAAGATGCAAGTATCCTCCCCATTCCACCTTTACACTGTGGTCAACTATCAAATCAGTCAAAAGAATCACTGCTATATTGCATCTAAAACAAAAAAAATAGAATGTTAGAAGAATGTAACAGGAACTTTACAAAGAGCTGCAAAGGGCTTCATATGCTTCTAACTTGTATTCTTCAGTCTATAAACATTCACAAAGTTGTGTTATAAGGCAAAAGATGAAGGCTCATAATAAAAATAGAAACACTTTAATCCTCCAGATTAAAAGTTTGAGTAATCTTAAATTGCTAGACCTGTGAGAAAACCCACAGAAAACAAATGTATTGTTAACTGCCCTTTAATCTGCTGTCTTCAAATGACTGTATTTGTGCAACACAAATGAAAACACAAAGAACTGCCACTGGCATTGCCAAAACAGCTACCTGTGAAGTGACATGCCCGGAGGAGAAGTTTCAGGCAAGTAATCCACCAGTGGTGACCAGCAACCTCCAGAAGGTGGGAAAGGGAGAGGCTCTCCTTGATTGTGCTCCATCACCTTCAACCGCCAGTTGGAATAGAGAGGCATTGAATCACCTAACACAACAGAAAATTAAACCAGAGATATATTTACAATGCATATTTCTGTATGTTACAGCCTTCTGAAGAAATATTTTTAAATTCTTGAAAAGTTGAGATCTAGGAGAGGGGAAGGGAAGCCAGCTGTAAACAGTAGAAGTTGGACACAGTGTTTTGAAAGAAGTATTATTTCTTTTAGTACAAGGATGATTCTCAGAAGTTGCACACATAACAGAGTAAGATGTTTTTGAACAGGTTCATAAAACTCATGATAAAAGGTAAAGTGATCTGATGTAACTTCCTTGAATTTCAAACCTCATGCCAGATAGGGAGTTATTTAAGGCTGGGCCCTAAGATTTAACTGAGCTCATCTTGAAGAGCAGTTCATTATAGGCTAAGGAAGTATTCATCAAGAGCACATCTTTATAGGTCTTACAACAAAACCCCACCAGTGCTATCTGCTAGATAATGCTGGCCTGATCCACGGGTAACTTGGAAGTTGCCACTTTTACAACAGCATAGCCCAATCCCACTGGTTGATAAAAGTTACTGCTCAGAAAATCAGTAAATTTGTCAAGAAAGCACAGAAAGACATTTAGTTTTTTTATTCAGCAAGCTTCAAAAGTGCAAGAAAAACTGCAGCTCTTTGGTATGAGAGTATACTGTGTTAACAGACCCAAAATGCTTTACTGGTTTAAAAGTTGTTTTGGACTTCAAAACTGTCAGTGAAGACTAGAAACAAGAAAATTGCCTCAACAGTTCTATGTTTCAGGGATTCTACCAGCTCTGTTTGGAAGTATAGCTGCAGAAGTTTCAGATGTTCACACATGTATCAGCTCATTATCACCTTCTTCACTGGAAGTGACAAACTCCTTACTGATGGAATATGGGAAATATCATCAAGATACTCAGTGCTGCTATCACAAACAGCAAACAAATCCAAAACTGACTGCAGCTGTGATTCTGGATAATGCCTATCCATGCAGTAATAAACATTCTGGCTGATCAGAAGCCATTAACCTGTTACTGACCCAAAGTTTAGGAGATTTTGCATTAGTATGTCCAGCCCTTACAACAATCTCTGTAGAGGACATTAGGTTTCACCTCCTTAACAGAGGCAGTAAGAACTACATATTCACTCTAATCTTCACATTGTGCAAAGAATCAGTCACTGAAGAGTGCATCAGAAGATCCTAATGAACTCTTGTTGCCTCAATATAGCATGGACAGGTTCCATACTGACATCTAAAGCTCAAAATGCAGAAGTTCACCTCCTGTTGTTCAGTCACATAAGAAAATTAGTGAAAAGGCAGTGTTGCACTGTGTGCTGTAACACACCCAAAGTACTTAAGTGGTAGTAAAATCAATGATCAATAAAAAATTGAGTGAAACCTAAGTCTGTGGGACCACTTCCACGACTGAAATGTATCTGATTATCCCATGCAGGGTGAAGTACAAAATCATTTAAATGACTAACCTGTTAGCTGAAACAAGAGTTTCAATGAAACAACTCTTCTGACCAAGCACACAGAACCCCCTAATGTAACACATCATTTACTGTCTGCACTGTCCTCATTTTTGCCTGATTACATGACCTGTTTTGCTTTCTGTAGCACTGCCATGGCAATTTCTATCTTAGGCATTGGTGCAAAAGTAGCCACAGTTAATAAGCCTCTGTTAAGGAAATCTTTGCAAATGCATAATGGAGTTTCAGAAGAAATTTTTACCTCTTTCCATACCTCTGCATCTCAGTGGAAAAAAACCAACAACATAGATCACAAAAAATAATCCAAGACATGTTTTCAGAACAATCTTGGAAATTAGATGTACATAAAGAGAACTTTTTTCCCTGCTATGTTTTCCTTTGCTATGGATTAAAAAAAGTTTAGTATACTTATTTTTTAATAAGTCAAGGAATGCTATCCTTTAAAAGAACAATTACTTGCAATTTCTTTTCTTTTTTTAAAAAAACTTCTTTTCCATCACCTTTTTTAAAATCTCATCTTCATACTGCTCATCTCTGTTTCTTGTGCCTAACTGTTGAAGGAAATAGAGTAAAACCATTTCATTCAGGAAGATGTTCACAACTCATTCAAGAGGATAACAGAAAGAACAAAGCATATTATCTTCCTTGAATATTTTATTGCAGTCAAATGTATGCTAGTCTTCAATAGCAGTAATAAGATGGAGGAAGATAAAAAAACCCTTGATATTTAATAGATTTATGCAAAAAACAGTGATAATGTTGATTTCTTTATGTTCCACAACCTTCAGCAGAAATATTGACTCATGAAAATTCTGTGTGCTATTCATAGAAATATTTTAAAATAAAGAATATTACTTTTTTCCTCTTCATATGATCCTCCAGAGCTGCTGCTGTAGCGAGACTCCAGTCTGTGGTGCTGGCGGTTCAGGTTGCTGTTCAACCCGCTGTAGATGTCTAGGTGTGCGTAGCTGTGGGTGCAAATAAAGCAGAATTAGTGACTGACATTCTGTGACAAACACTAATCAGGGTCTCTCAGGAAAACTGTATTTCAGCAAAACTCCTTTACAAAAAAAAATTCATCTTACAATCAACATGATGCCAAAGCACCTCAGCCATGTAAGACATACCTTCTCAACCAACATCAGATAAGGGGATTCAAAGAGATTATCCACTATAAATTGTATTTCTGTTCCATCATTTTCACTAACATTTAAGCACATTAAAATAATTGTTACCATTTTACATAAGTTCTTCTCACTCTAGAACAAAATAAGGAGATCCATATGTGATCTGGCAGAGACATATGCATGTATACACACATGGTGTCCAAGATCCTACCTTGCTAATCTGATAAAACTATAAAGAAATCAGATAAATTAGAGTGCTAAAAGCACCATTTCCAAACTGTTTCTATACTTCTCTCCTCTTGGCAAGTCCAAGATGTACAGGGTACATCTTATCAAGAAGCATATACCCTGGGCAGGTTTAAGACAACCCTACCGTACATGCCAAAACTCACAGAGACTTTCAAAACTTCATTACTTCATTTCAAAACTTTTAAAACTTCATTACTTTACAAGTTTCTTCAGCTTGAGCCCCCATAGCAGCCAAGTTCTTGTCTGTGCCTTGCTAGGCTGAATTCTGAATGACACCTTGCATTCCAGGTTTCTATGATTTACTATCATACAGCTCACCCCAATTTAATTTAAGTATTGAGGTTGCCTCTCCCAATATATTTACTATTCTAACTACATTGACATAATTATCCTAGAGAAGGAAAGGAAGTGTCCAACTGGGAAGTTATATCAGAACTGTAATTATTAAAGCTCTCAAACAAGTTGTCAGAAACTCATCTGCAAACTTATGACATCGTTGCTACTCAACAGTAATGGCAGACATGCACACTTTGCTCATGTTAATTACAGAGCCTCCACTCCCTCTTCACTTGAAGGTTAGCTATCTATATTAACACAAAATGACAGCATGCCCACACTCAGTTACTGCTGAGCTCCAACTACACAGCCTAAGTCTACATCAACTGTTTGCTTTCCACCAGCCTCACAGTGTCTGCCAAATTTCTCCAAAAGATTATGTTTAAATAGCTCAAAAATTAGGGAGGGAGAAATCTGTTTTAAAGTTAGCTGTAAAGTATCTTGACACAGATACCAGGCATTCAAACACCCTAGTTAGGGAAAATAAACTAGCAACACATAGGCAGTGTTCATTTCCAGTGAGGCAATAATCTGCAAGTCATAAAATCACATAATTACTTGGATTGGAAAGGACCTAAAGATCATTTGGTTCCAACCCCCCTGCCAAGGCAGGAACACCTTCCACTTGACCAGGCTGCTCAGAGCTCTATCCAGCTTTGCCTTGAACATTTCCAGAGATGGGGCATCCACTTTTCCGGGCAATATGTTCCAGTGTCTCACCAACCCCACCTCACAGTACACTGCCCTCACGTGAACATACACAGTCCAGTGTAACAGTAGTTACTTCAGCACCACCAACAATGTAACTGTAAGCAATACCATGCCTGACCTGGACTGGAGTTCAAATCGCAATTGAGGCTGCTAGTTAGTCCCAAATAGTACTCCAGTTCTGTTGACATGCATGCCAATACATGGAATGTAATCCCTGCAATGAAGACATACCTGGAGCTGCTGAGATGGGAGTATTTCAAGCACCTAGAAGGAATTCCTGTAATTCAACTAGTAACTGCTCTTTGAGGAGATACTTACTTCTCTTCAATACTGTCTTTCATGTGTTTACTGTCAGGATTGCCATCTGTGGGAGCCACCATTGTATTGCTACTAGAAGTGGTACCTGTGAATTATAGACAAGGAAAAAGGTTGGTCAATAAAATGGAAAAGTAGTCTTAAGCACTACAAGATCACCCTTATTTACTGGTCCTTGCCCAGTAAATCATATAATCAGGTTTATTCTACAGCAACTGGCACAAATACAAACTGAGTCATACTTTCACATGAAATAAAGGATTGTGAGCTGCTACCATAATTTCACTAACCAGAAAAAAAAAAATCTATTCCAGGAATCTCTAACTCTTCAATGTAAATTAAGTAGAAAGTTTTTTAAGCAGTATCTAGAGACCTATTTCCTTTTTTCCTGTATTATACACCTCACAGTAATCTGCAAAATGTAGTTGGACTTTGTTAGCCAGTTAATTCAAACCACAAACTCATTAAGGATTAAAACCTAATAGCCTGTGGTGAAGCTTTTAACAATTCTCTTTAAGGAGAAATTTGCAAGCATCACATTGAACTGACAGCCCCAACTGGAAGCAATTTTGTACCCTTCCATCCTTTGCAATTCTAAATTACATTAACTGCAAGAGCCCCAGATTTTTTTACACACTTTTTAAACACTTCCAAGAACAAGTGCCAACGCATCCACCTTGTGATCCACATAACACCATGTGATAAGTCCAGGCTGCTTCATAGTATAGACAAATTTTCAGCACAAAAGTTAAGGCCTTGCTTAGATTCTCTGCCCACATCTGTGTCTTTTGCAGCTCAATTTGACAGATGGAAACTGCACCAAAACAAGACTGCTTTTCCCCACATTTCTCAGCATGTTCTTGGATTGAAGTATGAGGTAGACACTTTTGATATGTTCAGCACTTTGAGGGGTTTTTGACGATTGGTCTATTGTTAATAATTTCCAGATAAATTTTCCTAAGTAAGTGAACTTAAATCTTGAAACAAGTCCTGTGGATACAGTTTGTGTCTGGAACAGAACTTCAAATGCAATGACTTAGATGGATTTAAAATGATATACATTTTCCCCATGGTTTTACTGAGTAAACATCAAAGTCATATAGTGAGGGTAAACAGTGCAAGGTCTCTGAACACAGATGAAGTCTGATGCACACATTAAGACAAACCCATCCCTTGTGAACCTATCAGATGTTCTTCAGTAAGAACTCTGGGTACACCAAAATCTGCAGATACTGTAAAACAAACTTTTAACCTGTTTTTTAGAAACAGAACCTTGCACTCCTACAGAATACTTACAAATGCAGTCCAGTGGCATAACTGATTGACAGCAGCATGTTTATAATTATCAATAATAACAGTTGAAATGAGTGAAGTCAGTAAATGCTTACCTGAAGTGACAGAGGGGATTTTGTAACTGGATGTAATGCGGTAATATGGTGGATTATCCATATGGGTGACTCCTGAACTGACAGGATCCGTAAGCTGCAGTTCACTCACCAGCTCTTCTAGTAGTTGCATTGTTTTGTCTCTACCCAAATAAACAATGACTTTCTTTACCTGCAATAAAAACATATATATAAAAATTTATTTATTTATATGAAAATATTTGAATACCACAACTTGTTAGAATCAGTATCTACCTGCACTGCAAGCAACGATACATGAAACTTACTCCAGTTCTAAAAGCAACCAAAGTTGCTTTCCTAGCTGTCAACAGCAGGAAGCATGGGGAATATATCACAACAGTAAGAAAGCAAATCTTCAGAGTTCCAGTCTTCTGACAATAAAGTTTGAAAGTATGCTTCTGAAAATCATTTAAGCAAAAGATTTTCTTACAAAGGTTTTAGTAGCACCTGAGACCAACACTGGAATGAATGTATTCTGATATAATTTCTTTTTGATATTTCACAGTTCTGTTCCATACTATTTCTTTTCCTGCATATTATCATATTTTTCTTCATGCTATCCTGCAGTGCTCTCACATACATTTTCACATAAAATAAATTTGGTTTTGAGGGTGCTTGGGATGGTTTGTGGGTTTTTTTTGTATAATACTGGTCATGAAAGAATGATGCTCTGCAGGGTGTAACTGGTGCTTTATTTTCCTGTATTATCTGTCTGCTTTTCAGGAAAATACTAAAGTATAGCATGAGAAAAAAATTGTTCAGTATATACTCTTAATAAAGTTAATCCAAGTTTACCAATCAAACGCTGAAGATTACTTTTTAAAAAGAAAATAACATGCTAAGACACATGTAGAATTTCAGTAATTTTTTTACATTGTTTATTATTTAATCACTTAGTAATGTCTTCATATAGTCCTACAATCATTCAATGAATGACAAATTAATTAATTTAATTGATTCTATAATTTTGACATAGATGTCCAAAGTAATGCAAACAAAATAACTGAATTTGATTTGTTCATAGTATTAGTGGTCATAAAATACAGGGTGGAGATTTTGATACTATAAATCCAACCTCACATTTTTATTTGGTGATCTTTGCTGCCAGACATACTAATTTTTAAAATATCAATAAGCACTAATGAGAGATCTGTCACATACTCACATAAGGCAAAAGGCTGGGTTCACTGTTCACTCCACAAATACTGATCAAGAAGTGCAAAATTATTTTCAGATTCTTTGGCCAGCTGTCTGCCAAAGTAGTCCAGACATTTTCTATCTCTGACCAAGCCACTTCATCACCATACTAGAAAACAAAATAAATGTATGTCCTGAAAACTTCATCAGAAAACACTGTACTCAGAAATTGTCTGCACTGATCAAGTGAAACAGGCTCTAGAAAAAAGAGACATAAATCTTGTAGGAAACTGTTGCCTTTCTAATGTTCTGGAATGATGCTTTCACGTGTATTTTTAAAAACGTTCTCTGGAAATACCTTTTCTTCTATAGATTTAACTATATAAAAATATATTATAAGATATGTGTACATATTTTATATCCCATTGATATATAATACATTAGACTGAGGAAGCTGGGCCTTTCTAGTCTAGAGAAGGCTGAGAGGGGAGGGTCTCATTAATACATATAAGTATCTCAAAGGCCAAGAGGATGGTGCCAGACTCATTTTGGTGGTGCCCAGTGACAGGATGAGGAGCAATGGGCATACACTAACACACAAGTTCCATCTCAACATGAAGAATTTCTTTCCATGGAGGGTGGAGAGCACTGCAACAGGCTGCTGAGGGAGGTCATGAAGCCTCCTTCTCTGGAGACCAAAAACCCACCTAGACAAGTTCCTGTGTAACATGCTCAGGGTGACCCTCCTTTGGCAGGAGGGTTGGTCCTGATGATCTCCTGAGGACCCTTTAAACTCTAACAATTCTGTGAAATTTAACAGAGACCCAGTCTCCTAGTTGCTGACAATTCTCAATAAAACTCCATGGGCCACACACTGACAAGAGCTTTTAATTGATAGTTCAAAACACAATCTCTCATCACTAAGAGTCTTATTGACAGGACCACTGCATGTGAGCAATACTTCTCTGTTGGAAGTAGCTATGATAGGAAGAAGGAGAGTCAATCAGGTAGCAAGACAGGTTCCAAAACTCCACTTTGAGATCATAGGTACACAGGCAGTTAGGTATTCTCTATCTAGCTAGACATCTATATTGCAAAACATTAGTTATATACTGTCACTATACAAAACAATTACTATGACATTTTTGTTATATATTACATATTTCTTGGAATACCTCAAAACTGTAGGGTATAGTTTGGGTATACAAAGCACCTCCACAAATATGAACAGTACCTCTTGAAAGCTCAGTGACATAGTACCTCTGAATAGTATTTTCTTGCATCCCAAACAGAACAATCCACTGAAAGAAGATAAGCACATAAGTAATTAATTTTACCTTTGCAGTCATGTACATCAGGTTGTTCAGAACCATAGCTGTAGCCTGTGGTGACCCCCAGCCTTCTCCTCGTAGCCACCGTCTGCTGTTCACCATCATTTCCCTGTCCTTCAGAGAATCTTCCTCATCTTCATCTTGCCGACGAATGGTTGGCAAAGGTTTCAAGTCCACCAACTCAATATTGTTCATCCATGGCAGCAGATAATGCAGCATCACCTGCCTCCCAGCTGGGTGAGCTGTTTGGATTCTCTGACTCACTTCTGCCATTCAAAAAATTAGGTACATACACGAATTCCAAATCAATAATGAGAACTGGCTTGGTGATAACAACAATCACGAACCCAGCACACCATACTGATATAATGTCATGCTGATCAAAATGCATTTTTTTTGTTTAGCTGACTAGTGCCATTTCATAATGAAAAAGTCCATGGTCTTCAGCAGAGCTAACTGAAGACACTGCTGACAAACAGTGTGATGAAGAAATCACATTAGTATGCATATATATACATACATATACACATATATATATGTGTGTGTGTGTGTGTGTGTGTGTGTGTGTGTGTACATATATTCCTTGAATTGAAGGAGAGAACTGAAAAACCTATGGCATAAAAATGTACCAAGTTTGGCAAAAAAACACTTACATTTTTTTCTTCCTAATATTAGTCACAGTAGTTTGTTTTTTTTTTATTTATGTAATAGGTTATTATTCTGCAATTGTTTAAAAATGCTGCAGAATAATGTATTTAAGCAATCTACAATAAATAACACACTAAAGGGAACAATGAAAGAATGTTTTTTTTTAATTGCAAATTAGTTCTATAATGTGATTTTCCATGGTTATTAGGAAGTCAGTAAAGTATTTTTGATTCATGTTCTTTCACCTTGAATATATTTCAAACACAAGTGAACAAAAACTGTCACTTAGTAGGCTTTTTTGTCTCTATTCAGTATGATGATGTTGGTGTCCTGATTTTAGTGAATTACATATAAATCAGTTATTGAAAAATAAGAATGACACATTTCCTATAATGCTTTTGACTTGATGAAGTTTTTTGTTTTGTTTTAAAATCGTACCTGAGAAGATAGCAAGTGTCAGCTCAGGGTAAGTCCTTGCTAATTCTTCTGACAGTTGATAATAGGACATAGAATACAAATGTGGTAAAGGAGAAGGCTGTCCCAAAACCCCATCCATCCGCTGAACTTCCAGTTTGTGAGCATAACGGAACATCTTTGGTTCCAAAATCTACAACAGTAATGTTCAGAATTTGAAGCCAAGTATAGAGTTACTGTAGAAATTTTTATACAAAAATCACTTTTTAAGTTAATATATCTACATCACATTTTGTACATTACATTACATGTACATTTTAAAGTTAATTTATCTATTCTCATTTAATGTTTCTTATCTATGCAGATCTCCATACACCTACAGCATTTGCTGACACTGTGGTAAATGAATAGAAGACTAGCTAAGATACATTCTACGTGATGAGTTTCCAGCAATAAAGTTTCAAAACCTGCTTTCACAAAATACCATCTTAAATACAAATTTATCTATAAAGAAATGCAAAATACTATTTAACATTTGCATTTCCAAACAACACCAATTTTTGCTCATCTATGAGACATGGACAGGAACCACACAATCTCTGATGTGGTAGAGATGCAGCAGGAGGCTAAAGCACTCTGATACTTTAAAAATCAATTTGGGTTGATTTTAACAAGTAGTGTCCATGAGAGAAGAGAGATGGGGTTGATATATCAATAAGGGTGTGACTTCAGTGAGGACTTCACTGTTGAATTCAGCTGACAAAAAAACTTTAAAAAAATCTCCAAGACTTAAGGTCTGAGCTACTATCAGCACAGATTTTTAAACACTAATGTGACCTTAAGTTTACCCCTATATGACCACAGAAAGGAATATACAAAAGTAAATTAAATTGGTAACAAGATCTTCACTGTCATCTCTCCACATGGACAGATGAAAAAATGTTTGGTAATAGTGCAAAAATCAGAAAACTGACTGCTGCCCCAGCAGACAGAGAAGGCTTGGGAAGCAATCTGCTTCTCTCTGAGGTGCTTTTGGACAAAGGGAGCTAGGTATCACTCTGTTTCAGGGCCAAATCAAGAGAGTCCTGATTTAGGTTGTTTCTTTAAAAAGCAGGTACTATGAAAATACAGGTCTCGAGTGCATGGAAACAGACAGACTTTCAGGAAAGTCTATTTGTGCCAGGAAAGGATCTGGTTTAACTATGTACTAAAATAGAGAAGAAAAAAACAACATTGTTTTTCAATTTCCTTACTGAAGGCAATCAAACAAAACCAGACTTTTTTTTAATACATAGGACAATTATTATTTTAAAAGAAAAAATAATAATCAGAATTAGCTTACAAACCTGCAATAGTTGCATAGCAACTTCATAGATAGCCCTAGTAGAATCAGCTGCTTTAAATAGTATCAGATTCAGGAGGGTCACTGTATCACACTGGTAATCCCTAGGAAAAAATGACAAGTATGAAAAAAATAAAATTAGATTTGGTTTTCTAAGATTTGAATTTATTTAAGTTTAATTTACAAGGAACACGATAGGGGACAGAATAACATTTTGACAAGTTTCTCTAGGAACACAGACACACACACACATTGATGATATTTTCTCTCTATGGAAGCAAAATCCACAGTTTTACATAAAAGCACACTGAAAATGGAAGTTTTAAAGCTTTGAAAAATGCTGTAGTACCTGTTTTGGAACACATTGGCTATGGCTTTAAAGCAGCCAGCTGCCACCCGCTTGGAACCTGTGTAACACCGGTCAACGGCCCAGTACATGAGGTTACTCTGGTCAGGATTGAGTTCCAAGAGCAGCATGACTGCCTCACAGCCCAGCTGGTGAACCTAGAGAAGAGTAAATACATATGTTAAAATGTAGAGAAAAAGACCAACTTACAAAACAGGGAAACAACTATTTAAGAAAGCTGAAACCTTTGGGAACATAAAATCTTTTTCATCCAAAATCAATGACACCATAGACTAAACTGGCAGCAGATAATTCTATCACACTGTTTACTGTTCAACTTGCACACAGTCATAAATTATTGTGTAAATAACTAGAGCTCTACTGACTTTTTTCCCCCTTCAGTTCCAAGGCTAGCTTGCGCTTTTTTCTGTCTCACACTGACACACTGCCCTGAAAGCACTAGATACAAAGAAGCATTTAAAGACAAGCAAGAATTCCAGTGGGATACAAGGGATACATCCACATGGAGACTTGCATCTTTCCTGGACTCAAAGTAGCCCACAGGAGCTGTATTTTTATGTAGTCCTAGCATTACAGGGCAATAGAGGTCCTGCCTTCAAAGCTTACCTGGCTGTTTAGATTAAAAGCTTGGTCTTAGTAACTCCAAAGGACCCCAAGGAACTCTGCAGTCTCACAAGAGTTCAAGTTCAAGATCTCATCTCCTTTAAATTTGTGGAACACCTGACTTATTACTACAGCTTAACATGGTTGATCAGTTTATAAAAAATATACAGTGCTTCACCCCTTGTCCTTTCCTCTTCCATTCTGCTTCTCTTGGTGTCTGATTAGGGACCACCTCCCTCAACAGGGTGAATACATGTGAAGGACAGTGCAAAACCCTGTGCTACTAAAACAGCTTTGAGCTTAAGTAAAGCACTTAGGCAAATCTGTCTGCAAACTCACTAAAACATGTGTTTGAAGCACTGATAGCTGCAAAGTGATGCTGACATTGCTTGTATTACCTTTTTATCTTGTGAATCCAAAATATTATCCAGCCATTTGTATAAATAGCCATCAGATGAAAGCCCAACGTTGTCTGCAACAGGGCCACAACACAGTACAGCAGACATAGCCTTTGGAAAGCAATGAAAAACACATTTTAGTAACTCAGATACAGGAATTGCTCTTACTCAGTCCACTAAAATATCAGATAATTAAATACTAACCTGTTAAGAGGGAAAGACCAAGGGCAATAAGAATGTTTAACATTTTATTCAAAAAATTATGAAATAATATTTTCCTCACCTTTCAAATACAAGGAAGGGTCAATACTAAAATGCTGACATATTGAAGAATTAATACACCATTAACCAGTTTCATTGCTAATGTACATTTAGATGAAAGCCTTTAAATTAAGCAAATGAGAACTAAAGTGAGGAAGTGAACATTCAGTAGTGATTATAAGAAATTTCAATAGCAAGTGCAATAGTCACATTATAGGAAAAGCTGAACTGACAAATACACATGTAAGCAGAAGGAATAAAAGGAATAAAGAGGTGCTAAAACATGGATGTAAAAACCACATCTAAAAGCCCAAATGTTGAATTTGCATCATGTTGACATAACAATCTATTTCCAAAATTCAGAAGTGTTAAAATACCTTTAATGCACAGTATTGGTGTCTGTTTATTCTCATGTTTCTATCACTGTATCTGTCCAGGGGAGTAAACATGATACTAAAAGGGCCTGCCCAGTGACTGAACAGCATAAATAGACTGTGGCGTAGACTCTGCTGTGGAAAGACACTTCTTCTCTGGTGAACTGTAAGAAATACACACAGTTATACACACTCCTCCTGTAATTCTTTAAGATAAAGCATGTAATGCAAAAAAGACCCAAACTATGAATATAAAAGGAAAAATCCCTGTAAAGATCCACTATTATTTTAACACCATAATGCCTGGATGTAGATTGACTATTGTCCTGTTTAATGCCAGTAGTGTACAAGTGTACAGTAGTGTACAAGTTATTTATTAGTACACAGAACTCAAATACATAGACAATCAACAGGACTTTGCCAAACAGTACCAAAATCTCTTAAAACTAATACTGCTAAAGTTAATACTCAAAAATGATGTCACAAATTATTTTAATAAAAGTTTTCTGAAAGTTCAGATAAGAAGTGTATTTTAGTTTAGCTTCTGTTTGGTTGGTTTGTTTTTTTAAATATACTGCATATTAAATAATCAGTAATCAGAAGTTACATTTTGACATACCTGGAACATTTTGGATGATATTTGCCACTAAGGCACTAAAATGGCATCGGATATCTTTCAATGTATCAGAATCCTTTTCATTTTCTGCTTCTAGGAGTTGTCTTGTTAGATCAACATACTCAAGTAAAGTGTTGTTGAGGGAATGTGTTTCATTATCAAGGCCACCACTTGCACTGAACAAATAAAATAAATTTAGAAAATCAAAGAGCGCGGTAATTACATACAACATTTGAAAAACATCGTTATGTTTTTTTATCTTTAAAAAACCCTACACCCTCATCACTGCAAATACTTAATTCAAAGTAATTTCTTCATCCAGCTACAATACAGTAAAAAACTCCAGTGAAAGCAAACTAAGAATCAAACCTAATTATCTGAAGTCACTTATCCTTCCACAGAACTAGCTCTTTTACTGGGGACAAGTGTTAAAAATATTAACTAAAATCTTCAAACACAAAATCCCTTCCCCGTCCCCTAGTGAGAACCTTAAAAGATAAGGGAAAGAATAGTTGGATTCTATAATATCAGCATGCTGACAGACATTTCAGTAATGCTCCTGAGTCAATATTCTGAAATACACTTGAGAATGACACTTGAAGAAATACACTTGAGAATTTTACGCATATATTGTTACTGACAAATACACATCTAAGTACCATTGTCAAATTGTGGGGGGAAGGAGCCAACCATCTCCTAGACTACTTGCTCTTACACAATTCCACATGCATAGGAAAAAATTTCCTAAGGGACTTCTGTAAAACATATGCCAAAACTTCTTCTTTGGAAGTGTCCCTACACAAGCAGGGTAAATTGAGGAAAAAAAAAACCAACTGAGTTAACACTCTCCATCCTTCAGAAGTCCAACATTAATAAGCAGCAGCCTTCTCTGCATAAGATGTGCTGACTAGCACCAGCACTCCAAGTAAGGCAGAAGGTCCTGAATTATCACAGAACAGTTAGAATTTGCACAAGTGGTGCGATGTTTGAGCACACACAAACAAAAGGGACTATGATGTACTGCCTGTTCAAAGTATGGGGAACAGTAACATCTTAAATAAAACATAGAGCACAGTGACAAAGAACATGGGAGCAAGAGGGATTAGAAAACCAGCAAAATTCTGAGTTTTATAACCCCATGTCTATTTATTTAGTGATATACTGAAACTCACGGATGAATTTTGCATGCTTGTTTTACTGAGTCATAGTCAGTGACAATTCAGGAACACCAAGAACTTCTCACGCGTGCTGCCCCTACCTGTGACTAATGACACCAGCATCTGCCAACAGTTCAAATATTCGCACCAGTTGTACTCGTAAAATATCTCGACGCCTGCGCCGTTTCATGTTCTGTCCATCAGAGGAAACACAAAATTACATGAAGCAGAGGAAAAACTAAGTAGAAAACCAGAGTAGAATATAAAAGCATTATTATATCTGTACTACAACTGGCATCTGTTATCAGAGGTGCCAATCTTTTAAGATAAGTTACCAAAATTGCTAACGAGTTTAATAAACCAGACAGTGAACAAACATTTTCCCTGCTGCGGCTCTGAGATATACCAGGTTTGCTATTACATGTATTATCCAGCCTCTTGTCACTAAGTGCAATGTATAAAACAATTGAGTGCAACAGGCAGTCTCCCCACATATTTTGAGGGAGGTGACTCTGCCTCTCTGCTCCACTCTCGTGAGACCCCTCCTGAAGTACTGCCTCGTGGGGTCCACATGCACAGAAAGGACATGGGCATATTGGAGTGGGGCCAGAGGAGCGCTTCAAAAATGATCAAAGGGCTGGAGCACCTCTCTTGTGAACAGAAGCTGTGAGAGCTAGGGCTGTTCAGCCTGGAGAAGAGAAAGGTCCAAGGAGACCTCATTGTGACCTTTCAGTGCTTAAAAAGGGCTTGTAAGAATGATGGGGACAAACATTTTAGCAGGGCCTGTTGTGATACAAGGGGCAAAGGTTTTAAACTAAAAGTGGGTAGATTTAGACTAGATAAAAAAGAGATACTTTTTATTAAGAGGGTGTGAAACTCTGGAACAGGTTGCCCAGAGAGATGAAAGATGCCCCATCAGTAGAAACATTCAAGGTCAGGGTGATGGTGCTCTGAGAAACATGATGTAACTGAAGATGGTCCTGCTCATTTCAAGGTGGGTGGACTAGGAGACCTTTAAAGGTCCTTTACAAACCAAAATATTCTGTGATTTGTATGCAAGCCTGACACAACACACAACATTACAGGAACATTTTGAAACAGAAGTGCTGTTCCTTTTCATCGTTTTCATTAGAGCAGTCAGCTGAGTTTACAACCTTTTCCCCTAAAAACCATCACCACCACCAAACCCCAACAAAGTTAGTGGAGATTTAAACTCAATTCTATGTCATAGCTACCACTAATTGTGGGAATGTCGCTGATGATATAACAAAGTAACAATTGTGTCAAACTATGATTAGGTTAAAGAAATTAACAGAATGTGGAAGAGGTTACTGTATTTTTTCATCATTTGAAATAAAGTCTCGGATAGAGGAATAACAGAGATCTCAAACATGAAGATCTTCTAATGCAAACACTTCACAATCATTTAAAAAAGCAATATTTCACCTTTTTATCTGTTATACTGACTGTTTTTAAATGCAAAAATTAAAGAAAATAACTAACACTTTCTCTTTGTGAAAAGACAGTTAAAACTGTACTGAGTATAATGGAAATTATTTAATTACCTCTGGCCTTCTTTCAAGTGCTTCCTTAATTATAGGATGTAATTCTTCTATTAGTTCCCTGAATTAAAATAATTAAAAGGATAAAAACAAACATTAAATTAACATCTCAACTGAAAGATGTTTCTCAAGAACTAGTATTACAACAGAAGTTAAAACACCCTCAGGTTTTCCTTCTTTATCTGTAGCTTTTAAAAGCAAAGTTTCCTAGAAAGATATTTTCCTAATTTAAAGGAGATTATAAATTAATGTCCCAACAATTATCCCTAAATTTGCATTCTCCAAATATTATGGCTTATTTCTATCACACATAATTTTCATTTATTTTCATATTAGGAGTTTAACAACGGCATATGGTGCAGATGGATATCATTACGGGGAAAAAAAGATGCTGGCAGCTTATCATACAATGCCCCTTCAGCTGTTATGATGCATTTAGTTGTTAATATTGTTTCTTTAAGTCCAGTAACAATACACTGACTGTAGTTAGACCAGTCTCTGAAAACTGAAACCGGTTTTGACACTGTGCTTACATTCCCCATTTGTTCTGAAGCTCCACAGTTTTTATCACTACTCGATTCCTGCTGCCAAACTAAGATTCTCATATGACTTCAACAAGGAGGCAGGGAAAGGAGATCAGTAGTACAGAAGTAAGCAGACAACATACTACGGGTAAAAATATTTGGTTTACTTTCATATTTGTTATCATAGTAACTACTGACTCCAGATTTGTTGGAGTGGACACATGCTTCTACTTTCTGTGGTGCCCCAACTGAGATATATCAAAAGCATAAACCACTTCAAGTTTTCGTGGTAAATGACTGACTCCTCTGATACCTCATGCAAAGTTCCTCCTTCAGAGAATGGGTCCAGGTGATCAGAATGCTGCACAAATGTTTGTGGTGTACTCATTTACAAGAAAGTTAGGCATATTGTTATGTATTTTCTTTCAAACACAGAAAATAACTTGGAAGAAACTTTTCTGTGCTAAAATATAGTAAAGGGTAGTCTTACAATGAAGATCAAGAGATACCTAGAAGAATTTATATGATAGTTACACAAGGCAAAAATATTATTCTAATAAATGTATGTGGATTGCATGTATATAGTCTATAATGGAAAAAGTTCCTGAGCAAACATAACAAGTGGGGAGGAACAGTGCCTAAAACCACAAAAGCTAAACACCAAATCAGTGCAGAGCAGCAATGGTGAGGGGTAGGCTACAGCTAGCATCTGGTGTGAGTACATGCACTGGACAGAGAAAAAAGCTGGTCATAGAAAAAAAACCACATTCTGAAATTATAAAACTGATGAGGAATCAGATCTTTTTCTTTTTAACTTGCTGGATGAGTTGTTTCTAATTCAGAAATCAAGGATTTCTGGTAAAATTATCTCTGAAGGCATTTTCTAGACTTCATAGCTGTTAAGCAGCTCTTCAGGATCATGGCACAAAGTCTTGCTTTACTCCTGGCAGCAAATAAAGTCAGATATCATATAAAATTATAAGATTATCAAGGGATATAAACCAGAACATGACAACTGAGAACCTGACATTAATATCAATATTGACTTTTTATCTGAGATAATATGGGACACAAGTGACTGGAGAGAAGCATCATCTTATTCAAAACCAACAGTATCAGCAATTCTTGTTCCTTCTGCAGAAGCAGAGTTGGTTGCTCTGCATGGTACAACTTTATAATCCTCAAATAACTCTCATAATCTCAACTTTATAAGTCATAATTTCTTTCAGCAGCAGAGATTGGCTGCTGTCAGAGAACATCTGATGGCCTTCCCAGGAGGTTTTCGTGCCCTCAGATGTTCTCTCTCTCCATTCATCCTCATAAAGAGCAATTGACAATACCAGTAAGGAGAGTTTATCAATCACTACAAACTTGGTTGTAATTAACATTTCAAATGTTATTAGTTCACATAATCTGTTCTTTCAGATAAGAGCAGCTTTAAATACCAATAAGCTATTTATTCTTTCTACTAACTTCTTTTTCTTTATGCAGGCATGACCTCCACACAAAATTCTTACAATCTCTAACCATCTCTATCATGCCTCTAAATGCTAGAAAAGACAATGAGAATCAGTCGTCATAGCTTTTTAAAAATTCTTAAAAGGGAAAAAAAAAAAGGAAAAAAAAAAAAAAAGGAGAGAAAAAATGAGCTCCAATTCCCCAGCTTTATAACCAATTAGAACAGAAATAGATGAAACACAACAGTTACCTAAAAGCTCCTGGGTTGGTCCTGCCAAGTCCCAGGACAAGAGATTCTGTAATTTCCATGCTCTCAGAGCGCATCATTGGAACTGTGTGCTTAAACAGGGAGGAAGGGGATGGAATGCCAATAATCTAAGAAGAAAACCAGAACAAAACGCAATGAAGTAGCTACCACAAGGTGGTGACATGAAAACATCTGCCGTAATTTCACAGTTTATTCACAATGGACCAGTGACTCAGAATGATAAAAGTGAAATTTATCTTTGACATGGAAAAGATTTCCTGAAATAGTAAAGTAGTATTAACTATTTCTTGCATCACTGAATTTTCCTAGTCAGATGACAATGAATTGCACAATATGATATACAGATGCTTTGCACATTAATGTATCTGCCCTCCTTGGGGAAGAAGTAGATTTCTGGTGTCCAACTCCTTAGACTCCTGAGTTGTTCTCAAAGAGAACAAAGCTTTCAGTCTATAGTTTCTCAGAATTGGGGAAAGTATCTTGGTAACAAACAAGTGGAACAGGCTGCTTCTGTCAAAAATCTGCGGCATAGTCCATGAATTGTCTTTATGTCTACTGTATCTTCTACGGGAAGCCAAAAATGAGATGAACAAAAAGAAGCAAAAGAAGAGGGAAAAAACCCTGTAATCTGCAGATAATATGAAGACAAAAAAGTATTTGTGATTGGGAAAATATACAAGATACATCATGCCTGAATAGGTCCCTGTTTCAGTTATTGAAGTGAGAGTCTATTTGCTCAGAACTACAGAAGTCTAATGACAGCAAAACCACCCCTTTAAGAGCAAACAAAACATTTCCGTATTACTGCTGGGTAAGATTTTGAGATTTGGTAAACGTCTTCATTATGTGACTGGATTTGCTTTAAAAACATACCACAGACTGGGAAAAGCAAACTAAAACAGTATTCTAAACAAATGAAAAACAAAGGTATCCTAAAAATATTTTCAAACAAATTATACCAGTTTCTAATCATGATAGAATATAATACACCCTCTGGTGTTTCTATTTTCAATAAGATGTAGACTTATTTACAGAAAGTATTAGAAGAACCTACTCTTGAATCAATGCTATAACCACTGTCTGGGGTAGACGCCAGCGTCTCAGGAGGGGAACATCTCACAGAGCCTGTGGAAGTGGAGGAGTTTGAAGAAGATGCTGCACTGCAGCAAAGAATCAGGTAGTTTCTCCAGAGCCCAATATAGGAGTCGCTGCTTGTAGTAGTATTTACTTTCTTTGCGTTGATAGGGCTGCTATTAAAAAAGAAAGAGAAGAGCTCAGTAGAGTAAATTAAGCTTACTACATTTTATTTTGGTTTTCTACTGAATTTATTTTTCAGTTACGCATGTGCCATGACTTCCCCAATTGTTAACATAGTAAACTCTGAGTAAGTTATTCAGAGCAGACTTGTACATCAATAATGCATGCTTTCATATTCAAATCTGCTGAACTACAATATGGCCAAAGGCACTAATTAATGTTAGCTGCAGATGATATTTTATGCAGATAAATCTGCTTTAATTTTTTGTTATATAAAGCTGAATTAAATCCACAGACAATATCAAGAATTTATATTACCTCAATGAAACAATAATGGCACTGCAATGATGATAAATCTTGAAATAATATTAAATATAATATAATGTATTTACTTTAGAAATAAACTTACTTGATATCCACTTGTGGAGACAGCAGCTGAAGTCTTGTATAAGCAAATGTCCAAGCATAGCTTACAGCTGTTGGGCAGTGTTTTGGAAGATTTTCCTGCTTCATGAAACTTGAGAGGCTTATAATCCATGGATCTTGGCCTTGAGTCACATGTGCAAATATCCAAATATGTGAGGGACTGACCACATCAAGGTGGTGGCTGATTGGGGAGGAATTCCAGTCAGCCAGAGTTTGTAAATCTATTGAACTGGGACAGTACAGTAAAGTAGTCTGCGTGCACAGAAAAGACAATGAGGAAATATTTAATACCCATGTATTTTAAGCAACAATATCTTTTGTTATTTATCTAATAAAGTATCAGTATCAAAAGCACACCCATAACAGAGAAAAAATTAATTTATGGGGCTTTTTACAGAAGATCTTAATGTAAACAGCTATAGAAACATGTTGTTTGTGAACAAACTGGTATTAGGAAATAGCAAATCCTAGAAAAAGACCCTTTCATGCATAAAGATTTAATTCTTCCAAAAGCTTTGTACTCTAAAAGCCTTACTACTGGATTCCAATTTGTTTCCTAATCCTAAAATCAGAAGTTTCCTTGATACTTAGGAGTTTATGATAAATACCTAAGTATGGAATTCAGCTGTTATTCACTGACAGCTATTAGAGCATTCATCATGGATAAAGGGCACATTGACTGTTATGACACTATATTACTGCAGAAAAAAGCAGTGCCCTTTGCTTTTAAGAAATTGCAGTCTGTGAGCAAGATGAGAAAAAACAGATAAAGACACAGCTCTCAGTGTTTATATGGTGATGATAACAACACACTATCAGTCAGAAAGTTTACAATGGTGGAGTCAACCTCACGACATACCTCAGATTTTTGCCTTTTTGTGGTGATAAATTGCTATTAAAATCAGCATGAACATAATGACGCTATCATTTGACATACATACTATTTATTTGGGATAGCTTTACAGAATTGCTTCATCTTACAAGCAACTTTACATAAAAAGTCCTACCTGGTCAGCCCCTGTGAGATGTATGAAACTCTCCAGGATAGTAGCACTTAGTCTGTCCATTACATCTATAGCCAACTCATCATCACTCTACAAAAAACACAAAGCATACTAGGCTCAAAGAATGTCAAAATAAAAGCAGTTTCACCAGGCAGCCTAAGAATGGGTCATCAACTGTTACCTTTGAAATTTCTAGAAGTGTGAACAAGGCCCTTATTTCTCTGAGAACACTGACAGCTAATCTCCTGGTGGCAGGCCTTGTGCTGCAAAGGATGACCAAAGCAAAGCCTTCCACCACATGGAATACACTGGAGTAAAGGGTCCTCTCCAGGGGAAGGGTATGGGCAGCCCCATTGGATACACCACGCTAAGAAAAACAACACAGAAGTTAAGCAAATAAAGAAAAACTAAACACAGCTAAGATACAGTTCCATTATTGGCAATGGCTGATTTAAAAATAAGATATTCAGATTTTTGGCTACGGGTCAAATTCTGCATTATGAGAATGACATAATATTAGTCACTTCATTTTTTATTACCTCTCTGAATTTAGTCCAAACAAATACCACAAGAACATCTTTATTTCACTTTCTCGCAAGATGATGCAATGAGAGCAAAATTTCAAAAACTTCAAGCAATACTCTTTTGTAAACAATTATGATATTAAATTATTTGAACCCATTCTATTGGCAAGTAAAAACTGGTGGGCTTAATTCTACTGTTTAATAATTCCTACATATTTCCTGTAATGTAAGCAAAATGTGGTCATGAATTAGTGTTCACGTAATACTTAATAATTTGGGACTAATTTTATTTTGATAAAAAAATGTTAACTTAAAATGAGAGATCTAGAAGTCTTCAAGTGCTGTAAGAAATTTAGCTGAATACTTATTACTTAACAAAACCAGTAAAGCCCACTACTAAGTTTGTATGTAGATTCCAAGTATGTTTTAACATCAAAGGATCTTATATAGATATACCTGAGCATCTTGGGTTTTATTGTGCATTTGGGCTGCTTGTTTCCACTGATTTATGAGCTGCACTAACATTTTTACTGCATTGTCAAGAAGCGTTGGGTGGATGTCAGTCACTTCACGCACAATAAAATAAACAAATCCTGAAAGAACATCTTCCCGCCAATCTGGAAAATCAAGCATTAATGCTTGGAGTGTATTGAAAGCCAAGGCACGAAGTTCTTCATCCATATGAATTGTCAGCCTGTTTAGAAAAAACATTGGTATCATCACCCTAAATAAGCATACTCTTAACCAGCCTTTATCATTTAAAGTTTGGTGTTTACTCTCTCTTCTTTACTGTACAATGCAGAACAGTTCCATAGAGATTCATTTCCTGCACTGGATAAAACTGAAACTGGCTAGTAACAGAAGACACTTCTACTAGAGCAAAATAATGTGAGGTTTCACAAAACTTAATACAAATAAACAGCGTTCAAGAAAAACTATCAAGTGTTTAACAAAGGTGCATCTTTGCAGGTGTCTGAGCTCAGCAGACCAGCACTCTGTGATGTATAAACTATTTTCTTCAAATTAAAATTGAAAACAACACATTTGTTTTCCAGCTAAAGGACACTTACTTTGGATATGAGAAAAAATTCACAAAACAATCTTTTGCACATACACTTAAAAGTCTGTCTAAGTCTGCTATGGTAGAAGATACCTCTTCTAGTATTATAATATTACTTAATAATTTTGTGTCTCTAATATTATTTTAACCATTGAAGAAAGAGTGTTAGAAAAATCTTATTCTCTTAAGTTATTACTAACTTTTTATATATGTAACTCAACCCTTTATATGAAAATGAATTTAGAATTTCCAAGCTATAAGTTGTCCTGTATTTCTGTGCCACACTATTCTTACATTTAAAATTTTAAAAAATCTTCTCAACTATATATCAGGACTGACAGGGTATATTCAATTTAAACTGAGATAAGAGATGGAAGAATATGGGTAGTGTTGGATCACAGAAAAATGGAAAAACAAAGCAGGATTAGTAGAGAAAAATACTGAAGTTTCCCCCAGGTGCCTATCTCAAATTTTGGTAATGTCAAACAAGACTGACTTTATGAAAATTTATAGTATTCGCGACACAAGAAAAAAAGAGAGGAAAAAAGTACAGCAGTGACAAAAAGATAAAACAGGTTCAAAAAAACAAAGCAACAGCAATAAATTCCTAGTTCTCAAAATACTCTCTCTAAAAATACATGCAAGGTCTGCAGGATAAATTTGCCTCCTGCTACTACAGCCAGTAAAAGCTGACCAACTGCAGAAGGCTGGCAGGAGCAGCGAGGACAGAGTGTGCATGCAGGGACTCACGCTGCAGAGCGAGGGCACTGACAATTGTGCACACGCAGCATTTGAAACAGAACATCCACTAAGAGCACAATCCCGTTTCTCTTACCTTGCAAGCAATTCAATGAGGTCAGTCCTACTCATGCCATCTGGAATCAGTCTTGGGATAGCAGCAATGCAAGTTCTGAACAAATCTATCTTAGGTTTTCTCTCACCCCTACAAAGGCAGTTTATAACCAAAAAAGAGACCAGAAAATTTACTTCAGTACACTAGAAATGCATTTTCAATTTCACGCCACAACTATAGAGGTAACAAACATTTTTATCAATAATTAATGAAACTAACATTCACTTAATAGTCCAGTAAAAACCTCACAACTGTAACACTTTAATAATGGCATCTGCAACATAAGAGAATAAAAATAATGTGATGCTACTGTGACAGTGAAAATGCTGCAATTCAGTACATACGTAATCATGTCTTCTGGTTCTTTATTGGACATCTGCACACTAGTCATGCACATGGGCCTTCCAACTTCTTTGTCCAAATGCCTAAGAATGCTATCCAGTGCTTTTCTGACTTGAGGATAGTATATGGACATTCCTGAAAAATCAGAGTGAGTTCCATCACCTTCTTTCATATTTTTATTAAAATATCTGCCACTTATTCAGGTTAGGACAAGTTTCTTATTGCACAGATGACATGAAATATATGCTTTAACTATCAAAACAAATGCATGTATTTATGAAATACATATCTATAAATATAGGACGTTATACAAAAGTAGAAGTTTCCTGCAGGAAAAACAAAAACAATGAAGTAACCATTAGCTGCTTCTTCATTTTCTCAATTCCAAGCTTTTTAGTTCTAGTTTAAATTTGACATGTTGAAACAGTCCTTTGAGATGACTACCTCATTCATAGAAGATCAACAAGGTACAGGGATTTAGAGTGTCTTACTCCACTCAGCTGTGAGACATTTGGGACATTTTAGAGTGACATCAAGAAAAAAAAAAACTTGCCATGCTATTTACCACACTCACTGCACTCAGGCTTCTTTGTACTTATTTTGCAATAAGTGCAAAACACTTTAAGAAAAGACATGGGTTTAGTTTGAGACACCAGAGGGTCATTAATGTCTAGCAGCCCTCTCTAAAACTCAAAGTAATTCTGGCTAACAATTAAACTAAATACATAAATAAAGTTACACTAATGTACTGATGAGAATAATGGGGAATATACACATACATATTGAAATGCCAACTTACAAAAGAATACAACATACCTATAACTTTTGCTTCCTCATCTGTCAGTGTTTTATTAAGAAAAATTTTCTTCACACGTAGAGTATTTCCTGATGGAAGAACAACTCCTGTTGTTGGCATTGGTGGTTCACCATCTTTTTGCTGCAAACTATCTGCTATGACAAGGAAGACTCTGAGGCCAATATTCATCCTCTTCAAGAACAAAAATGGGAGAAAAAAAGGGAAAAGAGAAAAAATTACAATATTGAAGTAACACAGAGACAAAATATAAATTGCATTTTTCCTCTCTTTTAAGCAGACAGCAAGACAGACCTTATTTAAATGTTACATATTAAGGCAATGAAAGTAACAGGAATAGAGCTTAAGTTTTCTGTGCCGCTCCACATTCTGATTCAAGTGAACTGACTGGGCCCAGGCTAAGATACAGAATATTTTATAGTACTGAGCACTCAAGGACTTGATATGAACCTCTAGAGCAACACACTGAAGACAGACCTTGCTAAACATCCCATCTGTTAGACTGGGTCTTGAAGAGCTAGGTATGACTTTCCTGAAAAAATGCTTTACAGTTACACTGTACCAAAAACCCCATACTTTCTGAAATTGTTCTTGAAATCAGTCTTAACTGTAGAACTGCTTCCTCACCTAAAATCAAACAGCAACAGTGCACAACAACAATTACTTCTTCAGTGTCAGCAGAACACTCCTTCAGATACTCATTAATTTGCTTCTATCCCGGTGCAAACAAAGTTAACCACTTCCTCCCCAAAAATCCCTCAATGCCTTATTCTCATGGCATGCAAGTAATGAGCTTTTATTACCTCTGGATTAATAGTGAAGGTTTTAGGTGATTTTCCAACACTAAGAAGATCAAATATTATTTCTTTCATTGCAAAATCCAAACGTTCCTACAAAGAAAAATAGATTTGTATGATCATCTCTTTTCCATTAATATGCATAATTTCTTGGCTTTGCACAGCTAATGGGTATTATGTCTTAAAATTTATTTTAAAAAGTTTTTAAAATATTTCTTTTTTCCTCCGTATTCTTATGACCTTTTTTTAAAATCTAGTACAATTCAACACAGCTCATCCCCTGATATGGCTGAACCATTTCTCCTGAAAAAATTCCCAGACAATTCACCATCAGATCAAATACATTTCTACAAATAACATGAGCTGTTATAGAAAAAAGAAATTGGGATAGAGAAGCCCTAAGGTAGAAAAAAATACTACATATAAATATAAATACAAAAAAATATAAACAGTGATGAGTTGTGCATCCTGCCTCATCCTTGTATGACCAAAAGCAAATAGTTTTGGATGCTGAAGCACAGACAAGCTATTTCTAAGACAGGAAAGGATGTCTCTAATATATAAATTTAAAGATCAATGAAAGCTCATCTTGACATATTGCATCTTGCATTTTGATATTAGGACAAGAAATGCACCTAAAATAATATAAATCATAATGTAATGCTGACTATATACTACTGCATTCATTGCATACTATTTCTGTCTATTGAGGTCAGTCTCCAGGCTAAACATAAATAGGTATTACTGTTCTAATTCTTGTCCCTTATAAAAATACCATAATGGATATAGTAATTATATTGCAAACATATAAATATATATATATATATATATATACAGCCATCAACAGTGCAATACAAATGTAAATACTAATCATCATAATGTTTGTACATACCAGTTTGTGAAGTTCAAAAAAAAAATTTTGCCACCAATTGAAAGAGAATTAATTCTTTCATTTGTTACACATATTTGGAGAAATTCTACTCAAGATGAGACCACTTTCAGTGGAAACATTTCAAAAATGAACCTTAAACTTACATTTCTTCCAAATAATGTTCATCCTACTATTCTAGCTCTAGCTAGATGCATTCTTACCTGAGCAATGAACTGAATAATCTTCACAAATATATTCAGAGGTGTGTCTCGTGGGACCACGCTGCGCGACCCTTTTGGGAAAAGTGCTGATACAATGCTCATGAGACGGCTACAAGAGTTTAGAAACAAAAAGATCTTTTAAAAATTGATACTTATAACAGCACAGATGTTACAGTTCAAATCTGGAAGAATGTGTGTGTGTGTGTGTGTGTGTGGACCTACTATGAAATAATATGGAAGCCTATACAGGTAGGACCAGGTACAGGAAGCCCAGCACCAGCTGTCACAGGCAATAGGATCATGGGTTCCTCTATGAACTGAAAAATATCCTGTTTTAAACCAGTTACTAATAGTCAGGAGGAGGGGCAAAATCTGAGTGACTATTCCAAATTCTCATTATACACAATTATAAATAAAACCTTTTTATATCCAGTCCATACTTAGTGATGGACACTTCATACCCAATTTGTTCTGTCACCATTGGTATCTTTTGACTTTAATAAATTTCCTGCTCATCTCTCTGCCTTCTTCTATCCCTGCAAAGACAATTCTAGATCTATTCATTCTTTCCATCAAAGTACTCAAGGGCTTTTGGTTTTCTCTATTAAGACAAAATATTTACTGCTTATTTGACTAAACCATCCCTGAGCTGGCTTCAAGCTCTCTTCTGATATCACTAAATTGGAATAAAATCTCCATCATCAGTAGTTTAAAATACTTTGTATAATGAACTTACCTTTGAGTTACAGTGTTGCTTTCACATTTAATTCTAATAACATAAACCCACAATAACCTATACAAAGATTCCAGTGCAACTCGGGACATTTTGGGATCTTTATTCTGTAAAATAAATTTAGAAATACAGTTATTGTTGCCTGTGAGACACTGACAAAATTCTATTATAATGTTTATTTACTTTTGAAAATAATTTTTTAACAATGAAAGCAGATGGGTTTAATACTGACTACAATTTTTTGGTATTTTTTCAAAAACAAACCAAGCCTGTATTGCACATTTCCTAACCTTAAATTTTTAACTAGTAACTCCAGCTCATTTTACACATCTCCAACTCTGAGGGCAGAGCAGTAACTAAAAAGCAGATATTCCTCTTGAGATGAACACACCAAGAGTATATTGCTTTCAAGAACTTTTCTCAGAAAGCCATTGGTAACAAATACCTACTTCATAGCAAACCAATTTTTAGTTTGTCTAAAACATTGGAGTAGCTGCTTTGGATCAGGCACAAGGTCTCATCCCATCACTCAGCCTGTGACAGCAGACAATAGCAGGTGCAGAAGAAAAGAATGCAAAACAGGGAAGGCACACAAAGATGCATCTCTGGGTGTGGCTTCAGACAATGCAGACACTTCCTGCAGGCTGTATTAGTGTTTGCCCACTTTCAATGAACTTTTATTGTAACAATTATGTGACTGCTTCTTGAATTAATATAAAATCTAGCAGCACAATTCAGTTTAAATAATGTACTGAACACAAAATTATTTTTGTCTTCAAGCTGCTACTAAGTTTAGCTTTGCTCCTCCAAGCTCTTAAACTGTGTAAAACAGTAGCTAGCATTCTTTGTACCAGCTCCAGAAACCTCCTTTCCAAATAGGGATTCTTGGAGTACTTACAATCTAGAAGTGTCCAGCAAAATTCCTGGACTGGGCCATAAGTATAAATTTCTGAATATAATAAATGATTCCGAGTTGTCAACTTTTTAGGCATTATCCCAATTCAAACTAATAAACCCAAACAAAACTAACAAAAAAGCAAAAACAGAACCCCAAAACCACACCTTCCCCACCTCCAGTGAAGTCCCTCTGTCTCAAGACATATCTATATGATGACTTGAACATAATTAATTTCATTTCTTTTTTTGCCACAAGCCAGTGAGTCAGAATCGCAGATGCCTTTGTCCTTCCAGGACAAATGGAGTGCAAATTCACAAAGGGTGTAAGCGGAACTAAAAAAACATACTGTTCAAAAAGAGATGGTCTCATTCATGGTTCTCTCTCCCACAACCTCAATGCTCCCTGTACATTAATTCTAGCAGTAAGAAAGTCCAACTCGCACCCACAAGCTGATCAAAATAACCTCATGTCCATGTCTGTGTAAAAGATTGTATAAACGAAGGAGTGAAATTTTGGTGGCTTTAGCACAAGTGGGTCCAGACTACTGGTTTTGGCACTAAAAGCCTATCACAGAATCACAGAGGCAGAAGTGGTATTTCAAAGTAGGACAGACAAGTAACACACAAGATTGACTACCAGAATTTTAGAGGGAATAATTTAACCCAGTTTACATCCGTGATAATGCTGTTCTGTCTTCCCTTCATACATCAATGTGTGCTGCCATCACCTCTGAATTAGCACCTACAGCTAGGCAGTGGGTAAATTTAGGGAAGTGATCCGGACAAAATCTTTCCAGCAAGAAGTTACACCTGTCCCTATTTATTATTCACACTGATAAATGTCTCACCCTTCAGTTAATTTACCTGCAGTGCTACTGTGAGCAAGAAGGAAATGTAACTGTACCAGAGGGTGAGACTGGGATAGCTTTGATTCTAATCAGCTTAAACAGCAAAACCCCCACAATATTATTACTCATTGTATTTAATTTACAGGCCAACAATTACTGATTGTCAAAGCAGATGGGGAATTCATTGGTACAAGTGTTATCAAAGTCTACCTGAAATGCATCTGGAAATGAGTAATACTTCAATTTTCTAATTTCTGATATTCTACAGGGGAGCTTAATTTACAGGTCCAGAAGTAAACAAAAAAATTATCGTTGGCTTTCAATCATCTAATAAAAAAATGGCAGAGGTAGCAAATATTTTAATATTGTGTAAACGATGTTCCATCTGTTAGCAGGTGTATCATCCAATAGAGCTACTTCTGAGTAGTTTTGACAAAGTTTGCTTGTTATCAAGGAAAAAAAAGGAGCATATATAAAGGCATTCACCTTTTTAAAACAGTTAGGAAATAAATTCTGCAGTACTTTTATTATTTTAAGCATTGAAAATTTTCATTACCACTTCCTACAATGAAAAGCTAAAAAATATTCTAGCAGAAAATTGCTTTCTGAATTACAACACTGCATGTACACCTGGTATTAAGATGTCAGTATTTATTTTCTCTTAGACATTAGAGCAACTAGAATAAGGAATAGATGGCTATGTAATCAACATCTGGCAGAATTTTAATCCTTTTTAGATGATATCTGTCACATTTTAAAGTATGCTATATGTTTGGGGTTTTTTAAACATAATTTTGTTTAAAATTCTAAAACTTTTAAACATAAATTATGGTATCAGCAGACTATGAAAAAAGTTGTCAGGAACAGTATCTGTTACAAAACCAAAAACGTAAGGGCAAATTAAAACACATTAAAATGAGTCAATGAAACAAATCTCAATGATGGCAAGAAACAAAATAGCATTTTTTCCATGTTAGTCAAATGTAGTCACTTACTGAAGAAAGTACTTTTTAATACTGATGTTAAACTTTTCTTCTGTTCTGAACTAAAACAATTTCTACTTTTTAAAACCTGCAAAACCAACAGTGTAAAAGTCTTTCAAGTTAGTGCACTGCAAGTTGTTACAGTAAATCAGTTTCACATTTTTTTATTGTGAAAATGGTTTCAGTTTGCTCACATGCAAGACACTTTTTGAAATGAAGTAACAGAAAAACCCATACATCTGAATAGGTAGTTACTTCCAGAGGAAACATGCACTGGTGTTCAGGGAAACCAGCTGTGATATTAATAATCAATCTCACAAAGCCACACTTTCACCCCCAAGGAAAAACTGGTATTAGACAATTTTCTGATCTTTCTCCTTTACTCCCTGGCAAGAGAAAAACATCTTTGAAACATTAGCTATTCTTAGTCCTATTGCTTCTAACAGTACTAACAGCAATTTTACAAAGAAAGGAAAGCACAAAATACAACAAATAACATAAAAAACCAAAACAAAAGTATTTACATGAGACAAAGCAACATTTCACTGAGTTACAACAACATATTAACTCACCTGCAGTGTTTCTATTTGTTTTCTGATACTGTTGTTAGATGGCATCTAAATAAAGCAATGTGAGACAGCAAAACATAACAAACATGAGAATGGAAGGCACATGCATGTTAGATGAAAAAAAGCTCAAAACCAACAGATAGCTGTCTAGCAAGGACTCTATTCAGTAGAAATAAAGGGTTTGCTATAGTGGCAGAAAACGTTCCTTCAATTTTCAAGGTTTTGTGGTAACAGACACTACAGGTAAACTGTGAGGAAAAAAAAATACTCTTTTTCCAGCCAACAGTGGTGCAGAATGACAGATACTGTTCTCTCTCATTTCTCCAGCTTTTTAAAATGTTCCTTTCTCCCTCCAGAAGAAGTAGTAAAGATACCACAACTCAGATTCATCCAAGAATTTATCAAATTTCTGACAAACTTGCTAGAATTAGTCTGTGTAAATACTAGTCAAAAAAAGTAAGCAAAGTGTTTTACAATACTGACCCAGCTTTACTATCTGCTGAACAAACTCAGAATTTTGCCTACACTACAATGTGTAAAAAAATGCCTGCTGGGCTCAGTGCTGAAACAGCAGCCCAAGCGATTTGTGGGACAAAGCTAACTATATATATACCAGAAAAAAACCAACCCTTTGGTACACTCCTGGTCTAAACTGACTCTTACAGCTCACTGATGTGCTAATTGCACTGGTCCAGACCACTAGGTTTCCTCCTTGCAGCAAGGCTAGGATGTTCTCCCCACACTCTAAGCCTGCTTTGAGGATAACTAAAGGCAACGTGCACTGAAACCCAGCACAAAGAGTTTACAAAGACCATAAATATTGCCAGGTTTAGGATTCAGAGCACTCTCAGGAGCATTATCAAATTTATTAAAGCACCAGAAGGTAAGGCAGGTATCAACAAACTGCATCAGGTACTGTAGGGCCACTGCAAAGGTGTGAGCTTTCACAGCATGGCAAATGGGAAATGGCTCACTTCAGTCAACAATGTGCAACATGGTGCTCATGGCTAAGGAGAGTTTGTACTGGGCACTCACCAAGGAATAATGAGAGCACCACGAATCCATAACCTACATTACCTCTTGGTGACTTCTAGCATGGCTGTACTCTTCATGGAATATCCCTGTGACGGACTCCAAGGGTTATCATTATTTCAATTCCTAATTTGTTCATTTCAACAAATACAGTAGGGGTAAATGAATCCTGTTAGTGCTCTAAGCATCTCCTAGTAACTTTCAAAATTACTTTATTAATAAAAAGGATACTAGAGGCAATGGATTTGGAATTCCTTATTTCATTTTACATATTTAAATAACTCCAAATAAAATAATTTTAGTCATTAGAAAATCAGGAAATAAAATTAGGGGAAATCCGAAAGACTAAACTGCTGTGAAATCTAGATTTGAAATTAATGAGATTACTTATTACAGAGTGCATGCATTTAATTAGCTTCAGAAACAAAGGAACACATTAATTCATAAGATACATCAGGACAGTGGGGTGTATTTTTCAAGATTAAGCTCAATGAAGTTTCTGAACAAGGTAGGCACCCAAAAAACTTGATAGTATTTGGTGTGCCCAATTAAACCAAGCCATAAAATACCCTAAAGGACTCACTGATGGCATAGCATCATAACACTTCAAATTCTGAATTGCAGAAATTCGTAAGTGGAATTTCTGCTGAATAGAGCCTTACAGTAAATGTGTTAAGCTGTTAGTGGTTAACAAATCTAAGTAAAATATAAAATGCATGCTCAGCAAATACCAGTTAAACTCACTGGCATTTATAGTTTTAAAACATCCATTACCAGCGATGGACATTATGCCAGAAAAAGGCAACTCCTAGATTGTAAGGAGTTTTTTTTAAAGCTTTAAAAACAAAAAGCACAAGCAGCCTCCATAAGCAAAATAAACCACAAAACAAAAATCAAAGCAAATACTGCAAAAGAACTGCAATAATGTTAGATGAAAAATATACAGAACCCAACAAGCAACAGAAAGGTGTGAAAGATGTTGTAAGAACAAAATGACCCAAAACAATCAAAGCAGCTAAACTGTTTTCCTTTTGACTTCATGCTGGTTTATGTATTTTACAAATAAGCTTTGTAACTGTCACTCATAGCTAACCAGAATCAGCGTTGTGAAGGAGGATCAAAGAATTTATTAACATTATCAAAATCAATACATTAGGCAAAATCATGAATTATGTTAATCATAATCAAGGAAAGAATACATACAATAACTACAATAAAGTGACTGATTTGTAAATATCTTGATGTCTTTATCAACCAATTGATGGTTACAATGATACCAACAGAAGGCACAAGTTAAAGGGACACTGTAATTGGTTTTTTAAAATTTGTATCACAGGCTGTAGATATAACATCTTTTCTGGTCTCACAGCTCATTTTCTATTCCTTCAATAAGTGAACAAAAGACAGGAAGTTTGCACTTCCTATACATTCTACTTAGAGCAGATAAGTAATTTATTTTCTCACATATAATTTACACATAAAGAAATATGGTTTATATTTTCTCTGGCATTAATAGCCCTTGTTAGCAGACATTTCTGCAGATTTTACTCAATAAAAATTATAATCCCCAAGGGGACCACACTTATTTCCAACATAATATAGCATCACAAAAACTTACTACTAGGTTTAATACAGAGACTTGAAACATTTAATTTCTTTTTAGAAAAATATTTCAGTGTCCTTTTAAACAGCCAAATATTACTCATTGTTTATTTGGCACAAGAATGGTGAAAACATATTGTCATAAATGCTAGTGATTCGCAACAGTTCCTTAATTAGAAAGGATTCTTACCTTCAGATGTGACAAACAGTTCTGCAGGAAAACGTGCCAATTATTTAAAAAAAACTGTTTCTGACTGACACACAACAGGCAGGTGATCAATGGGTACAAAGCCTATGAGTAGGGGGAAAAAGAGTTGATCAAATTGCTCTTTGCAGACCTCCCAAGTGTTGTACATTGAGAATGAGACACAGTTGGCTGCTGCCCCTCACTCTCACAGTTTTGGCACTGCATGGCCCCTCTCCCTGCCCTGGGACACGTGCACAGAGCCCTGGGCAACTCCTGAGTGCTGCAAGAGCCCAGGGGGTCACACTGGGGCAGTGGGACCAAGGTGAAGCTCATCCCCAGCAAGGCCTGATGTCAAACAAGGACTGAGAGAAGTCTGATCCTACAATGTTCAGGCTTTCCCTGCAACCACAAGACTCAATTCATGTAGCTCTACATGCTGGGCAGGTGAACTGCCTCCAAGAACATTCAGGAAAAATATCAACTCAGTAAAAACTCAGACTTTAAGTTGTCAGAAATGCTACTTCTACTCACGATCTACTTTTAGTGAGGAATGAACCACAATATATTTTATTTTAAATCTGTGCATATGCAAAGTGTGATTTAGCTTTTTTAGTAAGGTAAGATTTAAGTACCACAACCTTTTAACACATAAATGGTGATTAGTACCAAATCTGACTGCAGCTTTTCTTGTTATGAAGCAAAACTAAAGGATGAGTAAGTAAACAGTACTCTTGATACAATGTTTCTAACTTCATTTTAAAAATGTCATTTTTAATACTAATATCAACCACTTTATGTTACTCTTACATAAGGAGTTTAACCAATACAATGATATATGCTTTATATGTGCAGAATACTAGAAAGAAAAGCTCATCCACAACATGAAAGTGAGAATAAAACATTTTGAATTCACTTGCATTTACTTAATGTGCCAACTGAAATGCAAAAATTAGCTCTACATTTTCAACTTGAAACATGGCTGCCATAGTCATCAAAAACAACCAAATACTGCAAAAATAAGAGATAATTTAAAAAATGATAAAATTTAAACAAGGTGTATGATGAGAGGAGAGAACCAGGCAAAGCAGAGCTATTAAGAGGCTGCTATTTTACTGAAAAAGTCTTGTCTGACATTTGCATCTTTTAATTAACCCTAATTTAAATATATTCAGATTCCCTGAATGGAAGTTTTTTACTAAAAAGACATTAAGTTAAATAACTCTGCTAAAATCCACTAAAATAATCAAAAACAAGCACTGACTTCAAGACAATCTCACATGTGAGATAAGAGCACATATCTGCACAAAGAAACAAAGCAAAATTAGAACAAATGAACACACACTGTGGGAATTTAATTATACTGAGATGTTAAGATTTAAATTAATATGGCTTGATAAGCTTTTCCTCTTATAATGTACTAGCTTAAGAGCCTAAGATGAGCAAAATGGAGAAGTTGAAATATTTCTTTAAAATACCAGCGAGTGCTTCTTCCTTGAACTCAATTCAAAGGTAGTCTGATAAAGCATCTCCACAAAATTTTTCAAACATGGCACATTCACTTCATTTTTAACAGCCTATAAAAAAAAAGCACAAATTAATGGGCTTAAAAATTTACAAAGAAGGCAATTTAAATACACATTAAGATGTCTATGAATTCAAAACCACTCAAAAGTTAAATTTCACATTAGTAAGGTATTTCAGTGTATTTATCTGAAATAGAAGCAGAAGCATAAGAAATCATGCCATACACTACAACCATATGGTTAAAATTAACAATTAAAGCAAACATACAAAAAACTCCACCCCAACAGAACAGTCCACTAAAATAAACTGGTTTAGGAACATGGTCTCTATTCCGTACTCAAAGAAGAAAATGTATTTGATACCAACTAACAAATAAAAACTACACTGAAGATCTTCATATGCATATTTACATTTATTAAAAAAATATTAGTATCTTTAACTTTCACAGCTCCCCTCTTAATGCTCCTGTTTTCTTCTTTGTTTTAATACTGAAAACTGGAAAATTAAGAAATAATCCACAGGATTACCAGTCAACCAATCATGCAAGTTGTCTTTGCTCAGCTTTCAGAAGTAATGAAACACACATGGAGCCCTACAGCTTTCTGACCCACTCTGTTCTTGCACACAGAACAGGTTTCCTTCCACAACCCAAGCAGCTGCCACCTTCTTTACTGAAACCTCTGCAAGCCTCTTAGGCTTCCCTCTGGATCTTCAGGATGATCTATTTAAACACTATTCTCAACCTACTGTTTTAAGCTGTTCCTGCTTTATTTATCAAATTGAGGGGTGGGGTGTTGGAGACTGAAAGGGCTTTTTTGGAAGAAGTCCTCAGTACATATAATTTCCTTACAACATAAGATAATTTCTGTTATCTTTATTATTTACAGTTATTAATATTACATAAACATTATATCTACTAACATTACATAAAGAAAAATCATGTCCATCTTGCTAAGAACACTCTAAAAGCTTCATGATGTAGAAGCACAAAAAAAGCATGTATCTCTGTAATGTGTACAGATCCACAAAGAAAGAAATGAGAAAGTAATTATGATTTAAATCACTTCCTATGTACCCAATTATTTATCCTTTGCTATCTTAGGCTATAGGTTGATTAGTACTCTGCTAGCTCCACAGGAGAAATCAGTCAGTTGCTGTCACCACAGCACTGTTGCTTTGGGATATAATCTCAGGCTTTCAGAGCAGCCCTAACTTCCCTGCTATAAAATATGTTGTGATTCATCATACCTGCAGGGTCCAAATCAGGTCAGGTTTCTTAAAATGCCTGAATGACTAAGCAAGGGAATGACAGTAAAGAAGTCTCAATGCTGAAACCCAACAGCTTCCTCACTTGAGCGATTTTCTGTATCCAAGATACAGAAAAATCTACATTCAATTCCTTCAGCTGCATGAAAAATATTCAAACTTGCATCTCACATCTTCCCAGAGAATGACTAACCTGCTCAACTGCACCTCAGCCTGGGAGTGAGCTCCTCATTTCTATTTAAGAAGCTCCATTTGTATGAAATGATTAGAGACCCAGTGAGTCAGAAGGACAGATCAAGCCTCCCTCCCCAAGTGTGTGAAGCGCTGATTCAGGCTGGATCACAGCACCACAAGTGCTCTGCACAGCCCTGTTCCTGCCTCTGCCCCTGCCAGAGCATAGTCCCATCTCCCAAATGCTTCTTCTTCCTCCTTATTTCAAGGGCAGTTTTCACCACGTTTATGATTCTGCAAACTAATATTTGCATTTACCTAAATGCTAAATAGTTTCACTTGGCACTCCCACTCCAACTGCCAAGCTACTATGGAATTCAAAATGACAAAATGTGCTCACTCTTCAATAGGAAAGAAATTCTTCTATTCTTCTCTAGAAGAGTATAGGCATGCCTGGGTAAGATCAAAACTTATTCCCATAAGCAATTACTACTGGAAGCACCTCTTTCTAATTATGCCTTATGAAAAAGGATTGTTTCCTTTGTAATTTAAAAGTGATTTAAAAAACCCAAGTCCCCAAGTATACCAAACCTAACAGCAGCAACAAAACCAACAAAAAAAACAACAAACAAACAGCAGCCACACAAAAACCTCAAATAAACCCACAACCCCTCCCCCCAAACCAACAAAAACAAACAAACATCCATAAAAACAAACAAACAAAACCCACAAAACCAAAAACAACCTCCTGCCTCAAAAAACCAAGACTGAGACCACAGAAAGGAAAGAAGCATTTGCCCAGGGCAAGGTAAACCATTTAAAAGAGGATGAAGAACTCAGAGAGTTACTTTCCTTTCTTTTCCTACCTAATCTTTCTTTTCCTATGATCTTGCTCAGATGGGATGCCCACCCAGTGTGCTACTCTTTGTAGATCCTATTCTACAAAACAAGATCTACATGTCCCAATTTTCCATTTATAGCAAGATATATCCCTATAATATATGTGGCAACACACAGCCACAACTGGCCACTTTTTAGGACTACATGCCAAACATGGGCCTGGCATCTGCTAATACAACTAGCATTTTACACAACAATCCCAGAAAGTATCAATCTACTATGAAGAAATTAACTGAGCTTGTCAATGGTCAACTTGAATTATACTCAGGTGCCATAATTTCTTCTTGACCTGCTGAACAAGCTTCACAAAACCAAGCTAAGCAGCCTGGGAAGAAAGAGAGCCTGTCTTGACTTAAAGATTGCACAAGCAGCATTACAGGCACAGTACATCCAACACTGGGATGATAATGAGTGTTTTTACCTTGTTCATGGTTGCTGTGTGAAATTTCTACTTTTAGATTTAAAACACACACAGGAGATGACTGACTGCTCTTCCACTTGAAGGATTAAATCTAGTGGACATTCACCTCTACAAATCATTTTTATTTAATTAGCCAAGACCTACATTCTTCCTTCCTACATGAGTTCACACTCTCCTTATCAAACTGTAAAATGTTACACAGCTTACTACAGAAAAAACTCAATTGAAGAATTTTAATAATGAGAGCCCAATGGAAAGTGGGGGGAACAGTGTGGCAAGGGGGATTAAAATACTTACAGCAGCCACAGGTATGAGAATTTCCACAAACAAACCAGCAAGTGCATGTTTTATATCCTTATCTTTTACTTCCAGGAAGTATTGAGCACACTCCTTAGTAAAAAAACATTAGAAAAATATTTAGAAAAAGGAATACAAACATAACTACGTCATAAAAACCACTAGCAGTCTAACATTAGCTGCCTGTTTTAATTTTAAACATGTAATGTGTTTGAGTTACTTTTATATTCCTTAGCAGTATCAACTTCACAAAACATAAGAAACTTTAAAACCTGTTTGCCCAGCAATACACCTCAATGAATTGAAAGGAGAACATTTGTAATACCAGATAGCTATTTACTTTTTACTCAGAATATAAAGAGTACTCAGAATACAAAAGAATATAAATATACACATTTTCCCTCAGATAATTTTGAAGCTTAAAAATTTTTAATGCTTATATCTATTAAAATTATTGGGAAATTATATTTTATTTTTTAATACTAATTTTCATTTTCAAAGGACTTTGATGGAAAGAAAATTAAATATAATTAAATATTCCATACACAATAAATAATCCATAGTGAAGTGTTTTTAAAGAAAAGCAAGTCTTGACATCTCATCTGTTAAAAAATTATACACAAAATAATTCTTTTTCTTTAATACACTGCTTTTATAAAGAGAAAATTATTTGATTGCTATCCATTTTCATTCAGTCTTAAATTCATATATTACAGGTTTGCCACACTACTAAGGCAATTGTGGCTTCTCCTGATGAAAGGTACTCACAAACTAAAGAAACAATTCACACCTCTGAAAAATTAGGAACTGAACAGAAAAGGATGAAGGATGGCACACAAGTAGAGGGAGTGAGTGATCACAGCAAGCGTCATCATAGCTTCATGACTTAAACATTTAAAATTACACTCATTTCAGTTTTCTGTAGCATTTGTTTACCTGCATGAACTGAAATGATGCTTCAAAATCCTCCACAGGATACATCTTTACTCGAAAAAACTTCATTCCCATGATCAAACTGATGATACTCTGTACTACGTGAGGACTCTGTTCTTTTTGCCGCAGTTCCTTTAATTCAGTGACAAACTTCTTCCTAACAGCTTGAAACCTGAACAAGGGATACAGACAGCAATTATTTGCATTCTTACTTACTTTTGTATGAGGTCTATAATTTTGAACCAATTTCTTTAGTCTGTAACAGTATCAGCAGCTGCTGTATGAGAAATGCAAGGGAGATGAACCCTGGTACTTCAAGCCCAGGCATTTATGAGTGCCTATGATGATCAGTACATGAGAATACACCAGTTAAGTAAACAACAGTCGACTGGCACAGGGCCTCCTTTCCCTGCCCCTACAAGCTGACTGCAAAGCAATGGTACTAAAGACTATTTCTTAATTTGTTCAATTTTTTTGTGCTGGAACATCAGACAGACACAGCACACTACACCTGACTACATCTGACACTTACAGGATTATCTACTGGGGACATGAATAGATTCTGCTATAGCAAATAGTCTTTAAGTCTACATTGGTCTGTTCCTAGACACAAAGAGTCAGAGACTGAACTTACTTTGATTGAGCAAGAACCCCTGTCACTTCTGCATATAAGTCTGCAATAATATGAACATTCCCAGTGTTGGTTCCTGAATACCTAAAGAAAAAAAAAAAAACAATAAAGGGAAAAAAACCTCATTAAATACAACTTTGCTCTTCTAAACCCCAAGCAAGTTTTCAATTACAAACAAAAAAATTTGTCCCCTAGCAGGCAAATTATTACCATAAAAACAATTAAATTCAAACATGAAATGCATGGGTGACATTTAAAGCAATGTAGTTTCATTTCTTATTTCAAAAGAAACATATTCTGGATAGAAATTTTACTGTATTTATCTAAACTCGGACTTTTCTTACTGCATCTGAGGATGCAAATAATTCTGTATATTCGAAGCAAAATAAACTCAGTGTTACATTGAACACAGCCATCTTCTTTCAAGATATGTTTCCAATTTAAAGACATTGACTTTTGTTCATTCACACTGGTATTATCACAAACATTTTACATGTGAGGCAAAAGAGAGCAATCACAACAAAGAAACACAGGCTGGTAATACAAAGTATTTTAAAGTACACAATTGAAACTTACCCTTCCTTATGTTTAAAGTGCTTAAAAGCCAAGTTTAGAACTTCATGTACTAAAGGATCTGGCACTGGATGAACAGGTATCTGAAAGGCACATATCACTTACATGTATGTAGAACCTATACATGCATGTATGAAGCAAATAAACAGTGCTGTGAGATGCTCTGGAGAAATCTCTCCCACCAGTGTCCAAGGACACATCCTTTACTGGCATATATCAAGCTAACTCTGCAATATATAACTTTTACACAATCTCTACTGGCATTCTTAGCCAAATAAGGATAATTCTAAAGTACATTTTAACCTCATTATCCAACAATTTCAACCTGTATTTCAAGAACATTTAAGCCGACAATGGGTACTGAGCATAAATTAAATGTTATTTTTTACAGTTCTGCTTTTTGGAGTACATCAGCAGCTTTCCAAGACACATGAACTGAGACAATGCAGGCATGTAAAGAAAAGGCAGGAGAGGCCAAAGGCTTTATGTAACTGAGAGTATAATTACAGCCTTGCATATGCTCACCATAGATATGTTCTAGTCTTTAAAATAAAAATTTAAAGGAGATTATCAAAAGCAACATTACAAGCAAAATATTAAAATTAATTTGCCAAAGTAAAAGATCTTACCTGTTTTAGAACCTCTATTAAAACTAAGCAAAAAATGAAATCTACAGCTAAGTCCCTCCTTTCAAGTAGATAATCTCTTTCACGTTGTTGGTCATCCCTAAAATAAGAAATCAAGAACACAGCCATCAGACGCAAGACTGAACACAGATATTGCAGTGACAATAACTGCATTTTTTTCATGTAATCACTGTTGCAGATGTGTATAAAATGCACAGGTGGACCTGCCAATAATAAAAAAAAAAAAGGGGGGGGAGGGGGACAAACTAGCTTAGAATTACCAGTATCCAGCTTCCTTCTGTATATCTATGCCAAAACCATTAAGTCACTTCATGTATATCATCTAACCAAGTTAAATACACTACCTTAAAGAAGTCTGTGTTTTTTCTACACAAATTTAGGTAATGACAAATCCAAATACAACATACTTGTCACAGAAGTACAAAGCACACATTTTCTTATGAGAAAGCACACAAAAATCAAACAGACTTCAGCAAGGAAAATTCTTACCCCTTTGATTTTGTGCTTGACCGAGGTCTATACTCATAAGATTCATCCTCTGTTCCATTTTGGCGCCTGTACCAGTCAAACAAGGTGCGTAGTAAGGAGGGGAGACAGTGCTCTGCTACTGAGCTCATAGAGCTTATCAACTGAAAGAGGAAGAAAAATACTTTAGCCACATATAGCTAGGAAAATCCTGGAGTTGAATAATTCTTTCAAATTGTTTTTTAATGTTAAAAACCATGTATCGCATAACTTCACAAAGTGGCAAGTTAATATTCATTTTCACCTAGGACAGTTAGTGTAAATATAACATACTGAGTCTATTATTATAATAAATTTAAGTAAAGTGTTCCAAAGCTCACAGGGATCACAAAATGACAAATTTATAGACATATAACGTGTATAAAATCACTGAGAAAAGAGCAGAGGTTTTAGGATGTCCCTGAATGTTGCTGTATTTATGTCTGAAGTATACACACCTTCACATCACACATGACAAGAGCCAACCCTCCTAAATTGAAGAAGTTTATAACTTTAAAAACTTGGTTCTTTGGTTATTATATAAACAAAAATAAAAGCCTTTTAGACATTCTACATCGCCTTTAATACATTTGACTGGTCTGGGTCTCAGGCTATATTTACTTTTAGTGTAACTCCCCCATCTTCTGCTTTCTTTCAGAAAATCTGTACTAGTAGTAAACTCATCTGTGCAACAGATGTGGCAATAGGAACCATTATAGAAGGAAGACTTTAAGATGCTATTAAACTTAAATTATCTCGGCTTCCTTTAACTAAAAACTTTTTGGAAAGGACAAGAATGACTGAAGACAGCAAAATGCCATTACAAACCTGGTTCCAGGAGGCAGCAGGGAGCAAGCCCATTCCCTAACACAGGTTGGAATGGGAGAGTTACCATGCTGCTCACTGATTTCATGTATTACCTGTCTCTTGGATCTTTCAAATAAGGTTTTAATAGAAGCCATGCTCAAGCTGTAACTTATCTATTATTCACTATTCCAGATAACAGTATAATATTATGCCACTACGTGTTCTGATACAACATTAATGAAATTATTTCTTTTTCCTCATTTGAAGCATCTTGGGTTTTTAGGTTTGTCGAAAGGATAGGGACAAGTTAACCACAGGAAAACCTCAGAAGGACCTCTTTTCATCTTCTGAATACATTACTCAGATTGTTAATTAGTCAGTTATTCAAGTCACAATAATTAAATAGTGCTGTGAACTGATGGGTTTATTAGCACAAGCAAAAGAAGCAAGCTGCATTTAAAGCTTTGCTAAACCTTTCCTTTAGGTTTTCCTGCAAGGTTACACAATTTATCAGTACTAATACTATTCATAAATGTTCATAAAAGTAGTTAGGCAATTTACATTGGCTTCTAGAGAAACAAGCATGTATTACACACATTCAAAAATGTCACTGCTAAAATGCTGAACCCCGAAACTACTGGCATAATAAGGTATTTTCCTCTAGAAAAATAAAAAGTTTTACAAAAGAATTATTTATTTCCTGTCAAGTTTTGCATTCTTTGTATTCTAATGAAAAGGCACTGGAATCACCAGGAAGATGACATCTTTGCTAATATTGCACAGCATCTAAGCAGAACATCAGCTATTTTTCATTTAAAATAATTACTATACTGCCTGGGTACTATATTCAAAATCATTTTATAATTAAAAGAATACTTTCTTCTATAGAAGATCTATTTCTCATACAAGAAAACTCTTTTATTTTAGCATTACATTATGCCTAGGTTGAAAGCAACAATCCAGACAAAGGGCTCCTATAATACCCAGGAGGACAGGGCTGCAATAGATGTGACGTATACTTCAGTTCCTCAGAATGAAACAGCAAATCCTGCTCAACTCTCAAAGGCTGGAACATATTGCTAATTGCTTCACATAACATATCCAACAGCACAGTGAGAGGTAAAAACAGAGAAGCAAAATTATAGTAAGATGCTAAAGCACAAATTCCAGCTTTGGCCAAAATCCTTATCCTGTAAATATTGCTCAAGTTGAGCCTAATCATGAGCAACCCTGAACCTTACATACATCTGCTTTCAGTCACTGAGAAGGTCAACACAGGCCTCTGTGTGATCATAAAATTTTGGTGTCTTAGGACAAGAGTAGGAAATTGCCAAGTATGTTTCCTACAAGAAACAAAAAAAAGAAAACCACTAGCTATTTCAGTTTCAAGCTGTACAAGCAAAAATATTTTAAGAAACGCAATATATGCTCTATAAAAAAACTCCTGTCTGGTAGCTTCCTGATGTGCTAGGAATGGTAAAGGGAAAGCTCTGGTACTAAAATTTTGAACAGTTCACGAGTGTATCAACATACAAATTTCCTTTTCCAAAATTTCTCCTCTTTTAGCTGAATTTATATTATTGTTCCAATTAAGATATCAAATGACAAAGAGAAAATTTCTGCTGTTTGGAAATTTAAAGCTATTGATTTTTCAAACTTGTTTTAATAGCAGCCCTCTTGGTCTGGTTATGTTTCTAACAAAAATGATTTATAATCCCCTTAAATGCTATTTTACTTTTTCATTAGAAGGACAGGCAACACTCCATGCCTTCCTCCTCCATCCCTTTTCTCATCACTTACTGAGATGAGAGAACAAGCCTTAATTAGATAGCACCTTAGTCCCAGGGCCCTCTTGTGTTCCAAGCATGCCCTCTTTATTCACAAAGTATAACACTTACAAGCTCAGACCCCATTATCAGTACAGGTAAAGCCACTTTTCAGACCCAGATTCCTGGCTCCATAAAGACCTCTGGGTGAGCAAGGTTGGCCCAGCAACAGCTCTAGCTTCTCTGCTGGATGCTGTGGCTGTGACCTCTGGATCCTCCTCATTCCCACACGTTATCAATCACTTTTTTAATCTGTAATCTTCTGCACTGTTGGAGAATTGTTCTTAATAAGAGTTTTATACAGCAAGCAACAAACAGAGAGATGCAATCTTAATTCCTTTTGCCAAACAATGTGCAAAGTTCCCTAACAAAGTTCATGATCCCAGCCATTCAGGTCTGTCTAAAGCAGTTATACAGTGGCATTATAGTTCAGATCTTGACTTCAAAGTGGATTACAAATTACAAAAGAATAAAATAAGAACTCACACACATATATATATACAAACAATCAAAACTTTTTTTTAAAAACTGTATTTTCAGGAAAACCAGTTTCTTTCTATATTATCCAATTTTAAAAGTTACACGTTTTATTTTTTATTTCTCTTCACTCATCCTATTTTTAGAACCTCTCTTAGAACACTAAGCTTCATCTTAGATGCTATTCAGGAACAGTCAATAACAGGAACAGGCAACTAATGGGGCTTCCTCTGAACACTGCCTCTCCACTGCAAGGAAGTGGTTATGGGGCACAAACATGCCTACACTATCGAAGAATTGGAAATACAGACAATAAATATTAATAAATTGAGCAGAGAGTCTTTCCAGACACAGTTCACTGAGACTAAGTGAAATGGAATTGCCTAGCAGTCTGTCTATATTCTCAGCAAAGGACAAAGTAACACTTTAGTAGCACTTTGAATCCACCCTATACCTTCTGCCATAGAATCAAAAAGCATTCAGTAAAAGCCATGCTACTGAAATAAAATTCACACTATTTGTTTATAAAAATAGAACCCCAGACACTCAAATAATAACTGAAGCAGAAATAAACTAAGACTTTTTGTCCCCTAGTGTGCTTCAGCATCTTTCTTCCACCAGTTTTCACTGCCACCTTCAAATAATTATCTATTCTAATAGCTTATTACTATCATATTCTACAATGGAAAATAAAGTCTAACTAACATTCAGAGTCTAAATCTTCTGACACAGATTCAGGTGTGAATGTTTTAAGTTATTACAACAGTGGAACCACTACTCTGCAAAAGTAAGGCCCACCTTAATCCAATAAAAGTTGCCTTCAATTATACGTTGCCTACCTGATCAAACTGAAGATCTTCACCTCTTTGAAGAGATCTGGACAAGAGCTTTTCCTGTACAAAAAAATAAGAAGAAACATACATTTCACAATGTCATTGACTATTATCAAAGATAGATTCCTTTTTTCCAGTTATATTACAGAACAAAGAAAAAACTCTTCATATAAATATTTGCAAGTTTTTTTAGATACAAGTATCTCTGGAGATGTGATGTATACTGCCAAAAATTAATTCAGTAGCAAAATAATAATAACATTAAAGACTGACAAACAGAAGATGGTAGAGGCCAAATGAGGACCAGCTGGTGGTGGGTATCAAGTGTAACTTGGAGGGAAAGCCATTCCTATCTCAATTAGCAAGTTTATTCATGTTCATATATGGCAATTATTCTAAGTTACAATGACTTTTAAAATGTCTTCACAAAGGCAGAGAGAAGTGTTCAACGCATTTCTAATCTGCAGTACAACACAGCTAGAAGACCTACTCCAGTAAAAGGAGAATGTGAATAATCACTTGCTTTAATTGAAGTAACTATAAGGAACAAAAAAAAGCAATATTACTAGAATTTTACTTATTACAATATTTAGTGCTACCAGTAGCATATGACACACTCCTCTGTTAAAAGCAAAATTAAATTATACTCCTGACAAAATAATTTAGTGAGGATTAAAGCATTGTGGAAATAAAACATTTATAAAGTCTAATAGTACACAGTAATTCTTACTAGTCACTGTGTAGAGTACAAAATGATACACTTACAAGAAATACAAGTATACCTTGCTCAGGTACCCTGGAAAGTAAAAAAAAAAAAAAAAAAGGTGGAAGAAAAGGAAGAAAAGAATAAAGAAATAAAAAGAAAAAGAAGAAGAAACAGAAGAAGAAAAGAAAAGAACACTGAGTCCTGTGAGCTGGCTTTGAGGATCACTGATTTACAGCACCCCAAGTGCCACAGTAAGAGCTTTAAGAGCACACTGCAAAGCAGTAGCATATATAAAGATCTGCTGAGCATTTCCTCTTATTTAAAAAAATTTTAAACTATCCTTCAGTTGATAATACAAATGAGTTCAAAATGTTATCTTTCACAAGGAAAGAAAAAAAGTACCTAAAGAGTTAATAGCTCACATTAGACTGCAATAGGCAAACAAGGAAGTTTTATGCAGCAGGCTAAGTCAAGTAGTTAACTTGCCTGGTCTGGCATGTAAAGGGAGGTGTGAGCAATTCTGATAGCCAGTTCTGCTCTCAACAGGTTGTAACTCAGCACAAAGTAACTGCTCAGTAGTTTAGTATGAGACAACACCCATGCTGTCAGACTGTTGACAAAAACTGAGTAAGTCAACATTGCTTGGTGATTAACACTTGCAAGGCTGCAAGAGACAGCCTGTATGTTCAACAGATAAAAATTCACTTTGCATGTCCCAAATCCAAGGTTCGAACAGGCAACTGATTTTTTCTTGTCCTAAGTGTAATCTTGAAAATACAGCACAGTTTCTGGCATTTTCTCCTGTAAGTGTAGCTGTATTTGGTGTTAAAAAGAATGCAATATCTGGCAACTATTACAGCCTCTGAAAACTTGGATTCAACACTGCCCAGGCAAAAAGCACTTGCCTACTCTGAAAGTATAATTTGAAATTATAAAAATGTCAATGCACAAGTCATTTTCACTTTCCATAATCCAAAGAAATCCACTTAATTATCTAGGAAAATACTACCATTTATGTTCACTTCCAGTATGCCCAAAATAAAAAATATTTTAAGAAGGGGGTTTCTAGGTAAATGCATTGATTATTCTGAAAAAGTTGTATTTTTTGATCAACTGATGTAATAGTTAATGTTCTTTCACTGTCTATTTAAAAGCAAAGGGGAAAAGGTTCCACTTTCTTGAATTTTTAAAATTAATGTAATTTTACATGTTAAATCTGTTCAAAACACTGTTATGAGAAATAATATTTTGAAGTATATACTAAAAGCTCCAGAGAGCACTTGCAAAGCCATATTTTCTTGTAGCTAGCAAGCCTCCCTCCTTTTTTTTTTACACAGAAATGCCTGCTATAGATGAATTCTTATCTGTATTATGCTTTCAGATAAACTGCACAGTAATTGCCAGCTTATCTATAAAGCAGAAATACAAGAAATGCTCCACTCTATACAAACATTGTATCATTGCTAAGTAAGTTAAATGAGAAAAACTAGAAAGCTATTTCCTTATAAGATGGAAAAGTGTAAGAAGATGGGAAGAAGACTTCCTGTAAGAAGATGGGAAAAGTCAGGTTCCTTAAGTCCTTAGGATACAATGTCCCAACAAACCATGTTTCCACCATAATACTACAAACTATTACACAGGTGAAGAAACCCTGGGTTCACTACACCCATTGCATGTGTCTAAACCCAAAAATTGCTAAAGAAAAGAATGACAAATCAAAGAGAAGTGAAACATTCTGTAAGTCTTTACACAAATTTGAAATCCATGTCAATAGAGAGAAAGCTAGTTCTGAAAGTTTAGCTTCCCTCCCATGACTCATACTAATTTAGATACCTCTGTGTATCAAATGTTTAAGATTTTAAGGTCAGAAAGAATGAAGACCTTACAAGTTCATAACCAACTCTATTATGTTTCCTCAGCACTAAGAATCTTAACTCTTAAAAGGTAAATACACTGTAGAGTTAATGTAACACTCACCAAACAAACCTGACATAACCAAATAATACTCTTGAACCCAACCACAGGTTTATCAAGGCCTTTGAATTATTTGACTTTTAAATTTAGTTTCTTTTAATATCTTCTTCTACCTCTGCTTTGTCATGGCTCCAGTCATCTCACATGATTTAAAGAAATCTATTCAACAGCATAAAGTAAATGTCTGGAAACTCTAACTGAATAATTTAAGATTTATTTTCCTGGCTTCCTGAAGTTCAGAGAGAGATGGAAATAATAGGTCTCCATTTATCTTTTACAAGTGAAATGAAAAAAAACCAAAACACTATTGCATTAAGCAGAGAGCAGTTTGCATCCATTGTGTAAAGGAGAAATGTCAACATATGGCAGGCAGCAGGGATCAGGATGTGCATGTGCTGTGCAAACAACTGCACCCATGGAAAAAGGCACCACCCGTTGGTCCCTCTCCAGCATTCCCTGGCACCATCCTCTGGTGGCCAGCACACCTCAGCAGGGTGGCTCAGAGTGCTTCTGGCAGAGCTCCAAGCTGCAGGGAGGAAAGCAGACAAGGGATGCTGCCTCACCTCCTGCAGCCCCGGGGCTGGGCAGTGCATCCCCGCCCCAGGGGCCAGCACAGCACTCTGCTAAATTTTACTTCAGACAAACTTTTGAAAGCATCTAGGCAAGACCTGCAAAAGTGCACAGTGCTAGTCTGAGCCATGTGTAGTATTTCCACAGCAGAATAAAATCCTTGTGGTGGTAACAGGCATAAATACTCTTGCTAGCTGTGACTTCAGTGTGAGACACCTACAATTTAGTAGGTGGCACCATGTTAAACTCTCTGCTTAAATTCTAACCATCCATACTTACATGCAGCTTGACAAAATGCAAATAATTGAGTTTATCACTAATCTTTTTAACTGGCATTGTTTATGTCACATTTGGGGAATGCTGGTGTCATTCCTCAGTGTCATCCTTCTAAGCTGAAGAGTACTTTTTAAGCTACAAGACTACTCTTGGGCTCTTTTTTTCTTTTAAAACTATATACTGCTCCAAAAGATTTAGCACAGCTGGTTAAAAAGAAAAATGGTTTTATTTCATTTATTCACTAAAAGGATGATCTTCCTTCCTGTCATTACACTTGCTGCTTTCATTTAATCATTTATTTTAAGCATTTGCTGAAAAGCTCTGTCTGCAACTTTGAAAAAGCTGAGGTATTACAATTTGCAAGCAGAGAACTCTTAATTAAATTAGTAAGAAGAAATAAGGTAAAAATCACAGCCAGAGAAACCATTCAGGTAATTTTTGAAATCACAAGTCAGTTACCTTTAAATGCAATCCATACATTTAGCAAAAATGGTACTACCTCTCACCCACAAATGATCTGCAGTGAGTGACCTTTTTTTAAATTTATATTTTAATTAATTTTTATTCCCCTACTGTCATGTTCAAGTTTTAAAAACTGTCTAGCTCCTAATTTTTATTAGTCTGGCTTTAAATTCTCTCAAACAGCTTCACCCAACAGCCTAGCTTCATTAAAGATTTATGTAACTCTATATATATTCTTCATAATTTGTTTGCAGCCAAGTCATTCCACAAAATCAAATCACACTAAAATAATAAAGAGCTTTCCACTCTTCCATTAAAGCCTTTTGTCCAATCACAATCAGTGCTTTTCTGGTGCTCTTCCAGCCTTTTTATCTTTCTTTTCAAATTTCATACACTAGAACTGAATGTTCAGTACTTACAAAAATTCTACATACAGGAATAAAGCTGCTTCAATACCTCAGTATTTCCTTTCAGTTGGACACTTAAGAATTCCCTCCTACCTCTTTATGTTATCCAGGCTCAGGCTGTTTCACTTCCACAGCCTTTGGCACCTCTCTTAATTTGCTTGTTTTCTAAACAGTCCTTCTCACCCATCAATATAAAATAAGGAAAGCTGGCTATACATGTAAATTACATTTGTTTCCATTAAAATTCATTTTGTTTAAAGGAATTCAGCTTAGCAAATGAACCCAGACAAAACTGTTTAAAACCTTTATAGATGAGCACTTAAGTAATATTTGTAATTTCTTACTTTATTCTAAAGAATTTTATACACACTTGTATACACACAAAATACTGACTGCAGGTTCTTATCGGTAAAAAAATCTTGACAAGGTAGACTTCATGCAATCACCATAAAACCTCACCAGGCAACAAAGCTGGGAATCACTCTTCTGTGAAAGGTGAATTATTTAATTAGTTTCATGGGGTTTCTAATTTTTAATCTGGTGAGATGTTTCAATTTTGTATGATTAAGAGATTTAAAAACATTTGTTTAATTAACAGTCAACAGCATGGCAAGGAGACACAACCTGGGATTGATGACAGAGGATTTATTTTATCTGGTCTAGGGACAATTTTGCAGCAAAAGTGAACTCCAGGGCTATTATATTTGCCTTGCTCCCATTATTCTGGTTATATTTGACTCCAAACTAGCTGTGTCTGCAGGAAAAGCCCTCTTCAGCTCATCTCAGCTCCAGGCAGTCTGTCCCTCTGGCCAAGCACTACCCTCCCTGTCTGTTCAGCTGATGGATGGAAATGGGGCTGGAGGAGCAGCACTTGGCACATGGATGGACAGTGGAGCTACCAGGCTTTCCTCCCACAGCACTACTGCCACTACAGCTCTCCTCTCATTTTCAGCCAGGTGGAGGCTTGTGTGCCCATTTTGCTATGAAGTTTTTGTGCTCTCTTTTAAACCCCTCCTGAACACATTACTTTTTTGGATGTAAAAACCAAATAAGCAAGTTATATTTAAGTTGTAAACCTGCTTGGTGCACACTGACATATATATAAAGAACAGGTATAAAGAAAAGTTTCATTTTCCTCAGCCTTTTATACACTAATGGTAGTAGCTGAAGATGATTCCATAATCCAAACAAAACAGTTTCAGCCCTGCTTCTGTGCTCTTTTGGACTGCTTCCTAAGAAAACTTTTTCCTGAAGTTTCAAAACTGGGGCTCAAATGCTCACATAGGCACTTTCTGCACATGAGCACTTTGGCAAGCAGCAGCTGCCAACAGAAGCCTTCTGTGAGCTGGCCTTCTGCTAGCCACAGCATCTCACCTGCCCAGTGAATTTCCAGGCTTAAAAAAATAAAAGTTGGTTTTGTTTGTTGTTGTTTTGGGGTTTTTTTTTTGTTTTTTTCCCAGAAATTTCCAAATTAAAAGAAAACCATTTATTTCAAGACCATGAAGTCTAGATCAACAACGGAATTTTACCTTTTAGCTCAATCTGCAATATATGCAGACTACTATATTATTCCAGGTGTTATTATCATTACTTCAAAAAACAAGCCAAATATATCTTTTCTTGAAAGTATATTGCCTAAGTATTATTTAAAAGAAACACTGACAGGAAACACACTTCACAGTATTAATGAAAGAACATTTTTTGTTGTTCCTATTTACTTTTGTAACTTCACAGACCTTAGGGATACACTAAAGAGGTCTTGTTTCCAGTAACTACTAGGTAACAGTTTTGACACAAGTCAATAAAACAAATCAGGGAGCAACCCTGTTTGCAGAAGCTTATTTATTCCTGAAGTAATCTCTCTGAAAAGTCAACACTATCTGGGAGTGCTTTTTTCACTAACCACACATATGATAAATCAGCCTATTCCAGAAAAAAACAAGACCATTTTGAGAGATACTATGAAAAAAAAAGGACTCACCAAAGGTTCAGCCATTACAAGTTCAATTTTCTTTTCAGCTTGAACAGCAAATTCAGCAAAGAGGCTTTTGATGACATACTCGCCCGGTTTCACATCTGGGTCAATAGTAATGTTAGACATGATGATGCCTCTCTTTTCCCAGGTGGAAACAACACTTGGAGAAACTCTACGTTTATTTACTCTGCTGGGTGGTGCGGAGGCTAAAGGTAAAAAACAAGAAAAACACAGAGCTATAAAGCAGAGCTTCTAAACATCGTCCCACAACATTTTCCCATTCATCACACACATATTTTCAACAGTAAATTCTCTAAAACAGAAGGAAACAATTGTAACGTAGAATAAGAATTTGTTTCAGTGAGGTCGGAGTTTCTATGCTTAAGTTGCACAAGGGTTTACAATGCAGGTCACTTGTGTTGCCAATAAAATGCTCTACATGATTAACCTATAGTAGCTTCAGTTCAAGTATGACTAAAAATCAGAAGGTTGAATGGAAAGGGTTATCCCCCATATTATGAGAAGCATTGCTTGATTCCATTTTATGGATCACTCATTAAGTACATGTTTCTATTTGGTGTCCAAATACCTTCAAGAGAAATTCTTCTTTGGCACTTTTTGTCAATAAGTTGATTTTCCTAACAGGAAAGCAAACCCTTTTTAGACATGTCATGCTAACTGATCTTCTAGTCCCATGTTAAAAACTGTTCCTTGTAAGAAAAACCTATTAATCAATAAAAAAAACATTGTATGTATCAGTCTCATTTTCTAAGAATTATTTTGCTTTTATACTGACATTGTCATATACAAACTTTATATATAGTTATCCACCTTTAATTTTATTTTTCTCCTCAGGCATTCCAAAACATCCACTTATTGTAAAAGCTGCTAGCAATGTGAACTGCAGGACTGAAAATCATGTTTCAGAGTTCACACACAGAGTTTAATACACAAAACAATCAGGGTAGATAATTACAATTCTTGTCTTGCACACTATATATCAAAATAACTGCTGACACCTCTTAATGATGAACCAGACATACATAGGAAGGTCTGATATTTCCCTAGTGTATTCCATGACTGCAGATGTTATTTTTCAATTGCTATTAGGAATTGATATTAACAATTCCTATCTATTTATATTAAGATTTTATTTTCCTAAGACAGTCATGCAGGGAGCCTAGTTCCCATCTGTTTCATTCTGCCACATTTCGTGATGTGTTTAGGTAAGCGTTTTTAAGGCTTTTTGCACATAAAGTGTGAGGTGACACATTTGGTTTATTTTGCTGAACCTGAAATTTTTTTTACATGATCTCAGTTTTTACATGTACAAACCCTGTAAGCTAAATATTATCCACAACTTTTTCTCAAATGTTTTTTTCAAGTCATTTATGAAAAAACATGAGACCAAATATGGAGACCAAACATTGGTACATCACATCTTCTCAAGAGAAGTCTTGGCCATTTATTATATCTTCTATCAATTCAGAGAGTTACATTTTACATAATATAAAACAGACTCCTGCAACTTCCATTGAAATTTATCATTTATCAAATGCATTGGTGAGAAGTGAGAAATTCTGCAGGAGTGAAAACTGAATGCCCCCAACTACCTCAGCTTCTGATCCAGAAGGAAGGGTACCTTGCATAAGATTGTGAGTACTACACATTACTTGTTTTTAATCCTTATGCTATTGTACAAACTTGCTGCTTGGCTGGAGTATGCATCTTTTTTCCTGTTGCATAAAACAGGAAATAAACATAAATTGCAGAATCCTTTCTTTGAGGCTGGAAAGACTTGCACAAGGTCACAAAACTGAGTGCCTGGGAACCAGGGGCAACACCAGAACAGCAGGCACACACTGCATATGTCATAAAAAATTTCCAAAACTCCTCTAACACTTCAATCCAGCACTTTGATCTCAGTAACAGAGGCCCTAAAAGACAGAGAAGAGCATGTCCCACACAGCCAGGGACAATGGGACATCACAGACACTGCCGTGATCTAGATCCCTGTGGTAGAAGCTCACTACATATAAGTACATAAAAACATTAAGAAACAAAGCAAAGTGCAGGCTGCAAAAGGAAGATTACAACCCAAAACTCTTTCTCATCCCACATCTGACGATTGGCTCATCCTTCAGTACAGAAACATAAACATTACAGGAACTTAAAAAAAGAAATCATGTCTTTACAATGCCTATGTTCTCCAGCATCCACACTCTTGCCATCCTGAAGCGTCAATGCTTCCAAAGGCAGCCCAGAAAATGAGAGAGATGAAAATGTGTCAAGAACAAGAGTACAGAGGTTTGAGAAGAGGTGAAAGAAGGAATAAAGACATCCTTCATGGCCGTAGCAGGTAACAAACAGAAATACCAAGCATGGGATAGGCAAAACAGAAGAATGCTGTAACATACCATTTCGAACAACCTTCCTTTCATTTTCATCAGATAAACAAAATAGAAATTTGAGTAGCTAAGGACCCACAACAGATACCACATATTTCTAATATATGCAGTAGCTTTCATCCTAAATATGAGAGTTTCTAAGAAAGATAAAGCTCTGTTCTAATTACAGACAACTTGGACTGTCTTATTTTAAAAGACATATTAACACTAACAGGCTGGAAAGAAATGAGAGTGTTTAAATGTCCTTTTGAATATCATTACTTGTGTCTTGTCAGAAGAAATTTAGCAAAGCAGCAGCTTCAGCTCATTCCAGACTTACCTACTGGATATGCCACAGCTGTTGCATGATCTGGACTGAAGTGAACATGCCAGAGCTCTGGTCCAGTTCCCACTCCTGAAGAGTGAGGAGCTGGTACTGAACCAGCTCTTTTTGTTCTCTGGGGAAACTAAGACCACTGTGCTCCTTAACCCCACACTATATTTAGATGTAGACAATTAGGTAGACAACTCTTAATAGTGTGATTACATAATACACTTCTGTCTTCAGATTTTAAAGGACCACATTCAAAAAGCCCCTGTCACTCAAGAATCAGGAAACATTGGGAGCTGATCATCTTTTAAGTGCTATCTTTACTTTGTGTTAGCAATTCAATCCTCAGTAAAAGGGATCACCTTAGTGTGTTAACTTTCAAAGCTATAAGACAGCTTCCCTCACTAAGGATGAAACTCCAAGGCTCTCTACACTGATCTAAACATAGGTAAATTCCCTCCTCAGGCTCAAACAAAAGCACAGGAAATGGATAAACTGGGCAAAAATCTTATGGTGGCAAGAAAAAAAAGAACTGGACTATAATCAAACTGGGTCTTGTGAGTGCTGCAGACATTTCAGTACAAGGCAGAGGTCATGGCCAGGCAGCCAAGGAAATGTGGTGCCAGGGTAGCCTTACACCCCCCAGAATGAGCAAGGACCCCACTCCCTGGCTATAGTTCACAGAGCCCCCCTTGGACAGCACACAGAGAGTGCACACACAGTGCTGCTGTGGCTGCAGCACTGCCAGGGATGCAATCAATCCCTTCCAGCCAGCACAGAGTCAGTGCAGGAACAGGGCTTGCCTTGCTTTCTTTCTCATTCAGCAGCAAAGCAGGGTCACAGCTATCCCTACAGCCATTCATGTTACTCATCTCTCCGTTCACATGCACAAACTCTCCAGGTGGCAATGAACTTACCCCCCTGATTTGTTTTCCACAAAAAACAGGGAAAATTGTCATACTGAAGCAGTTATAAACCCTGCCATGAGAGTATTACAAATACCTTAGTTTTGCTAAAATGTAAGAGTATGTAAAAAGAAGAAAAAATTATTAGGATTTATTTTAATCCATGAACTTGCTGAGGACTCTAATTCACAACACCACTAGTGGTTGACATTAGCATCAAGACTCTTGTCTTGCATATGACAATGTTCATGGTTTCATCTGCTTTGTAAAACCAGTAATTCAGTTAAATACACACAGAAAAACATGGACGAGGGAAAATGGAGAAGGAGCTCGACTATTTAATAAGTAATTATACAAGAGTGTCTTAAAGAAAAGTCAAAATCTAATCTTAGATTTCTTAGCTAGGTCAAACAACATTATTAAATGGTATAATTACATTCAGTGGGATGCATTTACTCATGAACTTTCAATCAATAAAATTGTAAGAAGGATCTATATGAATTTAAGTATGCTTAATGGAAAAAAAAAGTCATTGCAGGACAGAATTAAATTTTTTTTTTCTGCTATTCTTTGCCATCAAAGCAAAGCCATTCTTTACTCTTAGGTGCCAGAGAAAATGTAAGTTTCAAACATCGTCTGGAAGCTTCAAAACATGAAGCATTCTACAGAACTTCAGATGAGATCTGGAACCAGAAACCATAGAGCTTGCAACAGCTCAAAACTAAAAAACTACTTTCACAAACCACTTGAAAACAGTGAACATTATTCACTTGAAACAATATCCTGTTTGTTTGCTCTGATGTGAGCTACTGCTACGTGGGAAATCTGGGAGCAATGCAGTAAGGAAATCTTTGTTAAACAGTATTGTTTGGTTGCTAGGGCCACACCGAATTGTTTGGATAGTTGCAAGGAACAGTAAAACAATACAAAGGGTAATTAGACAGACAACACACTCCTAGGTCAAAAGGCAACACGCCCTGATGTATGCTAAGTGAAAAACAAAGTTGTTTCATGTTAAACACAAGTGTCTAGAACTAGGAAAGGTTATTTAATACCCAATCTGACAGTAAAGAATGCTACTATTTTATCATCCTGTTTCTCTCTGCATAGCCCAAATGCATCAAGTATTTGAGGATATAAAGTAGCATCCTATTTACCAATGAGACTATTCAGGGTTCAAACATACAAAGCAGGTACTGAAAGGTAATAAATGCTAGCAAGTGACAGCTGATGAGTCCATTTTACTTCATGGCTAATAAAAAATGATGATTTTTAGCTTTCAGACTTTTTTTGGGTACTACTTTACACTTAGCCAAGTATTGGCACTTTATATGTGCTTTTTCCCCAAGTTTTTCACGGTTATTGCTTTAACTGAAATTTGGGTTCAGTTGCTGCTGTGTCTCAGGAAGTTGGAAATGGCTGGACTGAAGCAAAACTTCCATCAGGTATCTTCCCTTTTTCCACATACCTGAAAACACATCTGGAATTACTTTTATAGCATTTTAAAATAAGGTACTCAACTATAAAATAAACATGCTCAGCACAATCTTGAGGAGCCTCTGCAGTTTTCATCAAGCAGATTA